CCACGGATCCGGCCACGATGCCAGGCTGGCGGATCTCAGCCCGGAGCGAGTCAGTTGTTCGGCTCCGATGGGTGCCGCCTCTTGACCTGGCGCCGTTGAAGCTGACGGGGACGGCGGAGTCTCCCGCCCACCGCCGTGGATCGATCGGTGGCTGTAGTGCGAGCTCGTTACTCGGGCGCGAGTCCCAGGCCGAGTGCGCCGTCGACACTCACCGCACAGTCTCACCGACACCGCCGTGAGTTGATCGAAAGCTGCAGCGGATGTCAGCCTCCAGATAGCCTCCGCCCGCCTCGAAAGGAATAAGAACAGCTTCAGAACGCCCACATCCCCCATTCGCGCTCTGTTCCCCCCTCCCGACTATCCCCCCTCCCCTCCCCCACCACCCCGCATGAGTCACCACGCCGACAGGCAGGGGCCATCAAGACACGGGCTCTATCCTGGCGTCAGCGTGTTCCCACATTGCCGATGGGCAGGGGCCGCTCCAAGCGTCGTCAGAGTACTGCAAGCAAGCGGTCAGAAGCTCCTTAAGACTGAAGTGCATATTGAGACGAAGGTGGGACGGTGAGTGTTTCCTACCCCGAGGGAGGGACTTCTGTCCTGGCGCATACCTTTTCGTGGTCCTCGGGATAAGTACCTGCTCGTGCGCGGCTTCGTTATGGGGCGGTGCACGGGTGGGGAAACCAAAATGCGTTTTCTTCAAGTTGTTCATGTGTTCCGGGGTGGGGGGTTGAGTTGTTGGTCGTGTCGATGCGCTCATTCTTTTCCTAGCTGCGTACTGGTCATCGCGGTCGCCTTCAACGGTGTGACTTCCTTTTCTTGAAGAGTCAGTCAAGACGTGGGGTCTATACGGGGCCACAAGCATGTACTGACAGATGTACCATACCACAAGTTGTATATGCAATGTAAACCCTGTCCCACCATGTGTAACGAGGCGATTGATCCGTCCGATAATGCGAAAATCGCCCCGTAATTATAGAATGAATGTAAAGAGCGTCCCTCCCACTCATGCTGAGCATCACTTCCAGTTGTACCTTCTGAGGCCTCTCTAGCCGGGCAGGTATCTGGTCGGGCTCCGGTCGGGTAACATGCTGTCCGGGCTGTTCTTCTTTTCGGCGTGCCGCTCTTCTACTGAATGGCGGACGGCTGAGAGGGACTTCGAAAAGCGTGGCGTGTAGAACGTTCCTGATGCACGCGGCCTAGACAACTCGACCTTTCAGAGGTTTCTTCACTTCTGTCCTTTGGCGCCGCCAGGAGTCATCCTGACAGAGCGTCCATGGAGCGTCCGGTCGGGATTCAATGAGTACCTTGGTGCCAATCAAAGGAGCTGCAGGGTCGACGTGATTTGCAACGGTGCGCGATTCGCCGTTACTGCGCCGCTGCGAGGCTGTGTTGAACCTTGTATGAAATGTGTTGCAGAGTCGGCGGCAGGGTGAAATCGGACGGGACGAAGCGAGAGAAGTATTTGGACTTCCAAAGATGCATACCGCTGCACGCCAGACGAATTGCGGCTGAAGTTGACTGTGAGCCCAGGGAATGCCGCGGCTAAAATGAGCTTATCGTACCACACTTGAGCTCTCCGACGTAATATGCTATGGCAGACTTCTGCAAGGACCGCCGCTATTTATTTGGAGGAAGGCAGGGGAAGAGTCCGGAATCAGCTGCGGCTGCTCGAAGAAGCGGCGGTGAGCGGGCTGATTGCGCGGCTTCCCAAGGGGCGTCTGTGGGATGATCACGCAATCAGGTTTATGTCATGGGGGGACTGAGAAGCCCTTGCGCCGCCGAATGCACCCACAGTGCACCGGCTACGGTGTGCGGACTGGCTAAAGCTGTGAGCGTCGTCGTGGTCGAGGAGCAGCGAGCGAGCGAGGACGGCGGAGGACGACGCGCGCTCCATGAAAGTCGGGGCGGGCGCGGGCGCCTGTGCATTGCTTGTCGGCCGGGGGGCCACGTGCAGTCCGCATCCGGACGGTGACGATCGGCAGGAGCGTCCGCCGAGACCGTTCGCGTCGGCGCTGGTGGTTAGAAAGCCAACAGCCCTCGCGTACAGTCCTCGCCCCTCGTCCCCCCCGCCCACCGCCCCCGCACACAAGCACCGCTGCCCCACACATCCCCCGTGCGACTCATCCGTCCTAGCAATGCCAGTCGACAGAGACCGCAGTGTATCCCGTGACGATGTGCGTGAGACCCGTCAGCACCCACTGTGTGTCCCAGTAGGCTGAAGGGTCATTCCGGCTGAGCAGAGTTCGGAGCCACCCTCCCCCGCGGAGACAAATAACGACGCCGGAGGCTCGCAGTCTCCCGCCGTCGGGAAGCCGGGACGGAAGAAAAATCCAAAGTACGATCTCGAGCTCTGCCCTCAGCGTGATGACACTCATGCCGTCTGGCCCAGCTCGCAGGCCGCCAGGCGCGATCAAAATCGAATTGCCCAAAGGGAGTTTCGCCTTCGTAAACAACAACGCGTGAGTACACGACCCATTCCTCTCTAGTGTCCCACAGGCACCATGTGGTCTTCATTGTGTTGACCGGCGTCGCCAATCGGGGGTGTTCCAGATACGCGATCTCGAGGCCAGCGTCGAGATTCTATCCGGCGGCAAGGATGAAGCTCTCTCACAGCTCAGGAAGGTCCTAAAAGGTATGAACTCGGTGTATACTTCCGAGGTCGCCATTGGCATTAATGGTCTTCACCCGAGACCTTATGCATGAAAACCAGGTGCTCCGAGGTCTCCTCAAGAGCCTGGGCGGCTTTATTGGTGACGGCGCCGGCGGTATTCTCACCAAGCTCGGTTGGGACATGAACGACTTCAACGACATGGTGAACAAAGCGGAAACCGACACTGCTTGGGAGAGCTACCAACGGCACAAACGCGACAAATCAGAGCCAGGTCCTTCGGGGGCTGCCTCGTCGTCTAAGCGTCCAGCTGAGGACTCTGACCCGTATGGTCTTCGACCCAAACGCTCGCGTGCTGCAGAGACCAACGGCGAGTCCTCGCGCTCCAACGACAACTTCCCTCTCCTCGTGCCGTTGAACCCTGCCGTGTCGTCGATGGGCTCGAACGGGCTGTACCCTCCTAATCGTACTCACGACGCCGGCTTGCTCTCTGAATATTCCCGGCCACCGACCTCCGCGTCCCCGATGTTTGTCCCCCCACCGTCGTCGCCCTCGGTGAATCAACACGGGCAGTATGCGCCTTCCCCGGGATCAAACATGTCTATGAACTTCCCGAACTCGTATATGCCTGGCATGTCCGTACAGTCCGACCCTATGTCGTCCATGTCGATGCCCGGTAACAACATGGGGCCTATGGCTGGATCATCGAGGGCGGCTTCTGGGCCTCAACAATTATCGCCGCAAGCTCAGCAACAGCAACAACAACAGCAACAGCAAACCGAGGATGAAATGGAGCCGAAGAAGAACGATGCCTACAAGCTCATACAGTGCGTGCCTACAGACATGTCAGGGAAGCCGGACGACGATCACTGACGCGCGCCCGCACCGCCGCATATAGCTACCACCTCGACAACTATAAGCGGAACAACAACTACTGCCTTCCATCCTCTCTGCGACCGACGCTCGTGCAAAGGTAATTCCGAACCTTACTCGTTACCCGTGTCGCTGGATCTTACCGCCCGTCTTTTGTGTCTTCCAGGACGATCCCACACGGTCAGTGCCGCGCTAGAAGCCTATCGCTCCGCTGCAGCCTAACTGACGCCTGCGCTTCCCCCGCTTCCCAGAGAGCGTGATCGACGGCGTACTGCACCCAGAGCTTCGGGATCGTATGATTCTCCTCCGAGGTACGCCCACACTGCGCGGCGCAGTGCCGCTGAGCGTTTGCGCGCCCGCTCTGGTGCTCACGTGCGCTTCCGTTGCCTTCGTAGACCGCTTCAACCTTGTGGACTGTCTGCACGACCACCGCTACGCTGTGACTATCCACGGCGACGACGTGCTCGCCCACAACAACTGGGAGATCGCCGAGTCGTGGCTCCAGCGGTACAAGTGCGTGTTCTCCCGTCCGTGCCGTGCATCGGTTGACCTAACGGGGCGTGTCAGATTCTTGGTCGATCCGGCTACGCTGAGCATCACCAACCGCTGGCGCAGAGAGCGCGGCGAGCCTGAGCTGCCGCTCAGCGAGTACTCGTCGGAGCAGCCGACACAAGTCTAAGAAAGACGAGCTTGATTACGTTTGTACTGACATGTATACAGCTTTCATGATTCGTACGTAGACTCTCACGAACAGTACATGCCTAGCAGCGAGAAGATATTGTATAACGTAGATACTGTGATATCGGACTAGCGGTGGCTGAACGTTGGGTAGATACTCTCGCCGGCTGCCCGGTCCATACGCGCTCTTCACCTGGTGTTACCGATTCTCGGGCCTTATAGCTGCAGGGTTTAACGTTTAGGTTTGGGCTATAGCAGTGTTGTGCGCGGTCATCGTAAAAGTCCGAGGTTGTGGACGCTCATGTAAACGAATGGGACATCAAACCGTCGAGGTATAACGCGTGCCATGCCTTGAGAAGCAGGCGGGGCCATGTACTCCATACTGCTGGCAATGCACGACGTACGCTGCATCTTAATGTCTCGTTGCGTGCACCTTCTTGCTGCTGAGGCTGTCGAGGTTGCAAACCTTGGACATGGCAGAGCACACGGGTTCTGCTCGTACACCTTGAACGTATCTGCAGAGCGTGGACTTCCAAAGAAAAAAAGCGCATTAACTCTAGAAGCAGGTGATACCGCCGGTGTACAGAGTCTAAAAAATCTCATGAGAAAGCAAAGCGGAGTTGGGACAGGGGGACTCACAGAGTGCATATATACCCAGAAGGGGATCGCAAGCCGTCTACCACGATGCCTTGTGCACCCCAGGCAGCTCGTTCGCCAGGGCCTTCAACCGGAATTGATACTGCAATACACAACCCAGATCAGCCTTCTCCCTCCGCACACCATCCCGGCCTCGTCACGCAAAAGCGAAGCAAGAACAAGCACGCGCACGCACCCTAGTGAGCCCAAACTCGCCAATAACCCCACGCCCCCTGCCCGACTCCGTGCACCGGTTCTTAACCGTCGTCGGCCGCGTGTACCGCCCGAACGTGTTGAGCTGGAGCTGCGCCTGGAAGCGCACCTGCGCGGGGAGCGTCTGGTTGCGCGCGACGTAGAGGTACGCGCGGCGCAGGATCTCGTTCGCGCTCACACCGTGGCGCGCCTTGATGTCGCGGAGTACACGCGCAGTCGGTGGCATTTGTTCGTCAAGAGTAGGAGGAAGACGAGGAGAGGGAGGTGTGGACGGTGCGAAGACCGAGGTGGCGGAAGGATGGACGTAGGTGAGCGAAGCGCCCGAGATTGTGCCAGCGCGCGTCTAATGGGATGAGCGTCTCTCGGGCAAGAGCGCGGATTTGCCCAGCCAATCAGAGCGCTTCCGATCCAGCTCGAGGTCCTCCTCGCCGCTCCGTCTCGCTCTCGACCACAACGTCCATCGTCCTCGCTCCATCCCACAACACCCCGGGGCGCTGCCACATTATCCCCTCCGCAGAGGACATGTCACATTGAACGTACGTGTACCCCATGGCCGCATCGTGCTCGACGTATAGACCGCAAGGCTAACGATACCGTCGGTGTCATAGCGCACAAAATACCCCTCCACTTGACCCGCCCACCACCGACCATGTCCGTAGCCCGCGCTCTGCAGCTAAACCACCGCCAGCGCCGGACGTTCATCTCCTCGCTCTTTGGCCTCACCTTCCTCGCGACGGTCCTAACCGTCTCCGCGTCGACCATCCTGCCCTGCCCGGTGGACCGCGGCCGCTACGCGGACGCGCACGGAGGCGCAAACGCCGCACTCAATGGAGGCCGGAGGGACGTTTTGGTAGAGAAGAGGCCGAGGAGGTGGATAGAGGAGACGAGACCCGCATCGCGTGCCCCGCCATCGAATGCGCAACCATAATTTCACCCGTAATGCACACACACGCCTGAGGCTCGACTGGGCTGCTCCGAAATCCCCTTGCGTGTGGCGCGCTGCCTCTTTAGCACCCGTCATATTGCATCCTGTCGGCGCAGGAGTATGCGCAACCCGACCCGCGAACCACGCCAGACAGTCACTTCAGGAAGTTCAGATGCGCTGCCAAGATCTCGTGCGCCTCGACCCACCGAGCCCAATGCTGGATGTTCAAGTGTTTCTCTAACTATTTTACACTAATGATCCAGGGTATACATCATCATGGACTCTCTTCCCCGTCCGACTCGGTCCGGTTCGAGTCTCTTCGCTTCCACGCTTCCTCTTGCTCTTCGTGGCTTCCACTACACGAACATGCGCAAATGAACATCTAGCTTGGAATGAGCTCGGTGCGAAAAAAGATACGCACGGTAATGGATTTTCTTGGATTGGCAGACAGCACAGGAAGCACATGAAGTTGAGCACGGCCTGGCAGATAAACACCACGCGCAGCGCGTCCGCGTACGAGTCCACGGCCGCCTTCCGCAGCTCCGGACTGAGCTGGGGAATAATGGTCGTTGAATGACTGTGCAACACAAGAGCTGCGTCAGAAACACAGTCGTGCACGCGAGAGAGAGGGACGCTACTGACCGTATCTGGTCGATGATCTACACGACGTCATGAGCACACCGGGTAAGCTCTGTGCGAGAGAAGCGGAAGACTGGACGCACCTCGATGGCGTTAGGCCCGTGTATGCGCTCGCGGAGCTTGGTGGTCAGTATAGCTTGCAGGAGCGCTCCGCTCAGACTGACGCCAATGACCTGCCCCGTCGTCCGGAACAAATACGTGACTGCACGCACGATCCCGCGGTCAGCACACGCGCTCGCCCACACAGATAACAGCAGCACACGCGAGAAAGGAAATGACGTACTGCCTGTCGCGACGGCGAGGTCCTCGCGCGAGACACTCGCGATCATAGCCTGGAAGCAGAAGCACAGACTAGGTTGGCTGCGACGTCACACGGAGAGGAAGGAGCGGGCGGGCACGCACGATGAGGGTGCTCGTGATGACCGCGGCCATGCCGAAACCCTGCGGGGCGACGTCGAGCCAGAGGTGCCACGCGGGCGAGTGCTCGTTCCACCGGGCGACGAGCGCCGCGGCGACGACCGTGAGGAGGCACGAGCACAGCGTCAGCGAGTACAGCTTGCCCGTGCGGCGCATGACCCTGGGTAAGCGCGGTAACGTCGGTCAATATGCGAAGTTATAGACGTAAGCGGTGCACGAAAGTACTGACCATCCAGCAAACACGCTTCCCGTGGATATGGCCACCTGGCAGCGGGGTCAGATAGGACGCCGACGGAGGACATCCGTGTACGTACGGAGTGCGGCAACAGATGGAGGCCTGGCATCGCGGTGTCAGTCGACGGCCAACGCAGCAGACCGCAGGGCGAGGAGCTTACCTGTATCTGTCGACGAATTTAACCTTACAGCAGAGAAATACTTCGCGCGGACGTCAGCTCTGCGGCCCTCGCGGTGCTATCTTGAGCGCACTTACTAATGGGACGTTATAAATCTGTCAAGGAGAGAGAAGCCCGGTGAGCGACGCGTCTTCCCTGCTCTCCTCGCGGCCGAAGGGGGGCAAGGCACGCACCATGGAGAACGCGGCGACGCTGCCGAAGAAGTTCGAGAGCGACACAAACAGCGGCGTGCGCATGCGGATGAGGCGCATCGGCATGACCGGGAACGGCGACCAGCACGTCTCGACCCAGATGAACGCGGCGCCGAACACGGCGCTCGCGAGCAGCAGCCCCCAGATGAGCGGGTGCGCCCACGGGAGCTCCTCCGTCGACTTGAGCGAGAGCCCGAGCAGGAGCGCGCCGACGGTGCCGACGAGCGTGAACGAGCCGAGCACGTCGATGCGCCGCAGCTTCGCGCGCACCGGCTGGTTTTCGATCTCGTCCGGGAGCCGGATCGAGACCTTGAGGGCGACGAGGCAGAACGAGAACACCAGGATGGGCATCTGCGGGCCGTGCGTGCATGTGCGCGTGCGAGCGGGGGATGGCGCATTCGGTATTCAGTCGAGCGTGAGCGTATGTGGCAGCGTGCACGGGTGGACGGCGCGCGATTGAGTTTGCAGAGATGGTCGATACGGGGTGATCGTGTTACAGCTCAGCTCGCGATGGGCGCCCGAGGGGTGCGGAGAGGGCTCACCTGGAGGAGGAACGCTGATCGCCTGGGGGTGTCGGAGAATGCGCGCGCAGACAGCAGGATCAGAAAATGTCAGACACTGGCCTGCACGCCCGCGCGGGGCGGGGCGGAGAGGTGACCCACCATCCGAGGATGTCGTTCATCCACCCGCCGAGCGGGCCGCCCAAGCCAGCCCCGAGGCCAAATAGACTGTTTTTTGACGTGAACGGGGCGTCCCACTTCGTACGGTCGCACGGGAAGCTCACATATTAGTCATGCCCTGATACAGGCCGCGCTGACGGCTGCAGGGCACAAATTTCAGTGTCTGCGCGGAGGATCTGCATGCCCTAGTAGGGCGGCTGGGAGACTCACAGGGGTATTAGATCCGTTACAGCGACACTCGAGACTGGCACGGGCATTCTATCAGCTTGTGCATGACGTCATCCACCCGCTCGGGCGCGCTCACCTGTCATTACGCTATAGCACGGATTCCAGTCAGGTTCTGATGAAAACCGTGTACGGGCAGGCAGGGCACTCACCCGCCGCCTCCCATGCCAGCGACGGCACGGGCGACGATAAGCGCGTCCATCGAGGGCGCGAGGCCACAAAAGAGCGTGCCCGATCCTGGCGTGGCGGGCTGATTAGCGAGGGGGTTCGCGGAGTAGACGCGAGGGGGCGCACCAAACAAGGAGAGGGCGAGAAGCATCGCGCCTTTGCGGCCCAAGATGTCTGACAGCCGACCTAGATAGATTGCACGTGGTGAGACGCGTGGACGCGAGCTGAATGACGACAGGGACAGGGCGGACCATAGAGAGGAGTAAAACAACAGACGGAAAGCAGATAGGATGTGCCGATGTACGAAGACCGATTCGATTCGTTAAAGTAGCTCCCGATGGGCGATAGCAGTGTTGCGACGATCGTTCCTGGCGCGCGGCGGACGCGGTGAGCGGAGGGAGCGTGAGTAAGCGGAAGGGGACACACCATCCAGGGCACCGAGGAATACAGCGCTCCAGAGACCAGCGAGAACCCAGATGAGGTCGCTGCGGGAGATCTTGTTGAGCGAAGGCGGCTCCGCGGGCTCGGGCGACTGGGTCCGACTGGAAGAAGCGGAGTGGTACGAGTGCGGGTGGTCGTCGTGATCATGCAGGAGAGGGCGTGTCTCATCGGCGTCGCGGGCGTGGAGGGCAGCGGACATGGCGAGCGGCGGCGGGGGAGGACACGGCTGTTGCCACAATATAGTGGAAGATTACAGCTCCTCTCGAAGCTGGGGAAAGGCGCGAAGCCGGGAGAAGCGGGAAGGTAGTGAGTACAGGTGCCGAGGAGTGGACAGATGGGGGAATGTCTTACCAGGGGATCAGCCAAGAAGCGAGCCTGGGGCGGGGCCGGGCGGAGGAGTGGCAGAGGAGGGGGGTCGAAGGGGAGGAATAAATAGGGCGTACTTAAGGGCGGATTGGCGGCGAGCGCAGAGCAGCGAGATTTCCGGAAAGCGGATGGGAGGGCGTCGAGTGCCGAGGAGCAGTTCACCCGCCGCGCGTGGGCGTGACTGACTGCGTTCGACACACTGCTTAGATCGCCCAGATCTCAGGCACTGTCATCGTCCGTCGTCCTCGGCCCGGCCTTCTCCCGCCCTCCTCCTCCTCCCCACTATTTCTTGCTCCGGGCGGCCACCTGCGACGCGCACGACCACGCACCGCCGCCCACACGCACCCACCACCCCCGCCCGCACCCCTCGCGGTCGAGCACCCGGCCCCCACCGCCCAGCAGGCGCCCCCAGCGCTCCTCCGACGCACACGGGAGCACTCGTCACTCCCCGACCGACTGATCTCGCCTCATCTTCCAACCGCAACGATACCGCCAGCCACCTGCCTCCCGACCCCGCCACTGACACCAATGCCCTATCTCACGGCCGCCTTCCTTATCCCGCTCCTCCCCCAACGGACAAACCCACCCGCTGCGCGAGTGCAAGAACCCCGGCCGACTGCTCGCCTGCGCATACCCAGTTCGGCAGTTCTCCGTCCGCAAATGTCGGCTCGTATTGATCGCCCCTGATGCGCCTTCCTACTTGCATTTTTGATCCGTGAAAAATCGGACTCCTACACGAGCTCGCCTGTAGTACGGCATCTCCATAGGTGGCCTGCCCCGCGCCGTGCCTACTTCATTTTCAAGAAAACAAATTGCACAAAGTGCCACACACGGTCTGGTTCTCTGTCCTTCTAGGCATCCGCGCTGCAACGCTAACGGTTGCAGTCTCGCACATGTGGTGGCGACCTTGACGCGACCGGACTTGCAGGTCGGGCCACGAGCCATCCTTCTCCCGCGTTTCGTGCGAGTCTCCGCCCGGCGTACCTACCTACCGAACACCTCGCTCGCCCGAACGCCTTCTCGGCACTCCTCAGATGGCGCCTCCTCCCGTCCTATGACTCGCACATGCGGCCTCGTCTCGACATACGCCTCCATAGAATATTCGTCTGCGCCGCCAACGGCCGCAGACGGGCGCGAGCGCCTCTCCAGCCCCGTTCTATGATGCTCGAGGTGCGGATTCCATCATGTAATCCTCCGATCCTGTCGTAGGCACGCCCGCCGCGTCCAATGGCAGCCCGCGTCGCCGCGGGGCGTTCGCAGCACATGATTATCGCGCTCGCCCAAATGCGCCTTCCTAACGCTCCGCTGGGAGCATGGCGGGTCCGTCTGCCTCGTGTGCCCGCGAGCCACGTCCTGCGGCCCGCTATCTGCTCGCCCAGGCATGCATTGCGAGCTCGCCCCGCGCGCAGGCCGTCTCTGCATGCACGTTCCTGCCCCGGGCTTTTCATAGCGTCCGTGCCTTGCTCCTGGGCGCACTCTGCCCGGCCGCACTGTCTCTGTCAGTGGCTCGAGGGGGCGACTGCATAGCGCAGGCCCAGGGGGACACGGTTGCCTAGCGCCGTCCACATTGGGCACCTCGGATGACCTCTGCATCAGCCTTCTCGCTACGCCCGGTACCACGCTGTGGCAAGCAGCGACACCCACACCGAGCTTCGACTTCGCGCCTTCGCCGTACACCGGAGTTCCTGGGCACTCTGCGCCTCGTGGGTGCGCCAGGTTTAGGATGGCGTCGTTCCCGGGATGGACGATCTCCGGCCTCGTGCGTGTCAAGCAGCCTTTTCGCCTTTGCCTCGTTGGACGCGGCTGACACCGTTTTGCGCAGGTGTTTCTGGACACGGCTGGGCTGTAGCTTGTGGGACGCGTATGACGCATGCGCATTATCCGCCGCGTTTGCTTTTCCGGTTTGGCGGCGAAGGTCAGCGGTCCGTCGCCGTTGATGTATCTGCTTTCCCGTTCTCAATAATCGCTTGTATTTTTACCAGGCACAATTTCAGGTAGGAACCACTATGTTGCAATACAATCCTCTCGGACCTTACACATCGCCCAGCGCATACGATAGACCTTTGGCGCCCGCCAGCACAACTACGGCGCTCCGCATTCTACAGGACGCAACGTCCGTCCAACCCTCCCAACTCTCAAACGGAGCCGCCTTACGCACACATCTCGCACCCCCGCAGCCCCCTCTTGCTTCCCTTCCACCCTTCCACGCCGTTACGTTGCGCCCGCCCGTGAGCTGTTCCGCATCGGACGCACCCAGGATCGTCCGCGCCCGCGCCCGCGCCCGCAAGCCTCTTCTATGCGCGCATTACCCTCCATGTGCAGGGGTCGCCCTGATTGGCGACGACGACGGGGATGCCGCACCCGGATTAACGTACAGCGATCGCGCCTTCCTGACCACCCCGATGTCAGCCTGTCGCCGACGGATGGCGGCCCACAACCCATAACCGTGGTGGGGCTGCGCACGCGCGCTCCGACCGCGCACTTCGGGTTCGGGTCCCGCTTGGAGTGTCGGGCCTCGCCTCGCCTTTCAGCTGCGAGTATTATTGGAACGTCGGCTGGGCGAAATGCACACGGAACCTGAGGGGGAGGGCTTGGCGCGCACATGGGCGTGTTATCGTGTCTCAATCTCAATCATTCGGTGCGTGTGTCCCCCTCATGGCCGGCGCAGACCGGTCGCGCTTTTCGCGGGCGCTGGGATGTTCTTTGGACTGTGTGGATGAGGAATGTGGTTGTCCCTAGACGGCGTGCGCTAGGCTTCAGAGGGCGCGCCGTCGCGGGTCGGCCGGTATGGCTACTTGTTTATTGTGCGTATGTGTTTCAAGCAAGCAGCAAATGAAGTTTCATGCTATTCATGAGACATTCCTTGTAGAAGGCCGAGGCGTACTATGTGTTGTTGGAGCATGTCAGCACATCGTCTTGAAGACACCTCTCTTCTGAGGACCCATATTGGAGACGGGTGTGCTGCGAACACTGGGAGCTCCACTCCTGATTCACTGCGTTCTCCCGCGTAGACCGCTTCGTGGAGCAGAGAGCTCCTCTTGTCCTCTTGCCGTGCTTGCTGCTAAGCTGCGGTCGCACCCATGTGTGCACACGGGCCCGAACCATAGCCTGCCACCCATGCACGAGACAATCCTCCGACGCATCGGACCCGCCCTTCCCATCGGCTGGCCCGCTGAGAAACACACCCCTGCCCGGGGCGGCACTCTCGTCACCACAAGGGCTGGTCGCTCCGCTGCACCATCGGACACTCGTCGGCTCGCGCGGACCCTGTGTGGGCCGATGACAATTTGCCACGCTTTTGAGCCGGTTGGGGACCCTTGGGTTGGATAGTGAATACCAATGATCCTGCGCGTCGCGGCACACAGCCACTCCGATCGGGCTACCTGCCCGACTCTGGAGCGGGAGGACATTTGGGAAATGGGGGTCCAGCTCGGGGTAACGTTCTGACGGACGCTGTTGCCGGGAACGCTGGGGACAAATGTGTGGGTGCTTCGTATGGACTCCCGTGACGGTCTGATTTTTGGTGCGCTCTTCTGCCGTCGTTCGACATTCATGACTATCTTGCTGTCAAGAGTGCGTTTGAGCGCTGATTTTTTGACGACATGAACTGCGGCGGCGCTGAACCAAGCGTCTCGAGAGGTCATGGGCTTCGTATATTGCGTTGAGCCCCTGCAACGGGTTCGCCACGCGTTCCTTTTCCCCTTTTGCGTTCCTTCTGTCCGATCGGATACAATAAGTGGGCGGTACCACAAGTCGTGTGTTGGCTATATCAGTCGCATGATGACCATATAGTCGTTGTTTGATAAAGTACGTCTGGCCGAGTCGTTATTACACCATCTGTTTACACCCTCGCTTACTCATGACGCGTCAGAAACCTCGATGCCCGAGCCCCCGCAGCGGTTCGTTCAGGCCAACAAGAGCCAGGAATTTTGTGACGAGACTGCGCCACCGATTCCACCCCTGTGAAACCGTGGTGCTGCGCCTCTGTGGGGCTTAAAGGGTGCACTCGTAAAGTTTGCCTTCAGCTCAGGCACAACAGTGAACCGTACGGATCTAACCTAGTCATCTCATTCGTCCATGGGTGGATGATGCCTGTGAAACGTCGGGTAAGCAGCGTCTCATACCTCTCTACCTTTGGCTCTGGTACCAACATGCTGCGCTGCTAAACAGACGGGAGGCATGGAGGATGGGCGCCGGAGCGCTCTATCATGTTTCGTCTCGCTTCACCTCCAAGACATGACCAACGCGCTCCAAGGCGGCAAGGAGAGGCTGTGATCTCAGTCCGAGGTTGAACGGAGGCTTTGTCGAATGACAACCGAGCCACAAGATGCCATGACCGTGCATGCGCTACTACGAGGTGGCAATACTCACCTTTATTGGCCCTGAAGGACAGAAGCGAAGACTTCAAGCGTTCGCATACGATACTCTTTTAGGTCTGTAGTGTATAATGATAATGCTGGTGAGTGGGACCTCTGTGTCTGGGCAATTGGGACTGACGTTGACGAACCCCACAGTTATGGTGCATCGTTGGGTACAATGTGCTACCGGCATATATTGTATAACCTTTCCGCTGAAGGCGGTAAGGAGTGGCAAGTATGTTTCAAGTCCGAGGTTGAACGGAGGGTTTGTTGTTAGTCCACGCGTTACTGTAGGTAGCGATACTCACCTTCGTTGGCTCCGTGGGACCGCGGTGAAGAATTGGGACGTTAACACACGATGTTGTTTGACGTTTGTAGCATGGTACAATGCTGGTGAGTGGGACCCGTGCTTCTGCACGATCAGTACTGACGTCGACGAACCCAGTTATCATAAGATCGTTGTGCGCAGTATGCGACCAGATGGCATTTATCGTATGTGCTTCCGCTGATAACCACGAACTGTGGTGACCGCTCTTAATATTAGAGGACGACCGGGGCTAACGCCTACTAAGGCCTGAGGACGCACAGCCTTGCGAATCGAGAATACTTCCTGCAGATAGTGACTCGGACAGAAGACAACACGAAGCAGATTCTCGCACAGATCTCAAAGATTGCATTGTGCGTATAGTGTAGTTCGGACCCGCCGAGCTTCTGATATGACTAACAGCCAACGTTGATACTACCAGCGTTCTTAGAAGCATCGATCGACGATGGACTAAGAAGAACGGTGGCACCGTTCGAACGCAGCGGAGCGTCACACCCGCTTCTCCAAGGCTATCTCTTGAACAGTTCTGCCACACGTGTTCGAGTCGAGGTCTCGAAAGAAGCCCAACCAATCGGGCATCAAAAGCTCCTGGTGGCACGTCCCAATTGTGCCGCCACATGCAGCCACAACACCGCGCAACAGCGCTTCGGTGAGCTCCACCATGTTGTTGTCGCCAGCCCCGGCTTCTTCTCAAACCCCCGCAGGCACACAACCCAGCTTTCCATCCTTCTCCCACTCGGCACCATGTGGTTTAACGTTCAACAGCCAGCGACGCCTGCGTGCGGCTGATACGCGAGTCACACCCATGCCAACGGCGTGACCGTATGGCACCCATGTGGGCGCCTTCGCTTAACTCCAGGAACCGTCCACCCATACCATCGCGGTCCCATCCCGCTGTCGTGATACGCAACGCAGCCTTCTGGATCGCCCGGGGTGCGGGGCCCATGAAAACGTCAGCGGGAGATGGTCGCTCCGAGCCCTCGGCCTGTCGACGTCGAGCACTTAGCCAAACGCCATGTCATTTCGGGCTCCCCGTCCATGTCCATGTCAGCCGAAGAACTGGGCCCCGGACGGCTCGGGCGCAGCGGATGCTGTTGTGCTCCAATATCAACGCACTTCGTTTACGTGGACGTTGGAGTAAGTACATGTCGGGCGTTAAAGGTCCGTCTGTGTGCATGACACCTGCTATCAGCGTACTCTATGCTGCTATCCTTAGCTCGTGCGCTGACTACCTTCTCGTAGATTTCGAGGCACGCGATTAATCCGAAAGCTACTGGAATAGCCTTACCGAGGTCGGCTCTATACGACGTATTTGACAGGTCGCACGAGACGATCCTTCTATGGGCATGTCCGAATTCGCGAAACCGACCTCGGGTAGAGGACGACAGGGTGCGATATCACCACTCCGACTGGCCGGGGGAGGCGACGGTGAGTGCATCATGCAGGTTCTGCGCGCCGGCGGCACAGTCTGACAGATCCAGGCCACATCTCAGACATGGCATGCAGGCCTGGTGTCGCGCTAGCTCCACTGACAGCCTTCCATGCGTCGGCGTACTACACGGCAATCGCGCTCCCATCCCTGAGTCCGTCCGCGGGCGCCCCACCAGCCAGGAACAGTTCTCCGCTTTCTGTCCGTCGCGCCGACGTGTCTCCCGCCCCCAAGTTGTATCCTATTGCCAGGTGTGGTTTGCGTCCTGTCAGCGAGCGTAGCTAATCCCCGGTATCTCCTCGATCCGCCGGCACTCCCGCGCCTTCCAAATCGTGGTCGGAGCATGCTTGGCGGACGTTCGTTCTTGAAGGTGTGCTTCCCCCGCAAGGCTCCCTCTCTGTGGAAATGGAGACGTCAGCGCGCGCGGCACTTCCCGCGCGTCGCACATTCGGAGGGCCTCTCTCCGGAAGCAGCGCAGCATTCTCACAACCCGTCAAGCCGTCAGCGCGCCATACGAACGACCAAAACCGGACTGATCGTCCTTGTGGCACCGGGTCGGATATTGCCCACGTCCACGCCAAGGTCCACGCAGACCTCCTGTTCGGAGAGCGGCCTCAATCACGCTGGCGGATGCACGGCAGGCCGATGGCGATGATGATGTCCCGCTCGACGTCCCACACGGTGTGCAACGGCACTTCACTGACTGTCATGCACGCCCGTGATTAGGGGGGCGATACGGTCAACGGGGGTGTTCCTCTGACCTGTCCTCGCACGGCGCACAGGCATCATCATGATATGTTCGGCCGCATTAGAGCCATGCAGTGGGACCATCACCCTGTCTGCCCGCGCCATATGCACCGTCACGGCCCGCGTTACGCTCGAGGAGCGGTGTGCGGGGTACAGTATCATTATGGGGTGGGGCTTCCGAGGATTCTGCCTCCGCACCATCTGGGCTCACGCTCTGGCGTCTGCCATCTTCTGGGCGGACGGGGGCCATCGGGCGCGCCACTCATTTCCGCGCTGTTGGATGATCAGACCCGCAGGTGGCTGCTAACAGAACGGCGACCGCCTTTCTTTCATCTGCCAGCGTTCGCACGCGCATCGCCGCGCCGCGCCGTGCAACGCGTTTGGGAGAGGGGATGTCTGCGCAGAGGCGCAGAAGACAGGAGCCTCGGACTCGGACGCGGGCGCTGGGTCGTATCAGTCACGCAAGCTCAATCAGAAATCTTGCAATTGGATTCGAGATGGGCCTTGTATGGCGAGCCTAACGCCGCGAATGAACGATGAGCATACGGTGAGCTCTTGCGCTTCCTCTTCCTCCTGTTATTGCGCCTCTCTTCCGCTTCCTCTTCATCCTTCTGCCGGCTCCTGGGAAGCGGCGCTGTGCACGGGCCCTTCGCTCGTCCGGTGGCGCGAAGAGCGAAGATGTGCGTATGCGGTCTGTCGGGATTGGCAGAACAGAACCAGCTGCAGGCAGCAGGCCGCGGCCGGGGCGTCGCCGGGCGTTATAGCAGGTCTTGTTCGCACCCGCACACATGACACGGCCGCCGCGCGATGCACATCAGATCAGGACGCATGGTTACATACAATGAGCAGCAGCCTCTGAACCTTGAACCTTGCCAGGATTTCGTCCGAGGACCGAGATGTTTGTTCAACAAAGACTAAATCGCGCGCCCTATAGCCCGCTGGTTGCGTTGTTCACCGTGCTAGCCCGCAGCCAGGCCCGCTCGGGCGTAGTCAGCATGCCACCATCTGAAAGATCAAGGCACGTCGGTGACCGCCGAAAGGATGAGAGAATGTTGGACGAACATAACTGCAAGTCGCCTTGACTATGCCTCCTTTGTCAGCTGCTCGATGATAGGTTCCATATGCTCACTCAGGTTCGGGCCACATAACTCGGTCCGAGCCGAATAGTCTCTGTAAGTTGGCGCAGTGGTGGACTGACCAGGAGAGCGTAGTGCTCGCTTGGGTTGTGGCATGGAAGAACCTGGAGCGGGAGGAGTTGTCCTTGTGTATGTGCTTCTCCTCATACAGGTAACAGCTAGAAGCCAGCGAAGTGCGCGGAGCAGCAGCGGACCAGGCTTAGCACGAATGTTCCATGACCATAATTGCCGTGCCTGATAAGCGTGCGCCGGCCGTTTCAATTTTCTGAAGGTTATGACGGCTAAACGGATACCCCCGCATGGGCGTTGCGCTCAGCGTATTCTATGAATCGTGTCCAGAAACTCACAGGGCATTCAGACCAGCTCACGAGTACAGCGAGCCGTTGGCCTCAGCTGAGAGTGTCCAGATCGTGTGGTACTGGAAGGTACTGGAGAGGTGTACATAGCCGCATAACAAGGAGAGGCTTGGGATTAGTGATCGGGCTAGACCGTGGCGGGCGCGGTGGATGTTGCCGTAAAAGGAGCTGATGTAATAGTAACAAGGCGGGTAAGGAGAGTAATAAGCAGCGAACACGGGCGGCTTAGCGCGCTTTCATTTGCAAGCTCTGCAGTAAGCGACTCTGCGGCAGCAACGAGCGACCTGTTCCGCTGGACAAGCTCTCCCTCTTCTCCCCCATCCCCGCCGTCGACGACCCCTGCGCCTGCCTGTCTGCGCCCGCAAGTCCCTTCCCGACTGACCCGCAGCTGCTCGTGCTTGTACTCCGCCCTCTGCCATCCGTGCCTGGATCTCGTCTCCCGAACGGCGCGACGTCCTTCGCTCCCTTGCCAGCCATGGTCCACTCAAGTCCCCACTCCGAGAACCTGAGCCCCGTTATGCCCCCTCATCAGGCCCTTCCCGTCCATCCGCTTTCGCCTACGAGTCCGAGCCAGTCGGCATGGAAGTCCCTCTTCAGGCTAGGCAGTCAGTCCGCCAAGAAGGCCACTCCCTCCTCCTTGACTCTCGACACCAGCGCAATCCACGCCTCTTCTCCGCAGAGCGCGTTCACGCCCCTCACCAGCGCCGCGCCTTCCATTCCGACCCTGCACGCGTCGCCGGATCGGCGGTCTTCTTACAACTCCTCGAATACCCTGTCCAGCGACTCAAATCCATCTATGCCCAACCAGGTTCCTCGGGGAGCCCCGAGCGCGTCAGAGTATTACCAGAATACGCCCTCCTCCGATGCGGACCCATCGCCGAGCACAGACAACGCGCGGTCCAAGAAGCGGTCCGAGAAGCAGCGCAACCTCGGGCGTAAGGCGTCTCACACCACGAACTCCTCACAGCTCTCCTTCATGCCGCCGACTCCCTCCACCCCGACGCGCACCGGTCCGCTCTCGCCGAAGGCCATCGGTGCTGGCGCGTCGCGATTTATCCGTCGCGTCGCGTCAGCGCCGAACGCCAAGGGTCTGTTCTCGCTTAGCTCCCGCTCGAACGGCGCCACGACAAAGAATGGCTTACTATCCCCTGGCGACACCATGTCGCCGATGCCCCACTCGGCGAATGATGCGAGCGAACAGGGCACGACTTCCATGGAGACCCTCTCGTCTGCGTCATCGCGCGGGGCGCCTACGCGCGGGATGCGGTCTGCGAGCACGAACGCGCTCAAGACCAAGGATCGGGTCACCAACACGCAAACATCAGAGGGGCCGGGGAAGATCGCGTTCCGAAGGACGTACTCGAGCCATTCTATAAAGATCAAGTCGGTAAGCCGAGTTCTTCAGTTCCTCCGCATAACGTCCCTTGACGAGTGCGCGCGTAGGTGGAAGTGGGTCCGGCTAGCTTCCACAAGATCAAAATGCTGGGAAGAGGCGATGTCGGGAAGGTGTATCTCGTCCGGGAGAAGAAGACAAGCAAGCTCTTCGCCATGAAAGGTGCGCCGTTATATGGCCGCCGATGCACTGAAACACCCTGAACGAGGAATGCAGTCCTCTCGAAGAAGGAGATGATCGAGCGGAAAAAGATCAAGCGCGCCCTGACGGAGCAAGAGATCCTGGCGACCGCAAACCACCCGTTCATCGTCACGCTATACCACTCGTTCCAATCGGAGAACTACCTGTATTTCTGCATGGAGTACTGCATGGGCGGCGAGTTTTTCCGCGCGCTGCAGTCCCGGCCTGGAAAGTGTCTTTCCGAGGACGCCGCGCGGTTTTACGCGGCGGAGGTGACCGCGGCGCTGGAGTACCTGCACTTAATGGGATTCATATACCGGGACCTGAAGCCAGAAAGTACGTGTGTCGGTCGCGGCAGCCTCGCGGTGCGGGGCTCCCGCGAACGTTGTTTTACGGCGCATATTGACCCGCGGCCGTCCAGATATCCTACTACACCAATCTGGGCATATTATGTTATCGGACTTCGACCTGGCGAAACAGTCGAGCGAGCGTGGAGGCCGGCCCGCGATGATACACCAGGAGGAGAATGGGGTGAGCTCCTGTCTTCCCTGACATGTCACCGCGCTGTGCTGATCGAACGTCGCCCTGCTCCCCTGTCACAGATACCCTTGATCGATACCCGCTCGTGTACGGCTGACTTCCGGACAAACTCCTTTGTAGGAACAGAGGGTGAGCTTCTTTGCGCCACTCGATCCGTGCGGCCCAAGAGCGGTGCACTGATGCTGTGGCGTTGCGTTGTTCGTCAACAGAGTACATCGCTCCCGAGGTCATTCAGACGTCTGGCCATACCTCCGCCGTTGACTGGTGGACGCTCGGAATCTTGATCTACGAGATGATTGTAAGCATTGCGTACTCTGGCCTACGTGTGCGCGGCTGGCTTGTTCTCACGTTCTGACGTACCGCACTTGCAGTATGCTACGACCCCATTCAAGGGCGCCGAGCGGAACGACACGTTCCATAACATATTGAACCTACCCGTTCATTTCCGGGACACGCCCAAGGTGTCGCAGTAAGCACGTTTCGCGCTACTGCCCTCTCACGCTACGTCGCTCACTGCACCGTGACTCGTCGTATTACGTCCTAATTCAGCGCCGGCAAGGACGTTATCACGCGTCTGCTCGATAAACGAGAATGGACCCGCCTGGGCAGCAAGAGCGGCGCCTCGGAGGTCAAGCAGCACAAGTGGTTCGCCAAAATTAATTGGGGTCTTCTGCGGAACACGCAGCCTCCGGTAAGTCACCCTGTCTCCTCACCCTGGCTCCACAAATCCGGCGAGTAAATGCGCGCCGCCCCTGCTTGTCCGCGGCGGATGCGCGTGGGCGTGGGTACGGCGCGCACATGCCACACCCGGTTTGGGCCTCCTCCGGGCGCTGTTTTCAGGGTGCACGCGTCGCGGCGACCCATTGGCTCGGCCATGGTCGTTTAGAAGAGCGTCTGATAGCCTTGTGCTCGTCGGCTACGCCGTCGCGGTGCGCTGGGCTTTTCGGAGATCCCACGTCTGCCGTGCAGCTCAGACTGCCGAGGGGGAAGATCCGCCGACGGGGCTGCTGAGCGATCGCGATTCGCTTTCGGGGTCGACATGAGATTCCGCATCGCCATCTGGCGCGCTGCGTCGTCTGCTGCGCGCGGGGTACGTTATGGCCTTCCTGTGCATGCCATAATACCGGCGGCCGCCCAAACAGAACAGCTGATTCTCCGCGCGAGCGATCTTCGCCGTCACCGCCGCGTCCTGTGTCTCCGCGTCCGCGTCCATCTTTCCGGTGCAAAGACAGTATGCTGATGATCTGCCCCTCTATGCGCTGCTGCCTCCTGTGTGTCTGTGTGTCCTGCACCGCACCGGCGCTGCTCCACATCCACAGATCGTGCCCACGGCCTCAAACGGGATCGACGCAGTGAACTTCCGGCAGATGCACGAGTCGATGTCGCTCCAACTCGAGAAGCAGAGCTCGTCGAACATCAAGGGCGTCGCGGGCTCCAGCGTCCCCGGTACCCCCGGCCTGGGCGGTGACGACGGGCTTGAGCCGTCGCCGCAGGGCGTGGACGAGTTCAGCGCGTTCTCGAGTATCACCCTGCAGTATGACGGGGAGAGCTGAGCCCGTCCCTGTATGCGTGTGGGGGGTCACGGGGTGTAGGTGTAAGTTGGTTGTAGAGGAAAGGTAGAGTGTGTTGGACGCCGGCGGGTCTAGCACCGGGCACATTGGCACGCTTCACGATCGACTTCAGGCTCATCCATACGTCGGCCTTGGTCGATGGTCGATGGTCAACGTAGTCGATCGCACCCGCGCGTGGTTACCGGGACGGGATCGGACTGCTGGTCTTGTTACGATCGCGACCACCTCTCCCTTTCCGATGTGCTCGGTGTGCTCGACATCGCCGCTCCACCCTCGTCACCCCCTCTCTGCCCCTTGTTCGACTCCGCCCGGCTCGGAACCTGCTTTGTGCCTCGCCTCGCCATTCGCCGCCTCGGACTTACCCCGCGGGACGGCACGGTCGCCCACACGCGCCCACAACGGACAGTCCGCTCTCCATTGCCCGAACGCTTATTGTCCTGCACCATGCTCTCGCTCCAGGCTGTCGCTGTCACTTATTGTGTATATCTGCCCGCCCCTTTGTTTTTCCGACGCACCATTGTTTGTTCACGTTGGGTTAGATTGTCGTCCGCCGCAGAGGCCCCGGGGGTCTTCGCGTCCGCGTACCTGGGGCCTCCGTTGGCGTGACTGGCCCTGGTGTTTCTTGGTCTGCGGTCGTTGGATACCTGTCCGCCGTGTTCCTTGCATACCTCCCATACCTCCTCCCCTCTGTTACCCATCCCCCTTTTCTCTCTGCGTCGTCCACTCGTTCTCCGTTCGTCTCGTCACCGCCATTGTACCATCACACCACATCCATCCGCCCGCTCGCGCACATAGGTCCTCGCTTCATATACTTACTCGCTCCCCTCCCCACCACGCACGCACGCACACCCAACCCGTATCCATACCGTACCGATAAATTCAAACTACTACCCGCCGCCGACTTGCTCGCCTTTACCCTGTACATCTCAATCCCGTGCTACCCCCGCCCCTGCCCCACCCTCGTTCCTTTCACCCCCACAAAACACCCACACGGCGGATCCGGCTCGCCCGCTCGTCCTTCTGCGCTTCGCTACTCTCCGCCCCCGCCCCCTTTCCTTCCTTCCGCCATAGACTGTCACCACCATCACCCATCTAGCATAGGATACGACCTGGGCCCGGATAATCTGTCGTCTCTGTTTCCTGGATACATGTTTCGGAGAACCCTGCCCCCTGTCCGAGTCCCTTCGATGTGCCTAAGCCTAAGCCTTGCTCGCAAATTGCGCCATGGCCATGTGCGGGATGCGGTGTGCAGCAACCGCGCGGAGAGTGGGCGGGGGAAGCCCGCACTCACCGCCGGTTGCGTTGCCCTCCATCAGTGACATACTCCGCGGCCCAAATCTGCGAGATTTGAATTCGAATATGGCCATCAGCGTGCGGCGGCGGGGCTGGCGTTCTTTTCATTTTCGCTAGGCGCACTTCTGTGCTTCGCAGCGACGCTAGTGCGGCCGCGGGGCGCGCCTGCGAAGATGTCGACTTCCACGGGCGACATGCAATTGCTTGTCCGTAGCGCGCGCGGGGTCGGGGTCTGAGTTTGCGGCTGAGCGGGGGGTGCGGGGAGCGTTCTGGCTTCTCAGAGCGCGATCGGAGCTGTGCGTATCGCTATCTCCGGCGTTTGCGCTCGACCCCGGCCGCGGAGGGGGCATGCCTGATGCTCGCTATTGCAAGGGCGGCCGTAAGGTGTGCATGCGCACCGTAGAGTTTGATCGCGACTGAATGCCTGCGTGCACCGGGCTCACTGGGCTGTGGCTGCGGGCGCTGGCGCGCGGGGCAAGGCGGGGTACACTTCATATTCAAGGTTGCGTCTGCGTCTGCGTCCAGTGTGCCGCTAATGCCCCCGCAGGCCCGCAGCAGGGCATATCATGCCGGCGGTACGGAGGGCTGGGAGCGGTGGACAGGTGGCAGCCACTATCGAGGCGCGCGGCCCTGCGTGTCGAGGCTGCCAGTGCCCGGTCGATCAGATCAGAGGGGGTGGTGGTGCGATGAACAATTGGCATTGGCAGGCGGGCGTCCGCCGGGGACGTGGAGATGAGCAGTGCCAACGTTGCTGCTACAGCGTCCGAGTCCGGGGGTGTCCATAAGATTTTCAATGGCCCGGTGGGCGCGCGCCGGGGCGGAGACGAGGCGGAGAATGGGGCGGGCTCAGCGGGAGGCCGGATTAGGGAGGGGTCGCGAGCACGCGGCGGAGGAGGCGAGATGGAGAAGAACGTGGGGGAGGGGGCGAAGGCATTGTGGCGCAAGAAGCGAGGGGGTAACGAGAGGCACGCCGGGTTCTCTGCGCGAGGTTCTCGGGCGGGGCTGGAGATTGGGCAGCGCGGCGGGGGCGCGAGGCTGCAGGCTAAGTGACTGGGAAGGATGACGATGACGTCTGCGCGCGCGGACGTCGCGCGTCGTGCTCGCGGGTGGGCAGGCGAGTAGCCGAGGGACGTGTGCGCGTGCTCGTTGGGCTCGCGAGTGGCTCGCGTCGGATGGGCCTGGGGAGGGCGCGCGAGGACAGCGCGGGCAGCGGCCCTGGGCCGGGCACTGGGAGGGAGTGGCTGTCGACTGGGCGAGTGGGGACGGCGGCGCTCTGCCCAAAGCTGTGCAGGCCGGACACAGGTGATCGGGGAGGACGGGTGCCGAGAATGGACTAGTCTCGCGGGCGATCGTGAGAGCCCGTGAAGCTTGGGGGGCACCCTCGAATAGCGATCGCCCAATCAAATGCGCCGCTGGGGCTGCCGAGCTGCCGGGCTCGCCCGCGTCTGCACTCGGGTCTGGTGCGCTGGCAGACGGCGAGGACGCACAGAGGGCAGGGGCCTTGCCATCGCGAGCACCGTGTGTCAGCAGGAATGGAGTCCGTACGGCATGCGGAGAGGAAAGTGCCGAGTGGGCTCGCCGGATTTAGACGGGCTTGTTCGATCAGACGCTCTGACTGGATCCGTCGCCTGCCTGATTCGAGAAAGACGGCGACGGGGGGACGGCACGCTTTGGGACGGTGACTGGCAGCGAACTCTATTCGATGCCTGTGTGACTGCCCCGGACCCCAGGGACTGCGCCAGTTGATGACCGGGTCGGTCCAGGAAACTTAAGTCCACCGCTCGCTGGCCGCCTTCCTTTTCTGCGGGGGCATCGAATGCTTTGCTCTGCGCTGGATCTGCCCTAAAAGTGTTGGGTCTCCTGCCCCTCCAGTCGCGTCGCCTCCCACCACTCGTCCAGCCCGGCCCTCCCCTTCGCCTGGGCTGCCCCGCCTTCGGTCAAGAACGCTCAGAAGTCCCGCCTTCCTCCTTCTGCCTCGTGCCCTTCATCTCCTCCACCCCTTCCCCTTCCTCCCCTGCCCGCCATGTCCGCAGACCTCTACCCCCAGTCCGCGTACACTACGCGCCCCGCCTACCAGCAGCGCGCAGACCAGCCGTACCAGCTCTCGACCTCCTCCAACGTCGCCTCCTACTCCTCGCAGCTCCTCCCCTCCCAGCAGTCCACAATCTCCGACTCCCAGAGCGCCCACGACGCGCACTCCCAATCACCACAGCGCGAGTCCCAGTCTCCCAAGCAGGAGGACAATGGCTCCGTCCCAAAACAAGAGGGCACGCCCCAGCAGCAGCCTGCAAAGCCCCAGGCGACGTTCCTCACCAAGCTCTACGCGTACGTCGCGTCCTGCTATATGCGCGCGCTTATTCACTCACCTTCAATCAAGGCTCCTCGAGAGGCCCGAGAACCACCACATGATCCGCTGGGATCCCGCGGGCGAGCACATCATCGTCGAGCGGCCAGAGCAGCTCGCCCTTCACGTTCTCCCCAGCGTTTACCGCCAGTCGCGCTTTGCAAGCTTCTCCCGGCAATTAAACGTAAGTCGGCTTCCCCACCGTCATCGCGTCCTTTTTTCGCGAGTTCCTGCCGACCCTGACATGCTTGATTTCAAGATCTACGGCTTCATGCGTAAGGTCAACCTCCGAAACGTTGACCCCGCGATCGACGACCCTGACGCGAGCACTTGGTGTACGTCGCATGGTTCCTGACTGACATTGCGCCACCTTGTACTGACGCGAGGAGTGCAGCGCACCCGACTTTGAACAGGCACTCCCCCGCAGAGGTCGTCGCCAACTTCAAGCGTCGCGTCCCTCCTCGCCTCCCGAAGCCGCGCAAGCGGGAGAACGAGATGCCTCAAATTCCCCCACCGCGCTCTGCTATCGGTATGGGTCCCGTCCCGCTCTCAGTGCCTTCAGGGGATTTATCTCCGTACAAAGGTGGCCGTGCGCGCGGATTCTCCGCCCCCGGCTCCTTCACGCCGCTCAGCCAGCCTGGCGCCCCTGGATGGGGCACTAGCTACCCGCGTTCCACCCTCCCCCCTCTCAACGTGCCCTCCGACCCGCCGTCGCTTTCCTCGCACGGCAGCATGTACTCCCACTCCTCTCATACCCTGCACCCAGTTACCCCTTCTGAAGATACCCAGTCCCCGTCTGCTTTTGGTTCGATGAATTATTCTAGCGCTGGCCGTGAAACCATGATGCTCCCCTCGCCAAACTCACAGTACCAGTACTCTGAGCAGCAGCCTAGCTGGTTTTCGTCGACGGGCGCGTCGCCCGCCGCGCACTCTTCCGGCTCGCTCTCCAGTCTGCTGAACCCCAGCAGCAACATGGGCAGCAGCTACTCTACCACCCGCCCCCAGCCTGCGGCGATCAACACCTACACCTCCTCATACCCTCAGATGGGTCGCAGCCACCCGAGTGCGACTCCCGTTTCCCCTGACAGCCGACCGACGTCTGGCTATTCGGCTGCCTCGTCTATGTCGTCTCTCCCGACGCCGTACGAGGAGTCGAACGCCCACCAGTTCGGGCACCACGACTACTCTCGGCCAGGGTCTGGGCACCATCGGCCGATGAGCCCATCGTCGTCGCGTCCGCCGTCGTCGAAGTCCTATTCGACTAACAACGGGTCGTTGAGCATTCGCAGGGAGCGGCGGCACAGCCAGGCGATGTCGCCATACCCCTCGCCCTACACCGAGCACCCCTCGCACCGCCCGTCTACCTCCCCTCACCCTGCGGACGATCACTCCGGTAGCAACGGCATCCCTCGTGTGCGAAGCATGATCCAGCTGCCCTCCGTCGACTCGTACTCGTTCAACCCCTCGCAGGCGGAGTTCGCGTACGCGGCGGTCGACGACGGCGGTCACGGTGGCCACGGACACGGCATGTACGGCGGTCTTCCTGGTCAGCGGAGCGTGCGGCCGTCGACGAGCGCGTCGTCGCTCAGCACGAGCAGCTCGGCGGCGAACACACCGGGAGGGGACGGATATGGCCCGAGCGGGGGAGATGCGGATATCACCCGATGTGAGTGAGTCTGCTCCACTACATGACGGTCTCAGTTGTGCGCACTCCCAGTTACATGTACGGAGTGCCCCTGCCGTCTAGTGGTGTGCGGACGCGTGCTGACAACTTTCGCTCAGATTCACCCGACTACGGCTACGTGCAGATGAACGAACACCTCCCGCAATACGCTAAGGAACAGCTCTGAAAACGTCGTCGTCCTCGCATTGCGGGGGCATACAACGACATCGCGCCAGTGGACTCGGCTCTCGTTTGGACTTTATCTATGCCACCCATGCGTTCATGTCCTGCATCCCTCTCCCCTTGCCCCCCATAGACGTCTCGGACTCGGCTCGGACCCCTCACTACATGCGCCGCTGCTTGCCTCGTCTTCGTGCGCCGGTCGACTACTCCCCCCCTCGCTCTTCACCTTCTATCAGGACGTCGATGGACTTCGCGGACGGTCGCTTCGGAGGATTAGGAAGAAGGACCCCGGTGACGGAACCGCACGGCTGTGCAGGACGATCGCAGGGCCCGGCGTCAGCGCGGGAGGCCTTGCGGTGGAGGGTCGGCGACTATCATCGTCACGCCCTTCCCCGTCAGCATCATGCATCGCCGAAGGGTGTAAGGTTAGATGTCATCGTGCGAACGATTGACTTCTGCCATTGCCCGGATGGTGGCTGCTGTGCGTTGCTGTTCGCCGCGGCAGGTTGACGGGGTGATGTGCGGGGCGGCGTTTGCTGGTCGTGCGGTGTTTTCTGGTCGCCGTTTTCTGATGGCGAGCGCCTCGGACGCTTCTCTTTGTGTCGCTGCTGAGTGGTGGGCGAGTGTGCCTGCGCTGCTGCCCCTCCATCTCAGTTGCACCATCTTGTACGAACTCTCTTCTCCCGTCCGTCCATCCCCCTATCCATCTATCGTCGGTCTTTGCCTGATGACCCGCACCGTTTATTATTCGCCGTCCGCCCCATTCCTCTTCCCCGGTGCCCGCAGCTCGTTACCCCATTCCTGCTTACCGCTCTTTCGTCCGCACCGGCCGTTGCTGTTTAGCAACGGTTGCGTCCACCCTTTACGTTTCCGTTCTCGCTGGGATCTTTATCACCACACCATGTCTCATAGTCTTGTGTCTGCGCTCGCTGTGTCGCTCTTCCGTTCGTTTGTCGCTCTCTCCGTGTGTAGTACTCTTCGCGTTCTCGACCAATAGCTGTATTTGTTGCCCTCTCCCCGCCGGGGCGCGCCCCACACTGCCTTCCCCTCCGGTCGCCCGCCCCGTCGCTGTAACACCTCCGCCCCCGCTCACGTCTCCTCTCGTCTCATCGTCCCGCTCGCTCGCCCCGGTCCTCGCCCGCAATCCCCCGTATATACATATGCATCGTGTCCTTGATACAGCTCGCTCCAGAAATATACCCTCCCTCTCGCCTTCCGATCGCGCGCACGCGCAACAGCTATCACGCACTCTCCAACGGTGCTCGCGGAGTCGCGCCCGGGTGAACGCGATAGCGAAAAAGCATGTAGACTATAGCCGGCGCGAGTGCGCGACCACGGTTAGCGGTTAGGCTCGGGTAGCGGCGGTTAGCGCGTCTGGCCATGGCGGACCCCGGGCCCCAGATCTGCGCGCACGATCGGGAGTGGCTCGCGTCGCTGGCCTCGCCACCTCGATAGCGCGTCGTTCGTGCAGCCAATCGGCGCGCGCTCGCGGAAGCAAAATGCGCCTGCGCAGGCGCCCGTGACGACATTGTCCGGGGTGACACAAGCTGAGAGAGGCGCTGGTGACGCCTGGGGTGACGGCGTTACCGTTACGTGAGTGGGTGAACGGGCGGGCGGGCGCCTGCTGGGCGGAATGTGGACTCCGCGAGTGTGTGTTTGGCAGCGACGTCCGCGATCCTCACGAGGCGAACTTGCACGCTGCGTTCCTGTTTCTTCTCGCTGGCTTTTACCTGGCTTCCCGCGGTCCCGCTGTCGGCGCTGCCTCTGCGCTTGGAGAGAGACGGTACACGTCGAGACTGGCTGACGACGCATTACACATCCACACACACACACCCGACTCTGGCCGACTTGACTTGACTTGGTAACTGCGAGGCCTTGATTGGAACTGGAACCTACTAGAGATTTGAACGCACGATGGCGGAGGACGATGATGCCGTGGTGCGGCTCGTCGCCCAGTGCAAATCGAACGGTCTGTGTGTCTCCCACTTCCGCTGCGACGCGTCGTGCTGATGCGAGCCTCTCATTGCTCTTGGGTTACGCGTTTGTGGCGCTCTTACGCGCGCCTCTCAAATTCGTCGCGTCTGAATCCGTGTCGTATGAACGTGGCGGACGAGAGCAGATAATGACGTGAGGGTGGATGCGATCACGAAGCTACAGGCAGAATTCGAGGCGGGCTGCGAGGTACGTGTCGCGTCTCACCCTGGAATGACGATCGGGAGTGCAGAGAGCCACACAGAAAGACTGACCGACCGCCCCCGGCACAGATCGCAGACCCAGACGCGCTCATCCAAGCCCTGAAGGCGTGCCTGCGCACGCCCAACCAACACCTCACGACCGCGACGCTCTCCGCGCTCCCGCCGCTCATCCCGCTCGTCGTCACGCGGCCGCCCGCGCAGATCCCGCTGCCCGGCTCGTCCACCTCCCCGGCCGCGTCGACGTCGTCCGCGTCTGCGTCCCCGATCGACGCGCACGCGATGCGCCAGGTGCTCACGCAGCTCATGCCCGCGGGTGGGGGCGTGCTCGACCGCCTCGGCGACGCCCGCGAGCGCGCGCGCGACAAGGCGCGCGAGACGCTCGTCGTCATGGGCGGGTTCGCCTTCCGGTGCGGGGGCGCGGGCGCGGGCTCGGGCTTGCGCAGCTCGCGGGACGGGAAGGGCCCGGAGACGCCGATGCAGCTATTTGAGCGGTTCTTGCGGGAGGGCGGGTTGGCGAGCAAGGTGTGGCGGGCGAGAGAGCAGGTGCGTGTCCTTTTTGCTGTGGTGTGGGGTGTTGTAGGGGAATGGCGTGCTTAGGTGCGTGTTTGTGTGCAGTCGATCCTCGTCCTGGTGCACATCCGGCGTACGCATCATATGTTCCCGCTGCGGCCTTACTTGCCGCACCTGGTGGACGCCCTGGAGGACACGGACGGCGCGGTGCGCGAGTGCGCGCGGCAGTCCGTCGTGGAGCTCTTCACTGGCCCGGGGGTCACGGACGCCGCCCGCGCGGACCTCAAGAAGGAGCTGGCGAAGAAGAACGTGCGCAAGACGATCGTGGACGGCGTGCTCAACAAGGTGCTCGCCGGGGCGAGCACGCCCAACACCCCTGGGCCGAGGAGCGAGAACGGGTCGGAGAACGGCGATGGGGCGGGCCCGACGAAGGAGTACGTCCCGCCCAGCATCGCGCTGCTGAATAGAAGACCGGGTGGCGCAGCGGCGGGTGGGGCGGGCGGTGCGCCTGTCTCCCGGACAGTGAGCCAGGGGAATGTGCGCGAGATGTCCCGGCCGCAGAGCCGCGCAGCGGTCATGACTCCCACTGGTGAGGCTCCGCCGGCCGCCGGTGGGGGCACAGAGGTCAAGCCTGTCTACGTGAGCACTCCGGTCTTGATTATTCTCGTGCGGTGCGGTGACTGGAGGCTCGTTCTGCGCTGGTTTGGCTTAGATTGCTTCGAGCCGTGATTTGGAGAATGAGTTCGCTTCGATGCTTAGGCCGTTCGAGGTAAGTCCTCACAACAGCCGGAGGCTTAGCTATGCCGGCATTAGGTCGCACCGCTTACTCTCCATGCAGGGCAAGGAGTCTGAACATAATTGGTCCGCCCGCGAGCAAGCCATCCAACGGGTGCGCGGTATGCTCAAGGGGGACGTGCTAGAGCGATACCCCGATACGTTCCTGCACGGTTTGAAGAATGGATTCATGGACGCGTCGCTGAAAACGGTACGGTCCATCCCACGTCCCTAGCGACCGGGCCAACTGACAAATGCGTACCCGAACGCACCCTGACCAGCTCGCCAGCCTCCGGACGACGGTTGCCGGAAATTCATGTGCGCTGTACAGCGAACTCGCTATCGCCCTAGGGCCCGCACTGGACCCGTTCTGCGAGCTGATGTTCACGCATCTGCTCCGGATGGCGAACCTGACGAAGAAGATCACCGCGCAGACATCGCAGGCGACCGTGACCACCCTCATCCAGCACAGCACCGTCCATCCGAAGCTGATAATACCCCTCCTCTGGAACGTCCTCCAGGACAAGGCGATTCAGACGCGCCAATACGCCGTCGCTCACGTAAAGATGTACCTGGAGGTCCACAGCGCCCGCGCGACGCACACCATCGAAGCGTCGGGTGCGATTGAGACTCTGGACAAGTTCGTCCGGAAGGCGCTCGGGGATCCGAACGCGGGCGTGCGCGACAACGCGCGCATCCTCTTCTGGACGTTCCAGCGCATCTGGGTCGAGCGCGGCGCCGCGATCATGCAGTCGCTCGACACGACCTACCGCAAGCAGCTCGAGAAGGCATGTCCCTCGACGGACCTGCTCGCGTCCGTCCCGACCGTGGCGGCGTCCCCGCCCCGGGTCAAAAAGAGCAGCGTGGCGGCGGCGATTGCGGCGAGCCGCGCCAAGGCGAAGGCGATCGCGAGCGCGCCGCCGTCGCTCCGCCACCAGGCGACGTCGACCTCGCACACCATACGCGCGACGTCCCCGCCGACGAAACGCGCCACCTCACCCTCGCTCTCCACGAGCAGCTCGACTGGGGGCGTCCGCGCCCAGTCGCCCGTCTCGCGCTCGTCGCCGCCGCGATCGCGGATAATGTCCACCGGGACCCTCTCGCGGTCGACGAGCTCTGGGGCTGTGCCGAGCCAGGCGGGCCGCAGTCCGCCCCGACAGCCACTACCCGCCTCGCCGCCGTCGCCCACATCGGACCAAACATTCCGGCGGCGCCTCACGTCGCCGACGCTGACCCCGTCGCCGCCTACCTCGAACTCTACATTCCGGAAAGCGGTGGAAACGGCCTTGCCAGCGTCACCGCCGAATTCGGCAGGCAGCTATGCTTCGCCAACACCACGCCCCCAGAAGCTTGGGCAGCCGGCGGTGCCTGTGCAGCGCGAGTCGCTCTCTTTGGCGGGGCTGCGCCACTACGCCGGGTCCGGCGAGGAGGAATCGCTGCTTTTAGCAACGAATATCCCCGTCCCTGAGGACAGCGATTCGGACATGGACATGGATCTAGACGAGTCTGTGAACCTCATATCGTTTTCCACGCCATACGAGGTCTACCCGCCGCGCCCGCCGCGCTCGAACTCGCAGCGCTCGACGAGCTCGAAGCCGGGCTTCTCGAACGCACTCTCGACAGGCACAAGCTCGCCCCCCGCGGGCGTCGCGCAGCCGCTCGTCGAGGACGCGATGCGCGCGCGCGCGGAGCAGGCGGAGAGCGCGGCGGAGCGCCTGCTCGAGCTCGTCGAGCCGGACGAGGACGGCGCGCACGCGTCGCCGATTCCTGCGTCGCTCCTGCTGCGGAACACCGAAGGTTCAAAGGCCAGGGCCAGGGCGAGCGGCGGCAGGAGCGCTGCCGCGCCCCCGGCGCCGCGGACGCCCGTGAGCAAGCGCAGCGCGGCGATCATGCAGCAGGCGGCGCTGTTCCAGGACAGCCCGGCGCACAACGGCAAGACGGCGTCGCTGTTCGACATGGTCGACGGCCGCGACAGGGCGGGCCAGTGGTGGGCGAAACGGATGGCGTGTATGTATCGCAGGTTGCGGGGCCTGTCTCGCGTTCTGATCGTGCGTGCTGATGGTCAATGTTGCTAGTGCTCAAGATGGCCGCGCCCGTCGATGACGCCGGGAGCCCTGAGAGGGACGACTCCCTGAAGGCGTCCGTCGTGGCGTTAGAAGACGGGTCCGCGGACGTTGCCGTGCTGAAGAAGCTTGCGCGGTTGTGCGCGCAGAATCCTGCGCACGAGCCGCTCTCACCTGTGAGCCCGGGCTTTGCCGTCCCCCTCACGCCCTCCCCTATGGACGGCGTGGCACGGCCACTGGTGACGCACCAGACGGATTACTGGACGCAGGACAAGCTGTTCGATCACCTCTTCACCGCGCTCGTCAAGTTCCTGGACCCTCGCAAGGTGAGCGCCATGCGGAGGCGGACCCCGAACTCAATGCAGATAGCGCGCGTTCTCACATATTCAATTAGAATGCCGAAGAACTCGAGTATGGGCTGATCGTCCTGTGGGAAATGCTGGAGAACCAGGCGCCGTTGCTCGAAGGCCGCGAAGCGGATATTTTCAGCCTGCTTCTGCAAATCAGATATTGCGCGCAGATGACTGTATGTGCTGTCCGTTTGGACCCTGCGTCCGCCGCCGTGCTTACGTCCTCCACAGGTGATGCAGGCGACGAACTTGTTCCGGGACACGCTCACGAGCCGCATAGAGCCCGTGTATGGGCTCACGACCCTGCACGCCTGCCTGCGCGCCTTCCGGGACGCGCCCCCGCCGCCTTCGGCGACCACGGAGATAAGAGACGGGACCTATGCATTTGGCCTGATCGCGCTCGGGAAGTTCTTCCTCCGCCTGCCCGCGGAGGTGCTCGAGGAGGAGCTGCCTCGACTACGGGCGACGCTCATCTCGGTGAGTTCCGGCGCTGCCCCCCTCCCTGCGTGCACGGCCACACCAAGCTCACATTGCGACCGTCCGCAGGCTCTGACAGAGAGTTCAGGCACGAGCGCCATCGCCGTGCGGGAGGCCGCGACGGCGGCGACCATCGCTGCCCAAATGGTGCTCCGTGACGAGACGCACCTCTTCACGCTGCTCGACGGGCTGCCCGATGAGAAGAAGAACCTGCTCGCGTACATGTTTGACAAGCACGGAACACGGGGTCCCGCTAACGCATCCGGCCCGTCTGCGATGGAAAAGCTGGAAAGGGAGATGAGGCGCATTGACGGCCGGCTGAGCACGCCAGGTCGGTCCGGGGCCTAGCCCGCCACGTTCGTTATCCGGGGGATTCTTGGCTCGTGGTGGGTAGGTACCTTATGTCGTCCTTAGTATTAAGACAGTCGCACCGTACGCTCTGCCGTATGTTCGTTATGCCCGCACTATTGTAGTCGTACAATTATATCCTTCTTGTGGAATCTCCGAGTACTGTTGTCTGACTACAAAATATGAGGGTATCGTACGTGTGAACTTTGAGGCCGTGGACGGTGATATGGAGAGTGCGATTGGGGTACCCAGGGTCTGAGGATGGTTGAGAGGTTTCACTGCTATAACAGTCGGGTCACGTCAGATTGTATCTACGCATCTATTACCGGACGCAATGTTTTGGGCATACCTGCGAAGTGATCAGTCGCAGCGCTGGATCATAATCATCTCGTCGTCATCGTTCTCGCCAAGTGTCTCTTGCGGTTTGCTATGTTGCCCAGTCGGTCCGCGACAGTCCTGAGCAGCTCAGCCTGGGCCTCCTCCTCCGCAGCCTGGCTCAGGAGCAGGCTGATAAATTCATCTTCTAACCCGTTACAAGGGGTTGACGGCGCGGAAGAAGCCTGCGAAGCGCGGCGATATGCCTGGGATCTGTCGCCCATGTGTCCTAGAAGCGTACCACCAGAAGGGAAGCTATCGGGTGCGGGATGTCTGGGTGGAGCGTCCTTCCTGTCGGTTAGCGGTGCACGCTGAGCCTGAGTGGCCGCCATAGAGGTATCGAGCGGTCGCCTAGCAGGTGCTCCACAAAGCAAGTCCCGGGACGCAGTGCTGGCGTCCAAAGAAGGCGACGGAGCCTGTGCGACGGCGAACGGCTCGGCGTCCGAACGATCATCGACGCTGGCTGACGCATTGTGCCCCAAACCTTGCAGCTCGTCCAGCACGCGTTGGAAGTCCCGGACGACCCCGAACGCGAGGCCACGGTGGGCGTGCTCTGCGCCACGGCGATCGGACGCGCGGGCGGCACGCGCGGTAGGCACCGATGACAGCGCGGGGGACTTGTCGTGGACTGCGGGCCGGGTGTTGAGCAGAGGCCTGCAGGGTGCTGCGCGAAGGCCAGATGGAATGAGCTCGAGGAAAGGCGAGCGGCGCCCCTGCGAGGAGGATCTGCGAGAGTCCAAAGATGGCGAGCGTCGCTTAGCGTCGTGGAATTCTAGACGGTTAGCCGGTGAAGACTCGGCGGCAGGACCCGGCGGGCAGAAAGACTCGAGGGAGGGCAGCTCGGTGCTTGGTGGCGGCGAGGGGAGCAGAAATCTAGAACCGGGGCACGGCGGGAAAGCAGCCGACTGGTCATTGGCGAGTAAATCGTCCGAGTCGCAGGTGTCTTTCGAACGGATCCAAGACTCGGCAGCTTCAGTTAAAGCAGCGTCTATCATGCTCTGGAGAGGTGGCCCGAGAAGAGACGAATCCTCAGGCAGAACGGATTGGTCGGGAGTGAAGGCGCGCAAGGACGGAGTTCGCAAGATGTTCCTCAAGACACCCGGGCTAGCCTTCGGAAACAACCGCGTCCGAATAGGCGTCAGCAAGTACTGGTTCTTGTCCATAATTCCGAGACTGTCCGCCCAAGGCTCATTGACGGTAGCGTTTGTCGAGGGCCGCGGTTCAGACCGGTCGACTTGAGACATCCAATCCTGTGCCGCCAAGTTATGTTCATCATCCATGCCAAAGGTATGCAGCAAAGATTGGATGGCTTTATCTTCGCCAGTGACTGAGTCGACAAGTTTCCCAAGTAGATCATCGCGAGAAGCGCCTCCGCCCTTCGTAGGTCGCAGTGAGGGGCGAGCGTCTTGACTACGCGCACGAAACCGAGCTCGTGAGGGAAGAGCGGTGTAGCGGTCTCTGGGAGCAAGATTCAACATGGCTCTGAGTTGTCAGGTCCCAACGGAAGTTTTGAGGTAGGCTGGTGGTGGGAGGGACGGCGACGGGGTCGTGATTGGAAAGGGTGGGAGACTCGGTTGGAATGTGATTGAACTTGTTCGCATGCACAGCCACTTTCCCCTTTCGTCAAATGTACTTGACATTTCGGGGGTCCCGCGAGTGGCGTCTACTTTCGAAGAGAACCGTACAGAGACACAAACAGGATACAAGATGCGCGCGAAACTCCCAAAAATGATTTACAATTCTGTCTATGAGATGATTAGGCTGGTGGTCCAATGTCTCTAACTTCGTTTCCGAACTGTGTTGCCACCCCGCACCATGTTAACTAGTTCCTGTATCGATGTATACTAGTGCCTGTATCGAGCAAACGAATACGACATGAATCCCATACCGTACAGTGCAGTGCAGGCGACACACGGCCTTACATACCTTCGACGATACACTGATGTATGTATATCTTGGCGCCAGAGCTCCATTACGTCGGCAGTGTTGTCGCCTTACCGGCAGTGGCCTTCCGGGGAGACTTCCCATCACCACGGCGGCGGCGAGGGTGCGGTTTCTTGATCTGGCGGAGCAAGTATCGCAGAAGGCTTCCCGTGTTCACGTTGTTCCGGGGGAAATACTTCCTCAAAGGTTTCGTGTATGCGCTCAGCTCTATCTCCGAGTCGAACGTCTGGACAGACTGCCCCGAAAGTGGCGCCTCGATGAGATCGACCAGGTTGACATGCGCCGAAATTACTTTCTACGCTCCCCTTAGTGCATAGTCTGTCCAAGTCGCTCCCACTCACCCTGTGGCATTTCTTGATATCTTTCGGGGCGGGATTCATTCCCAGAGCGGAACATAGTAGTCGCCAAGACTCGAGGGCGTCCACCCTGGTTCCGTACATGGCGTTGAACTGCTTGACCATTGCATCGCGCAGATCGTCCATCGCTGCCTCTCGCTCTTTTGTTTTCCAACCCAAGTCCTTGCCCATCCGTTTGAACTCGCTGAGGAAAGGTGCCTTCGAGTTGTACTCGAAATCAGGGTAGTTCGCGAAGAAATCTTGGATTGGGTGGACTTTCACAGGGTCCGCCTATAACGAAATGGTGCGACGTCAGCGGAGGATCTCAGCCTGAAACAACTAGGACATACCTCCACTTCAGTGGGTTGGCGTAGTGGATGTGCGGTGGGATGACTCGGATGATACGAGGCTCGAGAGACTTTGGAAAAGAGCGGCGCTTTGCTTGTTCGCAGGACCTGCGAGCTCAGCGCGACGATGAGAGCGACTCTGTCCATCACGATGCACGTCCGCTAGAAGTTGGGTCGAGCCCCTCTCGGTTATGTATTTCTCATGCATGCCTCGCACATTGCGCGCGGGTTACACGCGTGAACGACACGAAAGGGGGCATTCCTCACCCGCGAACCCTGTGAGGTATCTTAAAGTCGGTTCTTGATGACTGGCGCGAACACCGTGTCAGACACGCCGGAGCTTCTGCGCACGCATTCTCGACGCTGACTGAAGCCCCCTACACAAATGGAATGGCCCTAGCTGTCTCTGTTTCACGAATTTGATAACATGTGCTAGCAGCGCTAGTATGCATCATATCTACGGTGAGATCGAGACCGCTTTAAAACCCCATGAGACCTAACGCCGTAGAAGACAGACGGAACGTAACGGCACATACCTCCTACGGTATGATCCTTGTCGTCCTTGAGTGTTTGCTTCACTATGCCGGCGGGGCAGCCGCCCGGCCCCTACGGGCGGTCGCTCGACCCCTTGCTCGACCCCCACGGGTAGAGTCGGCTCCACGACGGTACATGGATGGGTTCTTGATCTGGCGAAGTAAGAACTGCAGGAGGCTCCCGGAGTTGACATCGTATCGCGGAAAGTACTTCATCGTCCGCTTCGTGTACTCGCTGAGCGCAAGCTCTGATGTGAACGTCTCGATGGACTCCCCCAGGAGGGGCGCCTCGATGAAATCCACCAGGTTGACGTGAGTCGCTTTCACTTTCTGCGCGGAGTTCAGCACGCCGCATCATGCTATACGTATAGCGCAGTTGTTTTGCGTACCTTCTGGCAGGTCTCGACGTCGGCGGGCGGGGGTTTCATCCCTAGAGCGGTGCACAGGAGCTGCCAGGACTCGAGGTCGTCCACGTTTGTCCCGTACATGTCGTTAAATTGCTTGACCATCGCGCTGCGCAGCTCTTCCCTAGCTGCGTCCCTCTCCTCTCTTTGCCAGTGCAGCACTCTCTGCATCCGCTGGAACTCTTCAAAGAAAGGTGCATCTGGATCGTAGATGAAATCGGGGTACTGGGCAAAGAAATCCCTGATCGGGTAGGTTGGGGCTTGGGCCTATGACAATGAGGTGTACTACTGTCAGGGCGTTGAACGCACTGGTCCTGAGATAACTAGAGCGTACCATGATGTTGAACGTGGGTGTCGAAGCGCTATACGATCGTGCTGCCAGGGACTCGGATACTGGGGGGGAAAGCGTGATGAAAAATTGACTCGAGGACTCTGCGGATTGCAAAGATAAGAGCGGCGGTCATCGTGAAGCACACCTATTAAGACCTGCACTATACCCATCTCGCTGCCGGATTCCCATGGTCACCTCGCATAGTACGCGGGAGATGGGCGAATAAACGCTATGACAAGCAGGTATGTGTCCCCTAAGCCATACAAGGCGTCTTGAGGTCGCTCCTGGGTCACTGGGTGGGGTCTCGTGCATGCGTCGTTGGAGGCGTGTCAGTCTTCTGCGCACGTTCTGCGGGGTCCATGAGAGGTAAATTGAGACGTCCTGTCAATGATTGGCTCACAGACGTGTTCATGGATAGTGTCGCTCCCAATCTAGGCAAGGCTAGTTCGTTGACACACTCCACCGGCTACCTTGATACAAATGGACGTCGGCGGCCTGTCGAACAGAATAGGGGGATACGCAACACGAGCTGCGAAACGAATCATAGGACCCTACCGCAGCACACACTGTGGCTTCCGCAGGTATTCTTGCCAAGCGTAGCAAGCGCCCACGCCGTTAACGCGCACATACCCGGAATGAAACTTACCGCAGCTCTTGAACTTTGCAATATCTCCTGTCATCTTTACGTTCACATTAATGGAGCCACTCATGTGTTCAGTATGCCACTGCGCCTCGTTTCTGGTCTCGTAAGCCTCCGAGGTCTGCATATATGCGACTCGGAAAGTGTACAGGGGTATGTACCGTGTGCACCGCATGCTCCCTGACCCAACCCTGTGCCATGCGCTCTTTAGTGACGATGCAAACGAAAAAGCAATGCCACGCTCACCGCCGTACCACCTGCTCCGGGATTAGTGCGGAAGATAGTAGTGTGCAATAAGTCGTGATCTGGGCAATGGTCAGCACTTCACAGTGGACGTCGAAGATGGCAGGCATACATGATACATTAATGCCGTCTATGACTGTCCCTGGCTCGTAGGGGCGGATGTCGATGCGGATGCGGATGGAGGCGAAACTAGGTCTGCCTCAGAACCCGTCGGTGCAGGTTCTGCGCGGGCCGGCGCCGAGGGCTTCGGCTTCCCTGACTGCCTGCGCGCTGAGGGCGCCACGCTCTGCGCCCGCACCTCGCTAAGCGGACGGTAGTTGACGTTCCGCTTCCAGAACTCCCTCGACACCGGCAGCCGCCTCTCCACGTCGCTCAGGAAGATGTTTTTGCCGCCCCAGACACGACGGCCCAGCCGCTCCTTGATGCGCTGCACCGTGCGCGCGAGCACGTCGTCGACGCGGGCCTCGAATGCGATTAGGCTGTGCAAGTCGCGGCGGAGAAGGTTCACGTGCAGGTCGATGTCGAACGGCTTGGTCTCTGGTGCGGACGCGATTGAGGCCTTAGAGTCGTCGACATGTGAGAGGGAGGAGGAAGGGCTGAAGAAGCTGGAAAACCGCGAGGACGATGGACCTAGGGGCAGCTCCTCTTCGACGCCTTCCAGCGCTGCATCGCTGAGAGCCGGAGGTTGGTAGAGCCCCTCCGCAATCCACCGCGCGCGAACCTGGGTGTAGTAATCCAGATCACGCCGCTTCCACCGCGCGGTTTGTCGGGTCTTGTGTGACACCCAGCGAAGCAGATCGACGTCCTTGTTGTCGTTGGCAAGCGACGCGACGGAAAGGAGCAGGCTTCGGGTCACGGAAACGCGAGGAGAGACGATCTCTTCAGGCGGCTTTAGTCGTGTCATCTCGCGTAATGACCTGCCTTCGTTGCGTCCCGCTTCCAACGCGACGAGCAGGTAATGTCGCGCGAGTACCTCGTGCCCAGCTTTGTGTATGTGTCTGAGCATGATGTGGAATGTGGTGGTGTTTGGCCGTATGTGTGGAGGACTGTACGGCGCGACCTGCGGGTTTGAGATTCCGAAGTCATCATCTTCGTCGTCGTTGAATGCGGGGTTCGACGTCGAAGACGGCAAAGGATTGGTCGTGACCTCGAAGAGTTGCACCATCTTCGAGACGTTCCCGGCGCGCCCGAGGTAGTCGAGGGCCGTATTGAGAGTAGAGCAAGTGAAGGGCATCCGCATCGGCAGTCGTTGCGACAGACCGTCCTCCGCCGCGTCCTCGGCAGATGCGGCGGCCTTCTTCTCCCAGAACTCCAGCGGTGACCTGTCCGGATAAGCCAAGTCGATCCCAAACGCGCCCTTCAGCAGCGCAGCGAAACCCTGCATGTTCAGGGTCTCCTTCAGTATTCGAAAGGCCAGGTCGACGTTCGTAGGGGTGTATGCCACGTTTTCCTGCGACATCTCTTCGAGGATATTCATGCAGTGTTCGGTGATCTCGTCCACGAGCATAGGTCGGCGGAGGTGCCAGACGGGTAGGGTGAGGCGGTAGCTGAGAGCCCGTAAACACAGACCGTACGTGTCTGGCTGCTTGGCAAGCCCGACCTGCGTGATCTCGTCCAGAACCCGCATCGCGCTTTCGTAGTTTCCGAGCGCGGCGAATTGGTCCAGGACGCAGTGGTAGTCCTCCAGCGCCGGCACCCCACCCGAGCTACGAAGGTTGCGGATCACGTCTCGAAAACGCGTCTCATAGAGCAGCGCGTCCCTGAACCTCCCCCCTTCCGCCATAAGCTTCGCGGAGACAGCGCGCAAGTGCGCAGCGGAGGGCGAGCACTTCCTGAGCACGCCCTGGTGGATGTCACGCGGGACACCGCTCGAACCGTAGAACTGCAGCAGCTCAACGTAGCTTGCCCATACGCGGTGAGGACTCGGGCTCTTGATCTCCAGCAGAGCGCGAATATCCGCTATTTTCCGGCCAAGGGGCGTGTTGCTGAAGGTTTCTTCGCGCGGTGTAGATGAGGAACTTGACGCGGCGGACGGTACAGCTAGCGCATCGAGCCGCGAGGTGGTAGAGTGGAAGGGGCGGACATGAGCGTAGCTGCTAGCCGTCGCAAGCCTCAACTTGCGAACGCAGCGATGCGCCATGCAGTAACAGGAAAGCCGTGGTGCCTAGAGGAGCGAGACAGCGCGAAGGAGGTCGGGGTCGGGTCGGACGAGTCGGCGGACGTCTGCGCAGGTGTGTGGTCACCGTCAATGGGCGCTACTCGCCAGAAATCCGAAATTTTGCCACGTGACTGGGCGTTTCGCCCCGATTCCCGAAAGTGGTAAAGTACGAATCTCGCGGTTCGGACAGCACCCACAACCACCCGCAGCTCGACTGCGTAACCCACAGCGTTTAGGTCATCACATAATTCACCAGGGGTGCAAAACAAGCATTATCCACTGTCAAAGAGCCGGTCTCGAAGTTCAAAGCTTCCGCCACACCACCATCCGGTCCTCCCCAACATGCGTCTCAATCGTCTTCTCCGGGACCTTGTCCCAGACTTTATCCCAGCCCGAGCCGAGCACCTCCACATAGTGCTCCGGCCTAACAAAGAACGGAGGCCCAATATCCGTGTAGGGCTTGATGGGGTACACCAACGTGATAAGGAACCCGCCAGGCTTGACCAGCTTTGCCATTTGAGTAGCCCACTGAGGGCGCTGAGAGGGATGGATCGCCACGAAGAAACTGATAGCTGGTTTGAGATAGGTAGTATATGAATATAGATGGCGATACTCACGTATAGTCGTAAACGAGATCGAATGCCTCGTCTTCCAAGGCGAAGAAATCCGCTACCTCAAACTTGACGTTGGCTGCGTCCGTGCCAACAGAGGCCTTCAAGCTGCGACGCTATGCAATTAGTTCGGATAAACGCTGTATGCACGTGGACGCACTTACTCGTTCGCTGCTGCGATCCCAGTGGGCGAGATATCGTACCCGACTGTTTCCAGTCCCAGGGTCTTCGAAATGTAAATTGCATCGAAGCCCTAGACGGGCAAGTTCGTCAAGATCCACGCCATCCCTGGACTTCCGAGTGTCATGAGCTTACCCGACCACAGCCAGGAACCAGGGCGCGGCCAGATCGCGGGAAGCTCAACCCGCTTTCTTCGACCAGCTCCTTTAAAGCAAGCTGCATCGTGCCGATGTCCCACGGGGTGACTTTCGCTTTCCTACAAGCGCGATGAATGAGTGGACTGCCACACACCCTGCACGGCCCTTGAAATATCTTTAGCACATACCATGCCTCGTCCCATCCGTTCTCCTTCTGTGCAGCGAGGTCCGCGCGAAACTTGGCGAACTTCTCGTGGTCCTCTGGGCGTGTAGACATGGTTGGAACGCGTGCAGGCGTTAGCGTCAAGTTAAGAAGTTGTCTTCGGAGGGATTGTCCGTTGCGTCGTGGACGTCCGTCAACACGAGTCCAGCGTTTTAAAGGCCACTGTGGCCTGTCCAAGACCGGTCGGACACGCAGCCCAAATCGGATTCATTGGACTGTATCCTCAATCACGGGTGCGGTAACGCAGCAAAGAGCACGATCTCAAGCGTCGTGCGGGTGCTTTTTTGTGCCTTTCCAAGGAGGTGTCCGGATAGTATCTTGAATATCGTACTAGAGTAGTACAAGCAGGGTGCTGAGCCCGAGCGCTAAACATATCGCCACATGATCGATCGAGCGTGCCACTCACTTCAATCGGCGCTTGCCGGGAGCAAGCCTGCCACGTGGGGCCCGCGGGATCCGAAAAGGAAACTTGTGGGTCCAGCTTGTCTCCCAACCGCCCTGAGCCACCTCACAACTTCGTTCGCGGCAGGTGTTCAAGAACTTGAACGCCGACCTCCGCGCTGTACGGCAGTACGCCCACCCAACGTGTTCTATTGCGTGGCTGGATCTTTCCTCGTCGCGAAGAGTGGTCGTAACCCGCTTACATCCCGGCGGCCGGGAACAAGAGTAACGCCAAGTGTCGCTTGCGGCTTAATAGAAGAAGGCCACAACGTGGCGGTCTGGCGAGGTTCGCATGCGCTCTTGTGAGACGTTTCTTGAGCTCGTCATCGTGCGTTTATCAAGTGGTCTAGCGCGGACCTTACTAGACCTTCTGACAGATGGAATACAAGACCACACCGGTACGAGCCAGGCTCGCGTAGAACAAGGAACATATGTCCCCTGCAAACATGGAAGAACGTCGACCACGTAACAAAAGAGGCCCTCGGCCCTATGTGGTACGTTATCTATTGCCTCCATGATATGCGCGTTGCGCGCTGACCACCTGCCAGAGGTCGACGAAAAACCACCGTGAGCTTATTGTGCTGAGAAATCACGTCTTGGTATATGCAGGGAGAAACATACCCACGAAAGTCGCACCATCCCTCGGGGGACAATATCGTTGGCTCCATCATCAATTGTGAGGCCACGTCTGGCCCCTTCGCTACGACTCGAATCTCTGGGAAGGTTGTACGTTACATGAGAGGAATCTTGCACAGCTTGCCGAGCCTCACATTATCGCTTCACAGAAATGAGTGGCGTACGGCAGCGTTCTCGTGCTATGGCCGGTCGCCATTCTTCGTCTCTGTGCCTCGGGCGCACGTCGCTGGGCGGATGTGCCGTACATTCAGCCGCCACCGTCCCGCGACAGCATCACCACAGGCACGGCGCATTCCATGCCAATCCGTGTTCACACCACCTAACGTCACGTCCACTTCCACCAGAAACATGTACATGGGCGCGGCTCGCGAGGCCTCATTTACCCGGGGCATCTGCCGTGAACCCCTCTACCCTCGCGCGCCGAGCGTGCCGGGCACGCTTCCCGACGTGCGCAGCCGTCTCGCCTCAAGTACGATGTGGTCGTCGTTCTCAAGCCGGCTGCCTCTTTGACAGCGTTCGGTGTCAACGAGACTTGAGGCTTGCAAGAACACCGTCTTCGGTCGCTGCTAATCGGTCTTGACGAGCGAGACCGCAGAAGCGAACGGCGACCCCCACGTTCCTCATACACGCTCTCACGTCCCAGATCCGACCGATCGTAACGCTCAGCATGTCGTGTTCTCCTATACGCCGACCGGTTTTGCATGGGAGGGGACGGGTATGGCGTCGCAGGTCCAGACCAGGCTGAAGATGGTGTTGCAGGCCATCCATCTTGCGTATCACGTTTTAGCTCAGAAAGGCAGCAAGAGATGTACACCGGGGTTATCGAACCGATCACTATCCAAAGCTGCAGTCGAATTGCCCTCCGTACGCCGTCTGGAGCTAATCGCCATGTTTTCTGCAGGAGCAGTATCTTCGACGCTACTCGCATCTTCCGCCATCTGCAGCCCTGCTTCGCGTTGTGTAGCATGGTAGGCGCGACTCGTCGCGGAGTGGAAATCTAGGGGAAGGGAACTCCACGCTCCCAGCTGCACGGCTTCGCTCAGGCACCTGCCGATCGCCCAGCATGAGACGCGTCCTGGCGTCGGCCGCCCACAATTCCTCGACCCTGCGGAAGCCCGGAAGCAGGCCCTCCTTCCACATCCCCATGCTCCGCGACCCTCCACGCCGCGGCGAACTGCAGCGTATCTTCTCTCCGCCGTGGGCCCGCCCCCCACAGCGTCGTCGCCCGAGCGCGCTGGCCGGCTCGGGCAGATGGCGCGCTCGGCCCTGTGCGTCGTGCCTCGTCCGGTGCGGCACCCGCCGCACTCAATACAGAACAGCACTGATCAGACCGCACTGGCAGGCGGCGGAAAACTTCTGGGGTACGCCGGTGGGTAATGAAAACCTTGTCATCCTCCTTCCCCCAGATCCGCTATCTCTGCGCACGGCGGCTCCCACGCAGCGCGCCCTGCGCCTTGGACCGTCACGGTGCCCCCCTCGAGGATTCCGCGGGTTCTGCGCGTCCGCGAACTCTCCGCACGTCTGAAGATCACTTGCTCTTTCCGGCCGCGGACGGGCACCTGGGGTGCGTTCCAGAAGCCCTCGTCACCGTTCTGATCCCTGCCGCCTGACTGGCAGCTCTCGCCCGCGGCCGTGCGCGCACGGCTGCGGTGACTGCCAGTGGCAGATGGCTGCGCCGTCCGTCCGACCAATGGCTGGTGCGGGAGCCGCACGCTGGCGGGCAGCAGCAGCAGCAGCGGGGGCATCTGCGCTGCCGTGTGCTGGCGGGGACGTGGACAGGCAGGGCAGGTGTACCACCATAACGCCACCTGGGCCGTTCCGCTGCGAAGGTTCGCCAGAGCAGGCCTGAGCCGGCGGACGGGCCCGTCCGTCATGACGCCTGCGGCGACTATATCCGGCCAATATAATTGTGGCGTTGCAGCTATTTGCACCGCAGGGGCAGCTCCCACCCGCGTGCCAAATGCTTATGGGGGGCGCGCGGAGAATAGGCTGACATCACTCGTGCGCCGGCGAGGTGGTTTTTCGCCGGCGTGCTCGGTGGGGGCAGCGCGGCCGGGTGTGGGAGGGCGCGTCCGAAAGCGAGGGTGCGGGCCCTTTCGCTGGCCTCCGATAACGTAGCAGAACTCAGCGCGGGGGTGCGAGCACTGCGTCCGAGATCAGAAGCCCTGCAAGCTGTGCAGAACACTCAATGGCCCGTCCTTGCGCCGGGCCTGGGACAGCTGGGAGGAGGCTGCGAAGGCAGGGGGCGTGCTCTGCATATTCGGTAGATTCGTGATATCACTCCGCCGTGATTCCGTAACTACGCCGTCCGCGGCCATCTGCATTCGCTCTCCGATGGCGGACGGTGAAGGAGGGCAAGTGTGCGGATGGGCCGGCGGTGGGGGGGTCGAGGCTGGGGCGTGATCGGTTCGGGTGTCCGCGAGCGGAGGAGGTGCGTGCAGGCCAGGCAGGTGTGCCAGGGACGGTGGGCTGTAAGCAGCAGATGCATCGACGTGCACGTATGGGGTATGCGGCAGTCTCCGGCGGCACGATACGCGGGTCTTGTCCGGACGGCCTTGTTCTGCGCATTCCCTTCGGGGCGGGGGTCGATAGAGTGCCTGGACTTTTTGGACGGTGGGTTTGCGGGGCGTCATATGTCGGTCGGCTAGGAGGCAGCAGATGGGTTGACACGTCAATTTGGCTTGCGACGGTAGAGGAAGGGCTTCTTCCGCGAGTGTTGTCTATCCCTTCCTCAGCGGCGAATCGGCTTCCGAACGCCACAAAGCTGCTCGAGAATTACCGACCAGATCCGGTGCGCCCGCTCAGATCTGGGCGAATAAACCGGAGGTGTCTGGGGGCCCCTGTCACGCCTGCCCGCACAGGGGGCCAGCGCCTATCGGCGGAGGAAGCGATCCACCATCTGGCCAGAGCCATCACGCCCTCCGTGTTCGCATTCCGCGCGCCGCCAGAGCGTCCATTGCTGCCGCCGCGCTGCCCATCGATCACCCAGCATGATAATCATCGCTCCCGCAGATGGGCATGGCCATCTAATTCCCTCACAGACGCCCTCTGGACGTCAGCACTCTCGGCCTGCGCGGCTGCGTCCTGTTGGCCTCCCAATCAAAGTTTCCGCCGCAGCCTCAGCCTGCGCACAGGGCACCTCCCGGCCTCTGCGGGCGGCAGCGTGTGTAAACGTGAACCTCCACCGAACGAGCGGATGCGCCCAGCCGGGGTTATGCGAGTATCGCGCGAGCTAGCGCGCACCCCGCGACGCATGCGCGCATGAGCAGCGCGGCCTAAATGTGCACACGGTCCGGACGCGAGCCTGGTGCGTTCACACTCGTCAATTCTGGGGTGCCCGCCGCCTCGCCGGCGCATCTGCACTCTATGGGCACCGCGCCGCGACCGCTGTGGCAATCACCCCGTACAGTGATATGTGGTCGGGGCTGCTGTCACCGTCGCAGAGCCATCTGATGATGCTCGCCGCTCGTGTGCCCGAGGGATGTCATCGCGACATTCCACTGTCCAGTCGCGCGCGGGCGAGCGACCAATCCCGCACCAGGCGTGCGGGAGGATGATACCGCCCGCCCATCCGTCCGCGCAGAGTTCTGATGCTGTGAGGCCGTGACGAGCTGTCCGGAGAGTCGAGACCATCAGCCTGGAAAGCAGTTGCCCGACTCGGCCGCTCTTCTGACCGGTCCTTGACGCGTACGGTCCTAGGCGGTCCATCGCTCTGGCCGAATAGCGTTCATCTCTGCGTGATGCATGCTCCGCTGCGTACTTGATGTCGTACCAGTGAGAGCCAGGGTTTCCATTAGAACGCCTTCATGCGAATGTGATCCTCCCGCAAGGAGCACCCTGGGCAGCACAGGAGCGGACGGAAAGATCCGCCGTGCACAGGACAGATGGGCGGCGCGCCCCCGAGGACAGGACGGCTCGCATTGCATTGGGTGAACAAAGCAGGACTCAATGGATTGGTTTGGGACGAACGAGCGTCCAGATAACGGCTAGCAGCGAGGTTCACAGGCAGTGCGCATCCCCTGGCCACTAGTAAGGTCCGGTGGTCACTCGTAAGTGGCGTCAAATTCGAGAGGCCTGTGTTGACGTACCGTACTTGGACCAAGGTGGGCATCTGCAGCCACGATCGGCGGCATCCGTTCCGTCATCGCAGACAACGATGGCACCCTTAATGTTGCCTGATGCTTGCCTAGTTGCCGTGGTCTGGATTGCGGGACACGGGTGAGGGTACCGGCGGATTCTGCGCCGGGTTCACGCAGGGCGAGTAGGATAGCAAGCGGCATGATTGATGAGGGGTATCTCCGAATTACAGTCCTCTAGACGGCGGGGTATGACATCGTCGTGGGTTGCACGACAGCGGGTTTCGACGGACGGAGCACCTAGATTGTCCGGACGGCGAATGCGACGCAGATGCACATGATGGAGTCCTAATTCGGTCCAAATACTGTCAGCTGCACGCCCGGGTTTTCCTATCAGAGGACCGGAGAAAAAAGGGCGTACATTGGCGAACACCTCTTGAGCTACCGCATCGGAATCCTCCCAGTGGCAGACTAGGTCGGCTCTTTACGTGTGCATTCGTCAGATCCGCCTCTTCACGTACAGTTCGCTCCGCACGTACCTTCCTCCCTGACCGAGGTTCTCATTTATCTGCGTCAGGACGATGTATTTACTTCGCGGTCGCGGGGTTGTCAGACTTCGTTATGGCACAAGTACAAGCCCGCGGCGCACTCACAATCCTCTTGGCTGGATCTCTGCGCGGTACTCGGTTAACGACCGAACGAGCGGGGCACTCGAAGTACCCAAGTAACATGGCGTGGCCGCTCACCTAACATCCGCTCCTTCACGCGCTCGCCTATCTCCTTTATCCACGCCTTCACCTTCTCGCGCTCGCGCGGCTCGGGCCAGGAAGCGCTTCCCAGCGTCGTTTGTAGCAGCTTCTTCATGTATGCACGAGCCAATTCGGAGTCGAAAGTTGGCCGCGGTGATGGCGCGGACGGGCGGGGCGAGGGTGCGCTGGAGCGCGGTGTGGGTGGTGAGCGGAGTCCTGAGGCCATTGTGGTCGTCATGAAGGTGCGCAGGAGGAACAGAGAAGGGGGACGTCGTCAAGAGCCAAGACACAGCGCCGCCACACTGCAGTGCGCGCACAACGTACCCAACGAGCCCGCTGCCACAGCCCGATGTGGAAGTTGACGCGTGTTTGGGTCGGCGCGTGCGAGCACGTGGCGGCGTTTTCGCCCGATTTGGGAGAGCTGGGAAGCGGTGCAAGCGCCCGTCGCGCGACGCCGGAAGACGCGCTCGGGCAGTTACACTGACTCCTTGTCCCAGGCTCACCACTAGCAGAGTGCTCGCGCTAGCTATGTCGTCTATCACGTTCCCATATGCTGGTCCTGGACATGCTTCGTCGTCGTCGATCTCGATGAACGACTCGCAATACGGCTCGTCGTACAACCCTCCGACGGACACGTCCTCCTTCCAAATGAACCCGCTGTCCTCGCACCCGCCGCGCACGCCCCGGACGTCCATCATGTCCAACGGCTCGCATGTCTTCGGCACGGACATCTACGACACGAAGGCCGACGCGGAGGAGAAGCACCAGGAGCCCGAGGTCGAGGATGAGGAGGAGGAGGACGAGAAGCCGAGCGCGGCGAAGAACCACGTGCGGCGAGAGGATGTGTGGCGGGAGCTGCTCAAGTCGGCGAACGGGCGCGACAAGGCATTCGTATGTCTAGATATATGCTTGCGAGTCGGGCAGTCTAGATTAACGTTTCTCGCAGAAACTCCTGCAATATTCGATGAAGATGTACTTGGTGTTCCATGTGGCGGTCACCTCCACCCGTGCTTTCCGGGGGAAGCAGCGTCCAGCATGGGAGGCGGAGCTCACCAAGCGCTTGGCATCTGCTGTCGCAGGGTTCTCCCTGACCAGGTGAGTAGTTAGAGAGGTGGGGCGACTTCGCCGCATTAACACGAGCCACGCGCAGGAAATGCCTCATCCTCTTCAACTGGCTGCCGCCACTCACGTCCATACTCGCGCAGCACTCGTCCGATACATACGCGTCGCACAAGAACAAGCAGAAGCCGCTGCTGCACACGTTCCTGCACGCGCCGCCACCCGTATTACTAGAGTTCATCAATGGTCTCGCAGATGACGCTGCGACCTTCTCCAAACTTGGGATTATCGGCAAGGTGACGGGGGAGCGCGCCGGACGGCTTGCGGATTACTGTTGGTTCGCAAGTACGCTCGTGAACCTTGTCGAGAACAGCGTCGAGAGGAGCGTCATTCTCGACCTCCAACATCAAGGTATGTGCCCGCTGCTAGTTGTACGAGACGCGGCGCTCATGCGGTCGGTCGGCTGTGCTACGCGCAACTCAGTGGAAAACCGCCTTTACTCCGAGTCTATGGGTGGTACCACCACGAAATCGAATCCAGCTGCCAATAAGCTGGACAACAAGGAGCTCGTACGCCTGCGGCGTCAAGATTACTGGATACAGGTGACGAGGATGAAACTCCTCATGGACCTGATATTTGTCTGTAAGTTTGCCCTGCCTCTTACCGAAAGCGCACAGCGCTCATCTCCCTGGCCTCGCCCCAGCGTACGACGTGTTCCGCCTCAAGCGCGCCAAAGGCCAGGTACAAACTATGGCCGGGCTGGCCTCTGCAGTGCTCAGGTGAGTGGCGTATCAGCGCGCGCACTGTCATTGGAGGCGCTGACGGGCGGCGTTCAATGCAGCTCGGCGAAGCTGTACGACAAGCACAAAACTATGCTCAGCAAGTCGCATACCCACTGACCTATTTACCCCCTATGATATACCCTCGCAGTTTACGTTCATATGTTGTCGCTGATATAGTCCCTAATGTCGTGTTTATTAGAATATACTGGTACAGGTCTGAACACTTTAATATGTCTCAAGGCCGAAGGAGTGTCCGTATTCGCACAAGCACTTCCGACCGCCTCCAGGATACGCTTGCGTACGAGGCTCTCCGCTGTCGTAACCTTTCAGCAGCGCCTTCAAAGTTGGGCAGAGTCACATGAGTACTAAGCATGCAGCGCTGAAAGCCAACGGTACGTCGCCGCGATGAACGCGCACTCAAACAAGCGAATCACAGCACCCTTATAATTCGGCCTGGGCGCGAACCTTTGTTATTCGGCCGTAACAAATGCTTCAGCCGACTCAGTGCGACCGAGGCTGCAGCGGATGTCAGCCTCCTGCTAGCCTCTGCCCGCCTCGAAGGGAATAAAAATCGCGCTAGAACGCCTTCACTCCTCATTCGCGCTCTGTTCCCCCCTCCATCCCCCCTCCCCTCCCCCACCACCCCGCATGAGTCACCACGCCGACAGGCAGGGGCCTTCAAGACACGGGCTCTACCCTGGCGTCAGCGTGTTCCCAGATTGCCGATGGGCAGAGGCCGCTCCAAGCGTCGTCAGAGTACTGCAAGCAAGCGGTCAGAAGCTCCTTAAGACTGAAGTGCATATTGAGATGAAGGTGGGACGGTGAGTGTTTCTTTCCCCGAGGGAGGGACTTCTGTCCTGGCGCATACCTTTTCGTGGTCCTCGGGATAAGTACCTGCTCGTGCGCGGCCTCTTGGGGTTGCGCACGGGTGGGGAAACCAAAATGCGTTTTCTTGGTCTTACTTTCTGGAGATGGGATGTGCGGGTTGCTAATTTGGTGCGGCGGGTTCACTCGCTGTTGCATTCCTTGTCTTATCCACGCGACCCAGGGGATCGGGCTTCCGTAAAACGGGCGCATGTTGTATGATTAAATTTGTAGCTTCACACTAGACTCTGTACATGATGAGCGCTGTGCAATCAGAAGGTCCACCGACGGCCTTGATGTCGTCCTTTGACCTTGCATGTTGTTACTTGAGGTTGCCGCTTGTGCCGGTGGGTGTCATGAGGCATGCTGTGCGGATGTTATAGAACGCGTGTGAGCGGTACGTGACTGACAGACCGTCCGCCATGAGGATAGATGCCCACGATGTCGCTGTCAGTCACCAGGGCCACCAGCTCGATTTCTTCCCACTGGACGAGCCTACACTCTGAACGGTATCGTCGCGCACCCCCGTCTGCAGCTGCTGTCTGAGCGCAGTCACCTCCGCCTCCAACTCCTGCACATGTGCCTGCGCCTCCTCCAGGAACCGCTCGTGCGCGAGGTATTGCTGCCACGTCCGCAGGCCCTGCATCCACGACCACATTTAATTGGAGATGTCGACGGGCGGCGACCGATGGCGTCGGACGCACCATGTACACTGCGGACCCGAGGATGGCGACGGGGATCATGCCTGCCGCGAACTCGGTGTAGAACTGGGCATGGCGCGAAGGCGGGCCCGCGGAGGAGCTTGCACGACGCGCGCCGGCGCGCTGTGTCGCAGACAGGGGCAGGCGACGGGCTGAGAGGCGCAGGAGGGCAGGAGAAAGCATAGTGTCCGCGTCGCGAGGGCCCACGCTGGAGGTGGTGTTTACAGTGTCGCCGTCGGTGACGAAGGTGCGTGTCTAATCTGTCTTCACGCAAACGTCGTTCTGATCGGTCACATAATCGGCGTTTGCGATCAATTCGTCCCGATCTGGTCACCACGGGCGCCTGCCAACCTTCGCCTCGTACCCCCGTACAGCTGGCCCTCGCACATATACGAGTATCCTGGATCAGGTCTGTGTATAGTCTGAATGATACAGCGAACATATGCGATATCGGTATGCACCACCTGAGTTTTACAGAGCTGAATTTGCCCGCTACATGTACTACACAGTGGGGTTCCTGAAAATCCCGGCAGTAGGCTGTCGATCGTCCCCCGGGGCAGCCGCGATGACTGACATAGAACAAACTTACTTCTCGTACGCTGCTACACTACTTGAAAGCTTTCTAGAAGGAATATAAGCTTTTCATTAAACTTGGAAGTATAAGACTGTACCGCTCACAACATAATTCACCCAGTCCCCATCCTCTGCTTTTCTCGGGAAGCCACACGCCCCACATGTTCTCGACGCGTTGAGCAGCTTATCCCATCCCGCGCGTCCCCCTCCCCGCTTAGCGTTCCTGCGCCCAAGAAACAGAAACGCTCAGGTACGTGGCGCGCTTCATGATGCCGAAAAGCGTAGTGCGGTACCGGTGCTGTCACAAGCCTCGAAGGCAGAGGACCCATGCATTGCGTCGGCGATTTACAGATCCCTCGTGGGACAGCGGGGACGCCACCGGGTCCGAAGCGACCGGTGCGGGCGTGGTCGAATGATCGCGTTCGACGTCGAGGGTCACTCGTACTATATCGCTGCTGGCTGTTTCGTCATAGGCACGAGGCCTCGCAGAGGTATCGATAAGGCGTTTTGCGCCTTCGCGGGTTGCGGTGGAGCTCGAAAGGCACCGCGGGTGAACCGAAACACGGTCATAGGACGCTGAGCGCGCGGCGGATACACCGCCACCTTGCGCGATGGTTGCTATATCGGGTTCGAGGGTCCTTTGCATCCATCTGCCCCTGGCAGCATTTTTTGCGGGGGTGGCCGGCTGCGGGGTCCTGCGCACTTGAGAGCGGGAGCGTATTTTCAGGGCGTCGAACGGTCGAGCTGTGCGGCACAATATGCGTCCAGGGGGACAAGTATTGCAGGAGAGCGGGTGGCGGGCGCAGCAAGCGCCGATCCTATCTAGACCGGCACCCCGCGCCCCGCGCCCGCGTCTGGCAGGGGACGTCGCAGGCGTGGGAACGATCAGGAGAATATATACCTTCGCGAAAGTCGTCGCCCATTTCGTCTTCTCCAGGCCTTTCAGCATCAAGTCACCTTGCAAGCGGTCTCTTCACTGGCTGGGCCCTCGTCTTCGTCGTCGCCGTCGCTCTCGTTGTCGTCGCCGCCGCATCCGCTCCCCCCGCCCTCCTGTGATAGACTCAGCTAATTGGACAGGCTTCCAATCGCGATGGACTCGCATACTATGCCCAATCGACTTGGACACTCCGACCGCGCTCCCTCCCCCCTCGCGCAACCCGGCCCCTCAAACCCGCCAGCATGCAGCCAATTGCCGTCGCAACCGCATCGTTTCGCGCACATTCAGGAGGTCATTGACGAGAAGGGCAGTTCATCGCAGCGAGAAGGCACGTCCAAGAAGCCTACAGGTCTGACAGCGGGCATGTCTCCCCTACCTGGCTCTGTCTTCCCGTATTCGCCAGCAGCCTCTCCTGTGTCCTCAATACCTCCTTGGATCCGTTCTCAGCGCCCACCACACCCCCGCCCTGCACAGCTGCAGCCACCATTCTCTCCAGCGCCTTGCCCGATTGCGTCAAGTTGGGCGTCCCCCATATCTCTCCCTACCGCGTCCTCCACCTCCTCATCCTCATCCGCATCACCATACACCCGTCCACGGGCCCTCCGGATAGCTAATCTACTCAAACCTTGGATCCCTATAATTCTGTATGTTATGACGACGCTGGGCTTCCTCGCGGCCGTCAGTTTCTGGAAAGTCGAGGTCTTCGAAGGTAAGCGCCTTGCACCACCGCCTTCATCTCGCCGCGTGTTGACCAAACCTCTGCGATCCAGGGCTGGACCAGCTATCACACTGGCTACAGTCCGACACCTATCTAGGCTATGCTGTGATATTTGCACTCATCTTCGTAACCACATTCCGTAAGTGTCAATCATCCGCATGATATGTTATTGCACAGGACCGCAGCTGACAACGTCTGACCTACGATAGCTCCCATCCCACTATACTCCACACTCATTATCCTCTCTGGCTACACTTTCGGTCCTTGGACGGGCGCAATCATCTCATATTGGGCCTCACTCGCCGGCGCACTCGTCGTCTTCACGCTCTCGCGCACGTTCTTCCGCGCGAGCATATCCCGATGGTTGTCGTGCACGGTCACGATCAAGCGCGTAGTGCGCGCGATTGAGAACAACCCGAAGCTTCTCTTTCTCATTCGCCTCGCGCCGTACCCGTACAACGTGATGAACTGCCTTCTCGCGGCGTCGCCGAGCCTCACACTCCGCACGTACACGATGTGCACCGCGCTCTCCCTGCCTAAGCTCATCATCCACACGAGCATCGGAAGCTCTATCCGCTCCTTCGCGTCGTACCACGTCGCGCGACCCGAGGGTTCTCCGGCGCACGACGCGGACGACGGTGCGGCGCTCTCCCACTACTCCACGGCGGCGGGCATCGTGCTCTGCCTCGCCATCTTCGTCTACCTCTCATACATCACCCGCAAGGCCGTCGATGAGGAGCTGCAGGACGAGGACGCGCTCGATGCGCGGTACGCGGAGGAACGCGTCGCGTTCCTTGCGGGCGAGGACGACTCGAATCTCGACATCGAGCACATGGCCGAGGCCCCCGCACGGGCGCCCGTCACCATCCGTCCACAACCCGTACGCGCGGACGCGGCGACGCCGACCGCGGACAGGCCTGCGGGCGGCACGGACATCTCAGGCTCGAACGCTTAATTATTTCTCTTTGTATATGTTGCCTGCGCGCACGGACATGGACCTGTACACAAGCCGCACACGGTGTAAGATGCGAGAGTGCGCGGCGGTATCGAATCGCCAAGAAGTAGTTTCCTCCCCCAGATACAGTAGTAGTCTCTTGGAGCGCTCGTTGTTGTTGTGCGCTCCCCCATATTCGTTCGCGTTCGCCTTCGTTGTTACGTTAGCTAGCGTACTTTTTGCTGCTGCACACTCGCCGACGGGCTGCCAGGGGAAGGACGAGGAAGGAGGAAGGGGAGGAGGCGGGCTGGTACCTGGTGACCTAGTGGTGTGTACCATTATTGCTATTTGCTAGGCGGCGCGCTGTCTGCGGATTGTCGCTGTCGCCGTCTTCGGAATGAACATGTTCTTCGCTTCTGTGCACGCCGGGTCGGAGTGGCGTTACAGCCCTCAAGATTTGTGCCGCGCAGAGATCTGTGGATGCCTTCCTAGGCGGATCTTCCATCTGGTGGGCGAGGAGGTGAGCAGAATAGCTCGAGCGGTGCGATACGCACGATTCAGCGAAGGGTATACGTAGCGGCGCCGGCAGCTGCCACGCAAAGTGGCATATGCATGGACCTGCGGCGGCAGAGATAGTCCGCGAACGAGACAAACGTGCGCGCTACTACAGCAAGCGGACAGCAGCGGCCGACGTAACTGTAAAAGTATATGTGGCCTAGAGTAACCTTGTCGAGCACTCACGTAAGAAAGAGCCCGGAGGCACGAACAGAAGACGCACCAGAACGCATCGCTGTGAAGGGTTTGGCGGGCGGGTACCTGGAGCCCTTCTTTCGCCCCCAGCTGGCTTCCGCAGGGCCCTGTCAATGAGAAGTGGGCCATGGGGCAGACCCTGCAGCTGGTAGCGCCGTACGTTATGCAGTAGTTGACGTGGCGGCGCTGTCATCTGTATTTTGCAGCCTGGCAGGTACGGCGCGGTTCCATGGATCAGAGCGACTGCGTGGAAGCGGGCGCGCGACGGTGACAGTGCGTACGGCAGCGCTCGGGAGCGTATGTATGGCGTACGGACCAGGACCGGCAGGAGGGAGACGACAAGCGCGAGATGCGGCGGGACCTTGTGTGCCAGGACTGGGAAGACGTCGCGCTCCGCGGAGCACGCGTATACACTGTTGGCCGCCATGTCACGGTAGCGTATGCAGCATCCCAGACGACAGGGCCCTGCTGACGCTAGAGCCAAACTTGCAATGTGAAGGCGAGGGCATGTGCTGCGCAGGCGGGAATAACGAGCCGATAGCGCGACAGCGGGAGCGCGTGGTTCCTTCTGGTGGGTTATGTTTAGATTTGAGCCTGTCGCTCTCCTTGGACATTGGCGGCCCGCCGCAGACAGGGCGGGCGCTGCGGGGATTCGGCGGACGGACTCCGGGACGTGGTGTGGGTGGGACATGTGCCGCGACCTACGATGGCACTTGGACGCCGTCCGGCATCCTGCAAATTTCGTGCGTCGAGTGCGTACTATGCAGACGTGGTGGGAGTCGGTGTGGCCGATGGGGATATGGGGACATGTGGACGACGAGACGTTTAGCCAGGCTTGCTGCGGCACGCAAGGCGGTGACGCTGGTGCGGAATAAGAGTGTGAAGATAGCAGCGGGACGGCAGCAGTGGTGCATATGGTGCCCCCTAGGGAGGAAGGGTGTCGATAGGACGAGCGACTGTTGAAATGGTTCAAGCATCAGCATATATGGCACATGCCTACCGACCACAAGGCGGTGAGGATGTGCGACGTGCGGAGTTGCGTTTGCGCTGCGGAGCTGGCCGAGAGAAAGGGCGGGAATGGGACCGATGTGGTTGTGGTCGTCGGGGTTTGCCTGAGAAGGCGGGACATTGTCAATGTGAAGGACGAGGGGAGCTTGCGCGACGTCGACACGGAAGATCCTGTAGGGGGTGTGGAGATGCGAAGATTGCCCGCGGGCTGGTAAGTTGGAGCTTCGCCGGTGTGTGCGAGAAGGCGCTTGGACATGACATCGTACCGGTGGGATGCCAAGTGGGGATACGATTTCTCCCACCTCACGTCGAGGGGGAGTCTCGCAGGCTCACTGGAAAATTTATCACCTCATCATGCTGTAGCCGTCATATCACAGATGGCGTGCAATCTTCGGTCAGCGGTCTTCTGCCCCGTGTGTGTCCTACACTACAAATGGTTGAGTATATTAGATCCTTGTTTGTCGCGGTGTAGAGATGTTATAACGCACCACATAGAGGTCCTGCACTACTATGATCAGATATATCAGAACATCAGCAAACACATCGTAGCCAGGGTGTCCCTTCCGTTATCTTGCGAACTGCCGTACGGGCGATTACCAACTGAAATAGATCGCAGTAGGGTGGGTGAGTAGACCGGGAGGTTGACCGCGTCGGATTCCGGTGGGTATATCGTGTCCAATGTGGTATACATAGATTGGGCGTGTTATCGATACATACATGGGAGAAAGATGCGAGGTGTTGTACACATGTCAGCCAGGCCAGGCATCGGGCTTACTTGTCAGAGTGGCCGAGTGACTTGCCGGGCTGGACATGGTCCCTGATGCGCTGTTTCTGTTGCACATACAGATTGTGAACATGGTTATAGCGTGACAGCAGTCGGATTTGATGAACACTTACAAGAACTTTGAGCTCTGGGAAGCTTCCTTCGACCTTCCTGTCCCACACCAAGACGGGCGGTTTGCCATCCAAAAAGAGCCACACGCGGAAGCAACCGGCCGTTTCTTCCGCATTCAATGGCAAGACAGTAATCGATTTCAGAGATGGCGTGGGGAAAGTGAGGAAGAGCTCTGTTGAGACCCATGTCGCTCTGTGCAGCCTGTAAATGAATGTGAGACGATCCGGTGCTGAGTTCGGAAGCGAAGAGTACGCACCATCGACACTGTATAGCCAATGTTATTTTATACTCCATTCATCACACGTACGAACATGCACTCACCCTGTCGCAGAACTCGATGGTGACGCTGGGCGAGACAGGCGACGAAGGCGGAATGAACGTGCTCGGGTCCAAAAGGCCCTGTGCCGCTGTAGTCGGCTGTGGCGCAGAGACCGTTGGCTGAAGAGCGTCTGGCTGACAATCGACACAAGCTGCACCGTCTGCCATGTTTGCTGCTGGAGAGAGGAGAACGTCGTGGTCGAGCGCAGAGTCTGAGTGAGCAGCGGAGTGGCGCCGATCTGATCTCAGCTAAACGGTCACGTGGACGTGACGCGTCAAAGTGCACGCGTGAAGGTCGTGCCACCATCGACGCGTTTCTCTCCATCCACCACCATCCACGCCTTCGTCTCACCCATATCTGCTCCTGCTCGTTTTTCTTGGCTCTTAATTGCCTGACAACTCCAGAAACCGCGCATACATGCAGACCGAGACGGACTTTGCGATGGACTCGCCGCATCCAACGAATCCGCCCACCATCTGGCCTGTACACAGTGCGTTAAAATAGCCACTTGCCCGACATGTCGCTCACCTGGAATGTAGTTGAAGTCAGGGTGGCTCACAATGCCACATCCCGCTTCGACACCATCCGCAATGCCGTGCACGCATACCTCACATCCTCCCTCTCCGACATCTACCTACCCTCGGTCATACAAGGCTGGGAGGACGTCCCACTACTCGCCTCCTCTATCGAGAAGATCTCCGCAGCAGAGTGCCCTTGTCCGACCGCGTCGCTCCCGATCGAACAGACGGCCCTGCAAATCCACGTCTACCAGCCGACAGACACGGACGCTTTCGAGGAACTGACAAGCGGGAGCGGGCGGGGCGAAGACGAGCAGATCATGGCCGCTAGCGTCTGCGAGCTTCCGAGCATGTCGTGGGAAGGTCTCTGGGAGAGCTTGATTTACTCGGACGATATCAAGGCGAGGCTACTCGACTACATCTACGCCACTGTCGTATTCAGCGACGCCGACGTCGACTGTACGTGTCCTACTTTTCATATCGGAACTTCTGCTCATTCTGGTACCAGTCAATGTCGTATCGTGGAACCGTGTTGTTTTGCTTCATGGTCCTCCAGGCACAGGCAAGACGTCTCTTTGTCGAGCCCTTGCGCAAAAGCTTTCTATCCGTCTCTCGCATAGGTCAGTGGTTTCATACGCCACCAATCCGTTCTCCACATACTAACTTGATCTAGATACTCGCATGGCCGTCTTCTAGAGATAAACTCTCATTCACTCTTCTCTCGCTGGTTCTCCGAATCCGGAAAGCTGGTTCAAAAGCTCTTCAGTAGCATTATGGAAATGGTCGAGGACGAGGAGACCTTCGTGATCGTTCTCATTGGTACGTGTTATACTTCGCTCTGCAATTGCCATCCTGACGTTGTCAACAGATGAGGTTGAGTCGCTGACAGCCGCTCGCGCTGGTGCGATGGCTGGAACAGAGCCCTCAGACGCACTGAGGGTACGCTTTCGATTGTCTGAAAGCCACAGCATTCGCATTTAATAATGCGTGCATAGGTCGTAAATGCTCTGCTCACGCAATTAGACAAGTTGAAGCACAGGAAGAACTGTCTAGTCATGTCGACAAGCAATCTCGCTACAGCAATCGGTATGTCTCCCAAATTCGCCCTGTTACATAAGGCTGATTACCTTGCCGCAGATTCTGCCTTCGTCGACCGTGCGGACATCGTGCAGTACGTCGATCTTCCGCCTCGAGAAGCGATATACGAAATCCTGCGTGGATGTCTAGCCGAGCTGGTGAAGAAGGGCATCGTTGCGGATGTCGTACGTATACATCTGCCGGATAGCCGTCGCGTTTGCTAATCCCCAATCCTTCGCCAGGAAGTCCCCAGCCTTCCTCAGGCTCAGATTTTCGAGCGCACGGCCGACTTCTCCAACCTAAGTCTTGATCCGTCACGCGTGGACCCGTCGCCACCTTCTACCTCGCAGACGCAGGCCATCGAAGCACGCGAACGCTCAAGAACGCTCGCTATACGTTTGCTCAAGCTAGCACAGAAATGCAGGGTATGCCCACTAATGTATGCCTGATCGTGCTCTTTATCTGACGACGTGTCCCCAGGACCAAGGGATGTCTGGTCGTTCACTTCGACGTCTGCCCGTGCTGGCACATGCTCGATACATCGGCTCGCTTCCAACAGGAGCTCCGCGCATCACTCCAAAAGCCAGCGGTTTGCCCAAGACCGCCACAGTGCCCGGAAGCCAGAGCTCTCATGGCGGAGGTGCGGGGATAGAGACGTGGTTGGATGCCATGGAGCGCGTTGTAGAGAGCCAAGCGACGGAACGGAGTCGTCTGGCGCATTAAGGACGACTCGTGTAGAATAGTGTTGTACTGACGTGCATGTATGTTGTACTATAGTGAGTGCCCAATACTTGTTGTCACCGTACAGAGTAATCTGACCAGCGAACAGCGAATCAGAGCAGGATTGCATTTTCGACCGGGCGCACGAGTGTTGCTCGGCCGCCATGCCCGTGCCCAGACCGAGCGCCCCGCTGAGGCTGACCGCACAGTGTCTCCCGCGCGTACGCAAATAGATTGGAGTATGCAGCGGATGTCAGCCTCCAGCCAGCCCAAGGGGGATAAGTACCGCGTCGGGACGCATTCTCTCCCCATTCGCGCTCTGTTCCCCCCTCCATCCCCCTTCCCCTCCCCACCACCCGCTATGAGTCACCACGCCGACAGGCAGGGGCCTTCAAGACACGGGATCTATCCTGGCGTCAGCGATGTTCCCAATTGCCGATGGGCAGGGCCGCTTCAAGCGTCGTCAGAGCACTGCAAGCAAGCGGTCAGAAGCTCCTTAAGAACGAAGTGCACGTTGAGTCGAAGGTGGGACGGTGAGTGTTTCTTTCCCCGGGGGAGGGACTTTTGTCCTGGCGCATACCTTTTCGTGGTCCTCGGGATAAGTACCTGCTCGTGTGCGGCCTCCACGGGCGGTGCGCGGGTGGGGAAACCAAAATGCGTTTTCTGCTGTCTTGTTTGCTGTGGCCGTGAGGCGCGAGGGTTTCTGCGCGTGTGGACCGTGCTCGCTGATATCATTTTTTACCGCTCTCATCACAGGTCATGCCGACCCGCGTCGTTGCAATTCCGTGTACGATTATGTTATAGCCCCATGTACCACTTAGTACTTGGAGCAGAGAGTGGAATTGAGCATGTTCGTAAATGAAATGATATGCAACTTCGCGATGCCACTTGTTTGCGTCAGCGTTCGAATCAATCATGATAGGTGCATAGCTGTCAGTGGCCCGGAGGTAGGTACAACACGTCACGCACGAGGCTTTCGAGCTATCGAATGAGCAAAGAGAGGAACAGCCAGCCGCGTGGAGCCGAACACTAGGCCCCCCGTGCCCCCGGAAGTTCATACTTAGTTTCCAGGAATTTACTGCGATTGCTCCGGCAGCGATGGCCGGCGCAGGTGAAGAAAATAGCGGCGCCTCGTATGGTTGTTCGCAATTAGCTTCGCCCACAAGCACGCGTACTGAGCCTGAAATACAGGGAGATGCATCAGATTCTTCGGGATCACCGGCAGGGGACAACAATGCTATAATCGAAAATGACATAGTGGTATACTGCGATTCAAGCTCGCGCCGATGGGCTGATGACAAAAAAACTGCTATACAAAGAACTAAGACGTAATCTGGTTCTGACGGACCGCTAAGACCAGATAGACGAGTCGACGGTGCCTTCGGGATTGCTTCAAACCATATCATCCCCGTAATCAGACCAGGGTATGAATGGCGGGATATCCTGCGGAACCGCTGCTACAAGCAAAAAATATATCGTTAGAGCGTTAAGACCTTCAAACGATCTGGCAGAAACTGAAACGTACCGGGGAATTGTGCTGTCTGTAGCTGCCTATCCCTATCTGAGGCTAATAGAGCCGGCAAAGGCCGAGCGAGTTCGACGCAAGGGGGTGTTGTTACATGGCCTCGGCCAACGCACATGTTCTGGTCACCGCCGACGGATGTGGCTTGCGCGCCGGCGGAAGGCTCGGTAGAAGACGTAGCAAGCCGAGACATAGCTTCGAGGATGTAATCTTTGCCAAGGGCTTTCTCGGTCTGCTCCTGTACGAAGGATCCGTTAATCAATGTACGTCTCTTGCATGATCAAAAACCGGCTCTTACTCTCAAGTCGTCGTCGGTCTGCTCGATCAAGCGGTTGAGCTTCCGCAGGCGGCCGGCATGTTCACCGAATGTCCGGGACCATAGTGTGCTATGGCGGAGGTCGATTTCTAGGAAATTCAAGCCTGTCTCCATGCTGTTGTGGTTGTGAGCACCGCCATTTCGATGAGTCGTGCTCCAAAAGCAGCGTAGACGTACTGTTCCAGCTTGTTGAGCATGCAGCGGAGACCGTCCTGCCCAAATTCTTTCTGCTTCTTCTCGTACAGGTAGGTCAGCACATCCCGCCAAAGCGCCACAGTTTTCTTCATGCGTTCCTCCTTGTCCAAGTAGTCTTTGATCGTGTGGGATCCAAAGATGCTGCAGACCGTCACAAGGCCGTACCCTGCCACCTTCAGTCCGGCGAAGACGAGGTCTGTGACGGCCGACGCGTTTTGTGCCATATCCAGCGACATTGTACTGCAGAAGGATAAGTCGGTTTGCGAGCGAGCGAGATAATGTTTCAGGACTGACGGTTCGAGTGATGTCGCAACTTGAAGGACGCGCGACGTGAGGAAAAAACAGGCTGGAGGACTAAGTACTCATGAAATTCTCCGGATAGAACTGACATGCAGGAATTCGGGATATGTGTGAAGGGGCGTGGGCCACGACTCCATGTCAGGATATACAGGCGAGGCCTTGATAAGTCGGCGAAGAGTTGTCGAGATATCCGCCATGCTGGTAGGTCGATTCGCTTGATTGTCCCTTCGCACTCTCGAGATGGTCCATGATGAGAGTACTACGCAGAACTTAGAGTATCCCGATAAGGCTGGGGGAGGTCTGGTTGGGGGTCGTTCGTCGTAGTGGCGTAAAGTATAGGCGCCAGAACTCCGCACACGCCGGCGCTCTGCAACCACACTGACAGCGCCGATAGGCGTCTGTGCACCGCTTCCCGATCCCGCGAGGTTGTTGGAAGAGTCCTCCCAAGCCAGTCACTCTCCCTTTTCCTCTGACAGCGTGAGCACAGGAACTTTATCGTACCTCATTATCTCTGAGAGTACAGCCCAATGTTCCCATATACTCGGATTGTCCCATGATGACCACTACCAGTACTGATCGTGTTCCAGATGTCTATAATCCGGATATCCGGATATCCGAGCTACAAAAGCCGCGACGACTTAGTCGAACTTGAGCTTGAAGGCTCTAGTGCTCGCCCATCCCCTCTTCCGCGAGGAGGCCGTCCTCGCTTCTATTTCCTGCCTCATATCCTGATCATTTCGTGCTAGCTGTGGAACCAGGACTCCACCGCCCGGCAGCGCTCACTCTTCACTGGCAGGGGCCCTTCACCTCACCTGCTTTCATTTCATATGGACGCTAACGCAGTTGGAGACCTGTACGCCAAACGTGATGAGAACGAAATGTTCTGGGTTGCTCGTCAGCCCCACCTGAAGAATCTCGGCTACGATCTCCGTCCGCGGTATCAGCCGGACTGGCAACCGTCTTGGAAGGGCCACCCAGAAGGTTGTTTAGATGCTGAAGATGGCGTCCCTCTCACAGTAGGTCACCGCACCACGCAGACTTGGCAGGATAAAATGCTAATCCATTTTCATAGTGCAGATTCAATGTGATCGACGCCGTCCGACTGAGCGACCGGTCACCCGTGTTCATCAAGGTGGTGCGAAAGAACTCCGAGGAGGTGCGCATAGCAACGTACCTTCGCTCAGGGGAGCTGCACAAGGATCCTCGCAACTGCTGTGTGCCCATCTTGGACGTGCTTCATCTTCCGGGTGATGAAGACTCCTCGTTCATCGTCATGCCTTTCCTCCGGTATATCGACTCACCCGCCTTCGAACTCGTGGGTGACGTCCTCCAGTGCGTCGGGAAACTCCTCGAGGTTCGTAAGCCAATCATGAATGTCTTGCTACCACTTATGCTAACACGCTGTTTACCAGGGGCTGATGTTTCTGCACGAACACAACGTAGCGCACCGGTACGTGTCCAAGACATATGTGCAACATCATCAGTCTGACGGACGTCCAGCGACTGCGCGTCCAAGAACGTCATGATGGATGCGAGCGCCATGTACCCAGAAGGTCATCATCCTATCCTGAACGAAGACCTGCCCGATTGCTCCAGTATCGCCCCCGTGCTGCCTCGCGCGGGCGCAGGTGTGAAGTACTACTTCACCGATTTCGGGATATCCACCCAGTTCGCCGCCGCCGACGAAACCAAGCTGGTCCTCGGCAGCAAAGGCCTCGACAAGTCGCCCCCGGAGCTCTCCGACACCGTCCCGTACAACGCGTTCAGGTTGGACGTCTACATCCTCGGCAACCTCTTCCGCGAGAAATTCACCCAGGTCGGTGTATCCGTAGCGCACCGCGCGTACTACTCGCCCTGGGTCTGACACTCATGCAGAAATACCGAAACCTGGGCATGGTAGAGCCACTCATCAAGAAAATGACGGCGCATGACCCCGCACAACGTCCCACTGCCAAAGAGGCCCTTCGCGAGTGGCAGGTGGTGCAAGAGAAAACCAATATGCTTACTTCCGGCTGGCGCTTGCAGCCGGTGGACGAAGGCACCATCGTTGGAGCAGTTCGTGATACTCTCCATCCTGTGAGTGCCGATCGTTGCTTTCACAACAATTATAGCTGACGGTGCACGCAGCTATCAGTGTTTTACAATGCTATGTCGCGCCGCTCTACACCTGCTCCTCCTGCTCGCTGATTTCCTGCTATCTTCCCCCTGCTATCCTCCCCGTTGTCGTCATCACAATTCTTCCGCCGCCGTTATTCGTGTTCTCCGGCTTTCAATACTCTGTTTCATTCGGGTTTGCTATGTCTCTTTGTTTTCGGTACCGTAGCGCCTTGTCCTGGTACTGTCGTTGTTGTCCTCGCTTGTTGCGGAAATCTCTCTCGCACCCCCTAACTATACGCCCGTCCCGTCTCTCGCTGACCCCTGTTGTCTTGTTGTTATTACGTACGATTTGCTTCGCGCGCGGTCGATGCTCTTTCGCATATCTTGTCGCCTCGCTTACCTCGATGTTATCTATGTATATAGACGTCCCCTTCGCAATATCACCGTTATGTATCCGTTGTAGATGGCCTACGACACGACGATCATGCGGGCGCGGATATGTACAGCGCATACTTGCACAAAGCCGGCGAGTCATAGCTTCAATGTACTGCCCAGGGATGGCGGGATGTCCTTGCCCAGATGTCTAAGACCGTACCCTACATAGCCATGCTATTCAGCTTCGCTGACTTCCCGATGTCGGGATATAATATGCAAAGACCGCTAATCGGTGGCGTATGTTTCTGGACCTCCATTCACACCTCAGGCTGAAGGAACAGATTAGAACGTGATTCCAGTTTGACCTGGGGCGCGAATACTTGCTCGGCCGCGATGACCGTGCCCAGGCCGCGTAGGCCGCTGAGGCTGACCGCACAAGGTCTCTCTTGCACGTACGCAAATAGATTGGCAGCTGCAGCGGAAGTCAGCCTCCAGCTAGCCTCCCGCGTCCTCAGGGGATAAGTACCCTGTCAAGACGCGTTTGCTCCCCATTCGCGCTCTGTTCCCCCCTCCATCCCCCCTTCCCTCCCCACCACCCGCTATGAGTCACCACGCCGACAGGCAGGGGCCTTCAAGACACGGGATCTATCCTGGCGTCAGCGATGTTCCCAATTGCCGATGGGCAGGGCCGCTCCAAGCGTCGTCAGAGTACTGCAAGCAAGCGGTCAGAAGCTCCTTAAGACTGAAGCGCATATTGAGACGAAGGTGGGACGGTGAGTGTTTTCTTCCCCCGAGGGAGGGACTTCTGTCCTGGCGCATACCTTTTCGTGGTCCTCGGGATAAGTACCTGCTCGTGTGCATCCTCTCGGGGCTGCGCGCGAGTGGGGAAACCAAAATGCGTTTTCTGCTTTCTGCATCTCCGGGGGGTGGCGTGTTGCTGACTCTTTGCGACGCGCGCGCTGCCTCTACTTGCCTGATGCCCAGAACAAAGAGGCCGTGATTACTATCGTAGACGCATGTTGTACCGCTGTAGCTTCGCATTGCAGTTTCATATATGATAATTTTTGGATATCCGCTGCCGACGTCCATTATGTCTTCATAGTCGATCTTGCATATCGAGAGTGTTTCACAATCAGTACGTGAATCGCAGTGTCTGCCATGAAGCAAACAGAGTGTGTTGCGAAGCTGTAGCAGGGGACATCGTCGTGGCATCCTGAGGTCGTCGCGTCCTGCTGGCGCTCGAGCCCGATCACGCACGCGTACCGTAACACGCCACACACGTATAACGGACGCGTCACTGGCGCCTGTCGCCGTCCACCCCTTTCTCTCTCACCACGCGTTTCTTGTTGCTTGTCCTTCTATCTGCACCTTTCATCTGAGGATACCACCCAATGCCCACATAGGCAAAGTAATCTTTAAGACATGCATCGTCGAGTTGGTATCGAAGCCCATCTGGGCATCGGAGGTGGGACAGTTTCGAGAGAGGCGGCCGAGAAGTGAGAAATCAACCCATTTCTCGTTTGACGCGACGTACTGATCCATATGTAGCCTCGAGAAGGCGGAAGATCTCTGTCGTCGTCGTAAACCCATGCAGGCTTTGCCGTACCTACGGAAAGCTATGAAGGACCCTAATAACCTTGACGCAGCCGTGCAGATGGCATTCCTTATGCCCACTCTTGGCACGGCCGTTCAACTACTCGAGGATGCGAAGGCTCAAGGTACGTGATCAATCGATAGTATATACCAGATCTGTGACAGTGACTCTCACTGAGACCAACTACTCCCGTTCCGATGTTCCGAGGCACATGTTCTGCGAAACATGGCGTTCAGAGACCGGACGTTCTCGAGGCTGTCGTACACTCGGAATATCTCGGGAGCATTGTTCTGAGCGAGTCGTTTGTCTCGGTTAGAGTCACTCTCACCGTTTTGGCCTTCGCTCACCCATATGTTGCAAAAAATGCTGATTACGCTTATTTAAGGCCGTGTGCACCTGAAGAGTTGTTTGAGCCCTACCTGTTTCGATGATGGGGACCAATACGCTGAGCGCTTCTGGAGCCTACTCGAGACGCGCCCATACATGCGTGTTCTCCAGGCCATAGTGCGTCTCGCCTTCGAAAATGGGGACTACAACAAGTCCGCGTGAGTACATATTCAACCCCTATTTCACTCACCAGTGCTGACACTGCGGGCTGCTAGGGACACCATCATCGAGATGCTCCGTCATTGCCCGGGAGATAATATGGGTCAACGCAGCTGGCTTGGCTCCGTACTGCTTCAGGCAGGACGTACCGAGCACGCCCTGTCGTTCGCGCAAGCCTGGCTTGACCCACGTCACGACGATGGCAGCTGGCCACCACGAGGAGGCTGCGCCTTCAATCCGCCCAGTCGGGCTCCGCTTTCCAAGGATTTCATCGAGAAGAACAAGAAGCATGGGCCAGGCGCGAGCCTGTACACCGCCGCGCTCGCATCTTTCAAGCTGTGGGGCGACTGCGAAGTCGCCCGCCAATACCTCAGGATCGCGGCTTCTGCGAACCCGCACGTGCTGCTGAAGGTGCTCGGGAAGGTGGACAGACCGAGTGCGTGGTGCCTGGCCGAATTTGAAGAGCCCGGCGAGCATGTGCTAACTTTGGAAGCGTGCAGAATCACTCAACTTCGACCCGCGCTCATTCAATGGCCAAGAAGAGGCACATGACTACCTGTGGCTCACACAGGACCTCTGGATGGCCCCAGACGTCTGGGCGTGGGCGGACAGTGACGCCGAAGTCAAGTCATACGTCCTCAAGCGGTGCGTACGCGCGGGATGTGACACCCGCGAGGTGCGCGTCGCAGAGTTCAAACGCTGTGGAGGCTGCAAGGAAGTTGTCTATTGTGGACAGGCGTGCCAGAAGGAAGACTGGAAGGCGCACAAACCCAGTACGTACCTGTGGCATGTGTCCGCGATCGGCGTAACTAAAACCCAGCTGCCGGCAGGGTGCAAGGAACACCAGGAGCAGAAGCGGTTCATGAAGGCCATGATGAACTCCCGGACGACCCCGCTGTCCGAATCAGGCGGCGGCCCCATCGTCGCCTCGGCAGACTTCAGTGCGGCCGGGATCTCCACCACATTCCACTGAGCGCGAGGGCTTCTGCGCCATCTCGCATCTGCGATCTCGGCGGGCGCTGCACGGTGTGCGCACACACGGAGGAAGCTGGCGAGAGTTTGGGCCTCGGAAGAAGCGTGCGTGTCCCTATCGGGGGACAAGCCTTCAGCGGATCTGCAGCGATCTTCGACGCGCGCCTCGGCGAGCCCGCACTGCGCGTCCTGTGGCCCATCTCCAGATCCCGCCCCCCAGCCCCGCTCCGAACGGGCAAAAACGCGCAACCAAGCTCTCTCTCTTCTCGCGCGCGCGGGCACTCCAGTTGCCCTTTCCCTGCGCCTCTGTATCCGCAGAGCGGCCTCGCCGTCCCTTCTCCCCGCCGGGCCCGCCCGCAATCTTGCTTGCCCTGCCCTGCCGCGCAGGGCGCCGACGCGCTTCATGTATGTATATATCTCCGCTTGAGCCTATGCTGCGCAAATGCAATTGTCCAGCCAACTGGGGGCGCGCACCTGCCCAGCTGAGTTTCAGCCCCCGTTCTCAGCCGTTCTCGCGCATTCGAACGATCGCGACCCGTCCCGTGTGCGTTGCGTCAGCCGTCTGTGTCCCGCGCCCAAGTCCGCTATCGCAAGCTGCTGCCTCGGCCAGCCCACCCTGCCCATGCCCTCACTTCAGCACAACTCCGACGCGGCATATGCACCCATGCATCTCCCTCCGGAGATCTGGGGGCCCCCCGCGTGGGCACACCCGTCCCGTCCGTGCACACTAGCCTCGCGCGGAGCCAGCGCCGCTACATCCCCCGCGCCGCCGGCGAATCACCCAACGCGATTAGCCCACCCAGACCGCGCTATCGCGCCCTCGACGACTCGCAGGCCGGCACAGGGTGTGATGCTGTGCCGCGCGTACGTACACGCACTCGATAGTAGGCGTGCGGTGACGGCACACATCGCCCAGGGCTGCAGGCTTCGCGGGTTCTAGCGCGCTCGCCGCTCGCTCGATGTGCATTGGGGGTCCTAGGCGTGCGCCCAGTCCGAGGTGGGCGCCGAGACGGCTGGTTTTGAGGAGGCCCCACCCGCGGTGTCTCAGAAGGACAATGGGTGGGGCCCGGCAGGGGAGGCCAACTGGCTCTTTGGAGCAGCGAAGCTGAGAAGCGGGTCCCCCGAGGCGCGCTTCGCTGGGATGTCCGCCCGCCCCGGCGTGGGCGACATGCTAGGACGCCATCGCGCGCCATCGGGGCGCGGCTTCGCTTCGGGGAAGCGTTGGGCTGCTCGCACGGGCACCGCGGGGGTGTGCGAACGGCGATCGCGCGGGTCCTCGCGCGCGTGTGGATCGAGGATCGTATATTCAGACTCAGTATCTCGCGCGCGCGAGGTGGATCCATTGTCCGGCGTTCTGACTCGGTAGGCAGCGGGGCCACGCGGAGGAGTGGAGTCCAAAGAGGCATTATATATTAACGGGTCCTGTCTACGATACGTACATACAGCGCGGGAAGCCGGCGGGTACATCGGGCGTGGTGGGCCCTCGACTATGTACACGAGCGAACGAGCGCTGCGGGTACGAGATGAAAAGGTGCATGGTGGCGAGAATTCAAAGTGTGGCTAAAGGGCGGGCGATAACGGGAGTAAGTTCAGAGTGATGCGCGAAAGGGGGAGGGGGAAAAGCAGGCGGGTACTACGGTAGACTAAAGCGGCGAGCAGGGGCGGGCGGAGAGCAGTACGATATGTTCGGAGGAGTCGAGGAGTGATGATGGGAGGGCGGGGCGCATGGGTGTGGGTGCGGCCACAGAAGAAGAAGCGGGCGGCGGGAAAATGAACCGCTGCGGCAAGGCTATTGCGATCGGAAGGGCATGAGGCGCGATAAGTATGAGTGACGCAGACGCAGGAGCAGCAGCGCGGGTCACTGCTGCTGCTGGGGCAGGGGGTGCACGTAAAAGATGCGAGAGAGGGAGAGGGGACACATAAGACGGTACGATAGCGGAAAGAACATTCCAAATTAACGCGCATGAAACGGCGGCGGGGACGACGATGGGACGGTGCGAGGATACGGATACGGATACGGATACGGTGGTGGGTGGAGGGGTATGGGCTGAATCGGATCTGGAGCTGGGGCCTGGGACGCGGAAGCAGGCAATGTGCGTGGACGGTGGCGATAACTGAATGACGGCGCACGGCCTAAGTGGACGTGCGGGTCGATAAATTACGCGGGCGCTGCGGCGGCCGCGGAACTGTCAATAGGGTGCTGCTGCTGCGAGTGGCATGGCGGAGAACGGGGTCGAGGCGTAGATGCGGCGCCGAAAAATATGGCCGCGATGGTGGTGAAAGTCCTGGGGTGACGGGGCGAATGGACGAAAGAAGCGAAAATAGCCGAATGGTGGCCGCCAGTCAGGGATGGCGAACGCTGGAATTATAGCGTGCTTTTTGTTTGTTTGGATGGCGTGTGCCGTGCGCGATGGTGCCAGGGATGCCGACGGATGGTGGAGGTCCACCAATCGCGGAATTCGAGAGGGCGCCAACGGGTCCGGGAAGGGCGATCTCAGAGGTTATCGGGTAGACAGAGCATGGCTTCGCCCGACGGGTAGGATGCGTGACGACATCGACAGGCCCGCCGGAGACGACGAGGTAAGCCACGGGCTACGAAGCGCTCACGGCGACGCACCGAGCTCGGGTTAGCGGCGTCGCGCGCGCGCCCGAAGTCCGCTTTTCATCCTCCCCGCCTCCCCCCGACGCCCTGCTCCTCGGGTGTTCAGTACGACCAGTCGAGAAACGCGCCGTCGAAGTCGTAGTCGAGCGGCTCGTCGTCATCGATGTCCGGCGGCGGGAGCTCAGCCGCGCGCGGGCTGACCGGCGGCGAGATCCATTCCGTCTCTACTGCCGCAGCAGGCTCTGCCTTCCGGCGCGACTGCCAGTGCATGCCAGAGAGCTCGAACGTCGTGAGATGGGGCAGGGTCGAGAGCGTGTCTGCGATACGCGAATAGAACGCCTGCGAGACGCGTGAGTCAGCTCCTCCACGACCGGAAGCGCATATACACGTACCAAGTCGGGCAAGTCCCAAAGCGCGCGCGTCGTCATCAAGCGCACACACACCAAGTTGGGGTACGCGAGCGCGAGGGTCTCCAGGAGCTCCGCGGGCGCGGCGCTGGTCATTGCGCTGAGGACCTGCAGGAGCGCGCCCGTGTCCGTGTCCGCGTCCGTGCTTGTGCTCGCGCGCGAGCTCTGATCGAGATCGGGGATAGCGCCCGATTGTCGGAGATGGGGCATCGCCTCTTCCGCAGACGGAGCGCTCGCATTAGGCGGGAGGAGGTCAAGTGTAAGGTCGCCGGAGAGGTGGACCGCGCGGAGGGGACGGGAGGAGAGGGCGGGGAGGACGCGGGCGGGACCGGTGTAGGCCTCGAGGAGAGGTATATGTGACGGGTGTACGTGGGCCGGCTCGGGCTCTGAATGGACGTCTGCGTCGGAGAGGAAGGAGGAGAGCTGGAGGGAGATAAGGGATGGGACTTGGCCCAGAAACGCGGCGAGGTGGGCGTCGAGCGGGAAGTTACAGGTCAGATGCTCGAGACGCGGGTAGAACGGGGGCTCCGGGTGAAGGATATTGCTCTTCTCGCTCTTCTGGGCCTGCGGGGGTGAGAGAATCCAGCTGGCAGAAGCGTCGACGTAGAGCGCGAGGCTCGTGAGATTCGTCATGCGCGCGAGGGCACGCTGGAGGTCGGAGTACATTGGACGTGCGGCTGGATCGGCATCGCCTAGGTGTACGGAGAATGTGCGGACGAGGCCGGCAAGGTCACGTCGTGTGGCTAGGAGACGGATGACGGAGGTGTTGTGGGCGTATTCGGAGAGGGCGAGATGGCGGTAGAGGAGGCGGGTGGCACTGGGGTTGATTGCTGCGCAGGAGAGTGCTGCAGCGGCCAGGGAGGAGGCGTTGGGCGCAAGGGGCGCGAGGATGGCGTCGAGGAGCTCAACGGGGAGGGCAGCGAGCTCCATGTTGCTGGGGGTGTGTCAGCGGCGGAAGAAAGGCGAATGGGTGCACTTGGAGTGCAGCGGCGGACGCGTTGACGGAGAAAAGTCGAGGGTGGATGTGGGACAGGGGCAAGGGATATATAGGAAGGCGAAAATGGGCGATTACGAATGGCAGAGGATTCTCGGCGTGAAGCGAGGGCGGTTCTAGTGGGAGAGCGGATACGAGGGTTCGTGCGCGCCTGGCTCGATTGGAGACGCACTCCGACGTCCCTCTTCCCAACGGCCACGACCCAGAACCGTCCGCATCCGTCACACAGACGATCTCTTCCCAAACCCTCGCCCCACGTGCTCCCGGTCTCTATCCCCAGCTGCGTCCCTGAACTGAGAGAGACCCTGCACCTGTCCCAGCCACTAGTCAGATCTGTCCGACTGACCTCGTCTCCGACCCGCACCCTCTTTTGCCGTTCCGTCCTCCGTTCCGTCGCCCCCTCCGAGGTCTCTCCTCCGGCCACGCCCCACCACATGCCCTCCAGTCGCTCCTCACACGCACGTTGCCATCTCGCCTCTCCCCGCTTACCGCACCACGCCCCCCTCGCGATCCCAACGATTAAGCAGCACATCGTGCTCCCATCACGCCGTATCGCTCGCGCCCGCCTTGCGCCCGGCCACGCCCTCGCTCTCCCGCCGCTAGCACACACAGCCCCTGCGTCGTTGTCGCCGCATCGCGCGCCCCTTGCCCACAAAAGTACGTCAGGCCCTCTCAAAGAGCGCTCTCGCCGCAGTTCGAAGCCCGCCAGAACTCCTTCTCCTTCTCGCCGACCGGCATACGTCACATCTCTCCCTTCCCCTCTCGCACGCCTCTCGATACCCCAACCGCCTTCACCTCTGCACATCGACCGCCTCGAACAACGACCCCCACTCGCGAGCCCTTCACAACGCAAGTGGATGCACGATTGCCAGGGGCGGCATTGAAATTGGAGCTGGAATGGAGTATCTGTGCTTCGGAACCGAGCCACGCACAGGCACCGGCATTGCACTTGCTGCTTCGATATGTAATACGCATGTTCTATGCCGTAAGCCTCATATAACAAAAACTTTTGTCGACCCCGAAGCCCTCAACAGATCCCCGAGGACCGAGGACGATGCGCCGCACATCGAGACTGCGCGCGTCTGCGCAGGGTCTGTTATGGGCGCTTAGCGTGCGCAAAGTGCTATGAAGGTCGAGATCAGCTCGCTGGTCTTTTGCTATCCTACAGGCACCGTCGAGGTATCGAGACAAGCCCACGAGAGGCCATTGGTACGAGACACGAATCGCCATGGCTCAGCGTTCATCCTTGGAGCAGATCTATAACATGACCTAGGCCTCTGTGCCCCCTCCCCGCGACGTCCGGAGCAAGTGGCTGGAGGACAGTCGTGTTCCACGGCTACCCTAGCCCCAATATGGGCAATTACCACAGGTTTGGAGGGGAATCTAGATGAGATCATTCAGGACAGTGGCACGGAGGCCTGAGAATGCAAGGCCGAAAGGCTGCCCCTCTCGAATTATCGCGCCGACCGGGTTCAAAGACCGCATTTGTATTGTGAAAATGACACAGCGGGGCTGGGAGAGAACGCCACTATAAGAAGATATGAGAATTAGCTGAGTCAAAGCGTGACCAGGCCCTGGTTCGTTGCTGTGGGGCGACGAAGGAGCGGGACGAGCGCCATTGGATACTACTGATGGCGGTGTTGTTGAGATGTTGTGGTTTGCGTGTCCTGTAAATTGCTATAGGAAAGGGACGACGTGGGGTCTCCATAGCGCTAGCTATCTCGCTCGTTTGAGGAACAACAACTTGTTTCACAAATCCTCATCCTGTTCGCGCAGAGAGTGCAGAGCTGTGCAGCGCGCCACCGTCGCGTAAGGGCGCCTAAAGCACGTGCCACGCGCCCTGCTTTTCGCTGTCGAGTCCGCCATCGTTATTCCCGCCCACAACCACCGACCCCTCCGCACCACGCTCTCTGGGTCTCGGGCACCTCCTCACCATGCTCAACTCCTTCCGAAGATGCACACAACGGCTCATGTCAACGGCCACGCAGCCCTACCCATTCTCTAGCGTCGCCACGGTCTCCGCCCCTCCCCCCACCCCCGCCCTCGAGGGCCTCAAAGCCGGCAAGGGCCTCATGCCGTACCTCCGGCAACGCCTGCTCTCCCCCGAGAAGCTCGAGCTGCTCGCGCGCTTCGGCAAACGCCACCCCGAGCGCATCCTCCCCGGGTCGGTCCTGCAGGTGACGAGCAAGCACGCGCCGACGGCGTTCACGGGCGTCCTGCTGGGCATCCGCCGGCGCGGCGCGGACACGTCCGTCCTCCTCCGCAACGTGATCAACCGCACGGGCGTCGAGGTGCAGTTCGCGGTGTGCTCGCCGAACGTGAAGGACGTGAAGGTGCTCATGCGCGCGGGCGCGCGCGGAACCGAGGGACGCGCGGGCAAGCGCATGCGCAGGGCGAAGCTCTTCTACCTCCGCGACTCGCCCGACAAGATGACGGCTATCTCGGCGGGCATGCGGTGAGGACGCTGCGTGGACGAGGGCTGCGCAGAGGGGCGTAGTTTGGGGTTGGGAGGCGCAGGGGAGGATCTGGGTTGGGCAAGGGCAGGGAAGGACGCAGGCGCAGATTGGATTGGGGACGTGCTGGGCCGCCGCCGGGAGGTGTGTGCACGCCCACCGGCCGCTCGCTCTTCTCGCTCGCTGACGTTTGGGGCGCAATGTAACCGTGCACTTCGCTGTTCGCTCGCTCGCTCGCGCGCACTCCGTCCGCTCCCATTCGCCCGCGCTCGCTGCTCCGGCACGGCCTCCGGTGCGTCTCCCGCGTGCGCAGAGGGGGAATGCCCAGGCGTGCCTGTACGAATCCGCGCATCCATGCATCATCACCACCTCCTGCGCGCATACGCTAGTCATCGTCGGCTCTATATACAGTAATCGCCTTCTCTCTCACAGTGACACAAGATGCATCTGGGCTTGGGCACAGGGAAGCGTCCAATGGACCCCGACTAAGGCGTGGGCCTCTCTTCGCAACGGTCGCCCGGGGGTCAGACGATGTGCGCCTCTCTGCCCCATCATTCGGTGCGTCCGCGCGATCTCGCCGAGAATCTGCAGCCCTGGTTAGTGAATGAGTGGTCATAGGACTTGCGGGTGTGCGCGCTGGGGCTCGGGCTTTCACCGTCAGGCCCGCGAGGTCTAGATCGAGGGTGGGCACCCTTCCCGCCGGGATGTGTGCGTTCCCGTGTTCGGACGCTGCCCGTGGGTTCTTGGGACGCGCCGCCGTGTGGGGCTCGCATGTCCGGGGCCGAATTCCTACGTGGCAGGCTACGGAGCGCGAGGCTACGCAGCACGCTAGGGTGGGCGTGGAAGTGGGCGGGTGCATGCTGCTTCCCGCCACGGCGTGGGCTGCCAAGCCTTATAAGGACGCGTCGTTCAATTGGGATTGGGAACGGTGCACTCGCCCGGCGCGCCGAGTCGAGGGCGTCGATGTGCGGGGATGGAGATACGTGGATGGAGATACGTCGTCTGCGCACGGTGGAATCGGCGCGTAACGTAATGCTGGGCAGAAGGGGGTGCCCGGTTGTCTGTCAGGCCACCGTGTTTGGACAGCACTTCGGGTGGACATCTGTGGTCGTGTTCGGACGTGCGCGGCTTTATCCTGTGCGCTCGCACGGGGCGCGCGCGTAGCGGTATGTGTGTTGCATTCAGCTGGGTCTTGTGTCTCGACTCGCTGTCCGACATGCCGAGTGGACAGAGTTGCAGATGCATGTTACATGTAGATGAGCGGCACGAGACTGACTCGCTCGCGTAACGCCTAGCGGACGGCGGTTTGTTTGACGGCCGCGTTAGACCTTTGACGGATGCGTTCGGACGTATGCGGTTTTATCCTGTACGCTCGCACGTACGGGGCGCGCATGTCCGGCGTTACGGCGTGTGCGAGGATATTTGGGAGGGCGTACCTGTGCGACTCCTGCGTCTGGCCGGCCGGGGTTAGGAGAGCGTACTTATTGTGTACGGCGTCAGACAGCTGAGCTGAGGCCGTGTTCGGTCGCCAAGAGTGTGCGAGCGCGGAGAAGGCGGCTGTCAAGTAGAGTGCAGGGCGTAACGGGGACCGCAGTTAGCGACGACGGTGCGTTCGGGGCACCGGGCAGGTCGCCCGGAGCGAGGCGAGCAGAGAAGTGCGGGGAAGCGCGAGCGAAGCTTTTCGACGCACGCTCCCGATTCTGCCGTGCAACGAGGACGGTGGTTCTTGCGCCGCACCACGCTCAATGCACTCGCGCTGAATTGGCGGAAGGGATGGGAGCGGCGGTCTCCGATCCGAGTCCTCCGCTCGCGTTTGGGTGTGTCATGCCCCGGGTGGCATTGGGCAGAGCGCTGCCGGGCTGCGGGCGGCGTCGGCATGCGCGAGCTATGGCTATTGCTGGCCGCCCGTGTCCAATGAAGGAAGGCTCAATGGACGGCGGGGGCGGCAAAGAACTAGAGCAGGCCAGGGCGGCGGTGGCGGGCAAAGCACGCAGAGCTGCAGCGCTTTGTGGAGCGAGAGCGTGATATAATAGAATAGACGCCAGGCACGGAGGAGGATCTGGGGGAGATCTAGGCGTCTTCTCATCTCATCTTTCGCACTCATCTCACTCAGTTCTCTCTCTCTCCCTCCTCCGCCCTCCGCCTCCCGAGCCCGGCCGCTGCCCCGTCTCGCGCCTCTCTCTCCCACCCGGCTTCGGCTTCGCATCAGCCCCACTGCGCCGTTCATATATACGCTCTGCCACCATGACCTCCGAGCCAAATACGCCGCCCGATTCCACCGACAACCCCCCACCCGCCCCCCTCCCAAATCCAACGATGACGATCCCCCACCCGCCGAAGAAGAAGCGGGTCGACGACCACGCGCCGCTGCCCGCCGACATCGGCCTCAAGCCCGTCCAGCTCCAGCGCAGGCGGGTCTGGCGTGCTTGCGAATCCTGCAGGTGAGCCTTCCTCCGTCTCCGTGATCGTCGCCCGCCCGTTGTGGCTACCACCCTCGCTTGGCTCGGCCCTCCCCTCCGCACCCTCGTCGTCGAAGTCGGACATGCCTCGTCGAACGTCCACATCAGATTCCTGTTCTAGACGGCGGGCGGCCTCGCTGCGAGAGCTTCGCGGAGACATGCCGCTTCTCGCTCGCTCTGCTCCAGAACCGTTCTGATCGTTCTCGACCCACAGACGCAAGAAGATCAAGTGCGACGGTGTCGAACCCACATGTTCTCAATGCTCGGCGTCGAAGTCTCAGTGTACATGGCTACAGACGAAGGACAGAGCCGCTTTGAGCAGACAGTAAGCATAGTTCAGTGTTTGTCAGCGTCGCAATGCTCACTGCGGTCGCAGCTATGTCCAGGAACTGGAGGCCCGCATCCAGCACATGGAGACCGTGATCCAGCAGGTCACCCCCATCCTCGAGCAGGTCACCCAAACCACAGGGCTCGACCTCACCGCAATATCTGCCGCCCTATCCGGGAGCCAGTCCCAGTCAACATCCTCCGCACCACCATTCCCGGATAGTGCTGTCTCGAATGTGCTGCAGTCTATCCTCCCTCGGGTCCGCGAGAGCTCCGTGCTTACAAACGGCGGCGACAGCCGCAGTACGAGTGGAAGCGGAGAGTCAGACGAGCCGACGGTGAAGATTGAGGATGACGTCTCCGACGCGTTCGGACAGCTCGCGCTTGACGAGCACGGCCACCTGCACTGGATCGGAAAGTCGTCCACCATGACTCTTATCCAGCAATTGCGGGACGCCACGACTGCGCCCGTCAACCGCATATCCCCAATGGAGGAGGACCCGACTGCGCCAGGCCCGAGCGCGAATAAGCTCTATTACCCCGCGAGCGTGTTCTTCGGGAAGGTCAGGGCGCTTCCGCCACCCGAGGAAGTCGAGTATCCCGAACGAGATCTCGCGGATAAGCTCGTGAGTAGCGCGGCGCCCGCATTTTCGCTCCGGTCTGCACACGAAAGTCGTCCGTGCGTTGCTAACTGTTGGAATCTGATAGGTCGATGCGTACTTCGCGCGGTTCCACTTCCTGATGCCCGTCATCGACAAGCCATCGTTCCTGCGCAAGTACAAGGATGTGATGGACCACCGGGAGAATCCCGAGTTCAAGCGGAATTACATGGCGTTCATAGCGCTCATGTGCTCCGTCTTCGCTGTGGCGTCGCGCTTCGTGGACGACCCGCGGCTGAACAAGAATGGGAACTTGGACGATGGCGGAATGGGTGTCGTTTACATCGAACGGTGCGTCCGCGGAGCATTCGCGGTATTTGGACAGACATGCTGACTTTCAACACGTAGTGCGCTCATCCTGCACTACACGAGCTACCCTTCCATACAGCTCGAACACGTTCAGTGCTTCCTTCTGATGTCTTCTTTCCTCTGCTCCGTGAACTGCCTGCCACAGGCGTGGCTGCTCGTCGGACAGGCCGTCCGCGCTGCACAAGACATCGGTCTTCACGTGAGTACCCTGTTCCCAGTCCTCGGAATCCCGTGTTCATATTCTGCCGTAACAGCGTTCGCCCCGATGGCTCGCACTTAGCCCGATACAGAAGGAGACACGCCGCAAGATCTGGTGGGGTGTGTATACGCTCGATCGGATGCTCGCCCTCGCCCTCGGCCGACCCCTGGCGATCGAAGATGCGGACTGCGATGTGGAGATGCCCGCGGACGTCGACGACGAGCTGCTGCCTCAGTACTTCAACGGCGACGAGAAGATGCCCACCGTTACGCTCATGAAGGGCTTCAACGAGCTCATCGAGCTGTACAAGATCGCAGGGCGTGTTCTCCGCGAGATATACGCGCTCGACAAGACGAAGGACCACCTCGAGATGGACAAGCGCATGGAGCTCGACCGGTCCGTAGAGACGCTCGACCGAAGACTGTCAAAGTGGTGCGAAGCCCTTCCGGAGGAATTCAAGGTCAAGCCGCGCACGGAGAAGCAGGTGTCCATGGCAGCGGTACTGTGCAGTCACTATTACTCCATTCTGACGACTCTCCACCGCAACTTCCTCCCGGTGAAGCGGGAGCAGCCCGTCGCCCCAAGTTCGACAAGTTCCACCGCGAAGGCCGTCCAGACCGCCCGTGCCTGCGTTCGCCTGGCCCCGTCCATCAAGAACGTCGTCCCACCGAGCCACCACTTTGCGTTCTTCATTCAGAACCTGTTCAGCTCTGCGGTGATCATCCTCCTCTATGCCATGCATACGACCGACCCCATGGCGTCGCAGGCGGCGCTCGAAGAGGCGCGGAGCTGCCTCGCCGTACTGGAGTCGTGGGAGGGCTTCTGGCCTGGAGCACGCAAGTGCAAGGAGCTCCTCGAGGACCTGTCTGCGAAAGCCAGCGAGGCGATCAGGACCGCCGTATTCCACCCGCCGCCGCGGGGTTTCATGGGTGCTTCCTCTTCTTCTCCGCAGGCAGCCCCCGGACCATCGGCCCCGTCTCCGAGCCCTTCTTCGCCCATGTACCACGACGGACGCTCCGCGTCCATCTCGGTCCCGGTCTCCGAGCGACTGATCAAGGGCAGACCGCGGAGGGACCGGTCGCGTGACGTGCCTATGTCACCCCGCAACGCGCACGCCTCGACACATTATCGCACGGACTGTGAGTGCTCTTCTACGTGCGGCGCGGGTTCTGGGCTTCCTTCGGGGAGATCAGCCGTTGCTGCCTATTCCGCCGCATGTGGTGCTGACGTCGCCCCCGTTTCTTCTGTTCCTTCGACAGCGTTGCGCGCCCGGTCGACGTCCCGGAAACGGCCCCATGACGAGGACCAGTACCACGACGGATACACGGCGCTCGGCCTTCCAAGCTCGTACCCCGGCCGCTCGAACCTGGGCGCGAGTTCGCACAGCTCCCCGGTGTCCGTCAACAGCCACCCGTCGCCGCCCGGGCCGGCGCACCGGACGATGGACAGCGGCGACATGATGCAGGGCTCGTCGGGCTACCCGCAGCTCAGCATGGCGCAGTCGCCAAGCGTGCAGATTCCGCGGCAACGGTTCGACTATGACTTTGCGCTCGGCAGCCCTGCGGACAGGTGGGCAAGCCCTGCGGTGGACCAGAACGAGCTCAAGTTCTTCCCTGCGGACTCGATGGCAGGAGGCGGGCCGTCGTATGGGCGCACTCATGGGCACCAGCACCAGCACTCGGGCAGCTTCTCTGGACAGCTGCCTGGGCTCGACACGTCCTCACCGTACCTAAGCAATTTCGACGGCGCCAGCTTTGGCATGGACTTCTCGCCAGCGCCGGCGTCAGCACCGGTTGGGGGCACGGGCACGACACCGCCGTCGGCGGGTTTCGCTGCGCCCGGGCTGCCATTCCGCGGGCTCGACTACATCCGCAACTACGATCCTACGTCGGGGAGCCCGAACGCGGGCGCGGGCGCGCCGTACGTGGGGCTCGGGGAACAGGACCAGTACTGGCAGCCGTTCGACGCTGGCGCGTTCGGCGTGGACCCAGAGGTCGCGTTCACGCTCGGCGGTGATTTCACGACAGACGGACAGGCGTGGCAGAATGACATGAACGGACGGTGAACGCGCTCACGCCCGTGTTGGACGACGCAATTCGGTGTCGGCAACACCCTTATAGCTCTAGCATCTCTCCTCTTCTCTTTCTCGCTCTCTCACCGCGCCGTCTGTGATATGCTGTCCGCGCACCCGCACCCGCATCACGTTCCCGTTACTACTTACGCCTATGTTATTTGCTATGCACCCTCTGGATTTCTCGACCCCTTCACGACGCACGCATCGCTGCACTGTACGCACCCCACCGCACTGCCCCGGATGTATCCCTTCTTGCATACCTCGCTCTGTATACTTAGCTGTACGACTACCCGCCCAGATCCGTGGAGGTACAGTACTGGTACACACGCCCCCTCCTAATGCCTGGTCCCCGCTCGCATCCCGCCGTCTCCCCTGTACAGTCCGCACGGCCGTTCCCCTGTGTTTGTATCGGTACCACTGGACCATCCCCCGGCATGCCTCCGTATGCTACATACGAGCACCCCTGTTGCGCTATTATTACTACCTAACTTTACTCTACCGTCCCGCTCTATGTCTCTCACGAATGAACATGCCTATTTCCCCCCCTCCTAAGCCTTGTTCCCTCGGCTCGCGGGGGCCCCTAGCTAAGCTCAAGGGCGCCGCCACCGCGGCGCGGGTGCTCAGGTGCGCGCGCATCTGACCTCGGCGTCGCGCCTGGGCCGCCCCTGCCGCGATCTTGGTTGCCAAACTGGGCGCGCCTGATCGCGCGCCAACGCGTGTCCGGCCTCTGTGTATAGCCGGCCGCCCATTCATAGTGCGGGGTCGCCGCGGAGAGTGTGGGGGGCCCGTCTTCCCGCACCTCTCTCTGTCTGTCTGCGACCACCGTCACGACAGCAAGCACATACTATACGATGTCCACGCACCCGATCGTCGAATACACCTCTCCGTCGTCATGGGCGCTGGTGCGTACAACTTCAGTGGCTGGGAGCGCGCGAGGCTGAGCTGAGGCGTTTTGCAGGTCGAGGACAAGATCTCGCCGTTCGCGAAGGATATCCTCGCGAAGCTCATAAAGTTCATGGAGGTGCGTGTGGCGTCTCTGCTAGTAGTGCGCGCTGGCGGACGGGGACTGACGGACGCGTGTGCAGGAGGACGTATACCCCGCGGTGCGGGTCGCGCATGCGCAGCTCCCGACGGACCCCGCGACGCGCTGGACGACCGTCATCCCCGTGCTGGTGGACCTCAAGGCGAAGGCGAAGTCGCTCGGGCTTTGGAACCTCTTCCTGAGCAAGGCGCACTACCCGCAGTTCGGCGTGCCGCTCACCAACCTCGAGGTGCGTGCTCTGCAGCTGGCTGAAGTTGGGTAAATGGTGCTGACTTGCTGGGCAGTATGCGTGCATGGCCGAGATTCTGGGCCGCGGTGGCCAGCTTGCGTCTGAGGCTGTGAACTGTTCTGCGCCTGATACGGGAAACATGGGTACGTGTTATTGCACCACTTACGCTTTGTGAGTCTGGTACTGACCGGCACTGTAGAGGTTTTGGCCCGGTTTGGCTCCCCTGAGCAGCAGAAGAAGTGGCTGGTTCCTCTCCTCAACGGCGAGATCCGCTCGGCGTTCTCTATGACCGAGAGATTCGGTATGCCCCCTTCCGCTGATCGCCCATGGTCTGGGCTCAATGCCCGGAAATGCAGTCGCTTCGTCCGACGCAACCAACATCCGGACTTCAATTCGCCAGGAGGGCAACGAGATCGTCATCAACGGCCACAAGTGGTACGGACGGCGATGCTTCTCGACGCTGCTTTTTGCTCACCACCCGTCCCTCCAGGTACATCAGCGGTGCGGGCGACCCGCGCTGCGCGCTGCACCTGGTGCTCGGCAAGAGCGACCCGGACAACTCGGACAAGTACAGGCAGCAGAGCATTGTCATCGTCCCCGCGAACCACCCTGGCGTGAAGGTCATTCGCCCCATGCAGGTTCTTGGCTACGACGACGCTCCCGAGGGTCACTGTGAGATCATTTATGAGAATGTCCGGGTTCCTTTGGAGAACTTGGTATTGGGCTGGGGCAAGGGCTTCGAGGTAGGATCACTGCGTATAGTGTACAGACCTCTCCTAATCCCCTTCTCTCTGCTATAGATCATCCAGGGTCGTCTTGGGTACGTTGCAATACGCAGTGGTCGCAGGAGAGTCGCTCACATACATATGCAGGCCTGGCCGCATTCACCATTGCATGCGTTCCATTGGCGCCGCCCAGTACGCTCTGGACCTATTGCTCCAGCGCGTCACCGACCCCGCGAAGAAGACGTTTGGAAAGTTCTTGTACGAACATGGTAGGTCTCTTCTGGCCTTCCCCAACTTCCACTCCTGACACCCCTTCTTGCGACCCTAGGTACTGTTGTGGCTGACATCGCTAAGTCTCGCGCCGAGATCGAATCTTCTAGGCTGTTGGTTCTTAGCGCAGCGCTGCAGGTTAGGCTTCTACTTATACGTGCTGTCAAGCTTGACTCTAAATTACGCTCGCTCGCAGATCGACAGAGCACAGGCGAAGGGTGCGCTCAAGGAGATCGGTATCGCCAAGGTACGAGTGGTGTTCCCTGTCTTGCTTCCGTTCTGAACTCGCGATCAGTTTGTCGTGCCTTCTATGGCGTGCCTGGTCATCGATCGCGCTATCCAAGCCTACGGTGCCGAGGGCCTCAGCCAGGACACTCCCCTCGCTGCCATGTACGCGAACCTGCGGACGCTTCGTATCGCTGATGTACGTCTCGTTCTTTCGTCTGTTTTTTTCAACCGCTCACAATCGTACGAATTCATAGGGTCCCGACGCTGTAAGTACAAATATTCAGGTGCTGATAGTCTTCGATACTCACTGCGAGCCCACAGGTCCATATCCAGCAGATTGGGCAGAGGGAGCTTAAGCGCGCACAAGCGGTAACCCAGCGCCATGCTGAGGTCAAGAAGCGGGAAAAGGCCCTCGCAGCCAAGCACAACGTCAAAGCGCACCTGTAAAGTGCTCGCTGTTTGAGGTTTGTGCTATTGGTGTGAGTTGTGGCCGGAGCTTTTGGATATATCCATTTGTATCTGCTCGGAGGACTTGCTGTATATTATGATCTCGCGAATACTGGAGATTGTTGTCCCCACAATTTGAATGATGTTATCATCACCGTCGTACGTTCACCTGGCGAATTTTCGACGCAGGACGGGGTGGGCGGCAGGCCCCGCAGGCGCCAAATGTATAGACAGGAATTGGCTACACGTGATCGCAGAACCTTGCTCTCTGCCACCATGTCCGGTCTCTCGTCGACCAAGCTGTTGCGACTCTCCCTCCGTCGAGCAGCACGATGCACTCGCAATACCTCCACCAACGCCTCGGCATCATCACCCTGGTCTACCACCGCCTCCACGTCCCAGTCAAAACTCGACGTACAGCCTAGCGCGAAGCTGCCAGACGAGAAAATGCGGGTGCTCGTGAACCTGTACCACCAGTCGGCGTCGTTCATCACCAAAGAGAACCTCTCGAAACAAATCGACGAGGCCTTCATCCACCGGCAGATGAAACGGGCGACCGCGCTCGGCGACGAGACGCCATTCCGCGCGCTCGAGGTCGCGCTCACGCAGCGCCGCGCGATGCCCCGGTTCGGGGAGAGCAACACCGCGACCGTGAAGACGAATAGCAAGGCGGCGCAGGCGGGCGAGGCGTGGAGCGAGAACCGCCCGCTGCGCGAGCTGGCGGTCATGACCACGCTGTACGGAGTGCTCAGCCGCGGCCGGCCTGGGTTCGATGCGCTCAAGGACGAGGAGATGCGCACGAAGCGCCGGCTAGCGGAGGATCGCCAGGCCAGTGAAGGGTCGTCATAGAGGTACGTTGTATGCTCAGTCCACACGCATTGCAGGGTACATGGCTGATATTATATTCGCGGAAGATGGTCGTAGTATCGTACATCCATCATAATACCAGTGTCCTGCATATGCACGTCCTATTCCAACACCCTCACCTGCTTTATGGTTGCCTCACGGCGGGTCGAACGCCTAGTGTCGGTCATGCGAAGACCAGCGGTGTATATCTCCACGCCGACAGGTACGTACCCAAGACGGTAGTGCCAGGAAGGCATCAGCGAGTGCGGCGCACGACCCAACGCCGAAACGAAGAAAAGAAAACGCATTTTGGTTTCCCTGCCCGCGCGCAGCCCCGAGAGGCCACGCACGACCAGGTACTTATCCCGAGGACCACGAAAAGGTATGCGCCAGGACCGAAGTCCCTCCCTCGGGGAAAGAAACACTTACCGTCCCACCTTCGACTCAAAATGGACTTCAATCTTAAGGAGCTTCTGACCGCTTGCTTGCAGTACTCTGACGACGCTTGAAGCGGCCCTGCCCATCGGCAATTGGGAACATCGCTGACGCCAGGGTAGATCCCGTGTCTTGAAGGCCCCTGCCTGTCGGCGTGGTGACTCATAGCGGGTGGTGGGGGAGGAGGGGGGGATGGAGGGGGGAACAGAGCGCGAATGGGGGATCGACGCGTCGCGGCGAGGTTTTTATTCCCTCGGGCGGCGGGAGGCTGGCCAGAGGCTGGCATCCGCTGCAGCCTCCGATTGATCGACCTGTGAGTCTTGCCACTGTCATGACAGCTTCAGTCACGCTAGTTCTAGCTGCAGCACTCGCCGCGGCCGAACAGCGAGAGCGCGCCCAGTCAGGATCACAATCGTGCTCTGATTCGCTTGTGCGAGTACGTTCATCAGGTCGATGTATCGTCAGCCGGTAACGCCGAATACTTTTGCTCAGAATACCGCCAGTCCTCCTACAAGACGCTATACGGATGTCAAGTACATACGGCGAGGTCATCGCGGTGCAAACAGCTGCGACGAAATCATCAGCACAGGATTTGCAAGTCGCCATCCGTAATTTCGCGGAGCCTACCAAGCTATCACGGGCTGTCTTTGCTCGCACGCGCCATGCATTGTCGCTCTGGTACGAATCACGAGGAACGCGATACGACACGTCCACACTGGCAGTGGTAGATCTCGTGCCGCAGATACTACCGTGAAGACTATCCAGGAACCTGGTCCTAAGATTAGGTGCGACCTCCAGATGCGCACCATAGCCAGCTCTCAAGGAGCAACCCCGCTATCCCGGTCGCACAGCTCCAGAGTGTCCCCGCTCTCTTGTATGTGCTCCGGAGGCACAGCATCCAGATATGCGGATTGACGGCTAGGACAGGAGGGATGATAAACATATTCCGAAGTCGTCGGAGGTGCTGTATCGGAGTATCCGGACATTTGTGTCGCAAATCGGCTTGCCGGATGCTCAGATATTTGCAGCGGGAGTATCTAGTTATCAGGTACCAAGGTGCGCTGTGGATCCTGTTCTCGAATGGGATTGCGGCTGACTTGCGGGATCAGCGGGGTTGGCCCTCGCTTTCCAGCGGGCGAATACGATAAGCAGTCGCGCACAATACAGATATCCGGATATCTGTACCGAAGTAGTAGGCGCGTTCTGGCTATCCTACCATGCCTGTGTGGGGCTGCCTCGAGCTCTATGCTGTGCCTCGCTCGAGTTCATCCATACCAGAAATCCTGAAGGTTTCCGGTAGTACTTATACTCGATCCCCTTTCCAGCAACATCGTCGCTCTTCCAGCCGACTCGCCGCGTAAGTCTGAGTCAATGCTCGCATGCACACTCGCTCATTCTTGCACCACAGTGCCATGTCGTCCGTTGCGACGCAAGCCATCTGGGTAGACACGGGGTTCAGCCATATAATACTGAAGTTCCCAAGCAGCAGCTTCACCATGATGTCTGGCGTACTCGTATCTTGCTCGTATAGGACTTCCCTGGACAAGGAGCCAGCAGCGAAGGACGCCGCGGCGCATTGGCGTAGTGTCATGTCATACCTGCGCGATCAGCATCAGCGTGAAACCGGGGCAGGACGCCCTTCCCAGTATGACCGGCAGGCTATACCAGTACGTCCCCTTTCGTGCGCTGTTCCGTTTTGACCGTCCGTGCTAACACGCGACAGACTGGATACGTCTGAACCTTCAGGCGATCCCGCGTGCGGAAGCTCGAGCGCTCGTGCTCGGAGCCAGTATATGGCCTGAGAGTAAGTGTTACATTTACTAGCCCGCGCAGACACATGTGTTAACAGACTGTCCCTACAGACTACGGCAGAGAGGCTCTCTCCGTCGATGCCACCACCTTCAAACTCGCCCCCCTCATGACCCATCAGCGCCCCTCCGAAGTCATCTACCAAACCATCAGGCGAGCGGCTACGGATTGTAGAACAAACGGGTGCGTCGTACATTTCCACAGTTAATTAGACGATCCTGACGGTTCAAGTAGATAATGCAGTAGCATTTCCGTAGCAGTCTGTACCGCTCAATTTTCCTCAACTAATTTGGTGACAAGATGATTTGAAGTAGACTCGGCGGCGCTGACATCAAAATAACAGCACTAACATAGTTGTAGTGTTGTTGAGCTTTGGATTCAAGTGCATGCATGCCCGTCAAAGCACCCTCCTCCCAGTGCATTGAGCAGGAAGACTGGCGTTCTCCGTGCACACCCGTTCACTGGCGCTGAGCACGGTACACCATGCCTCTATCGGGCGAGTACCAGGTATACCATGGTATAAACTTGTGGCCGCGTTGTCTCAATGCATGCGACCGGTCGCGCATGACTTGAATGCCCAAGATGTGTGACGTCGACGCCTGCGGCAGTGTACGCGTACGGGTAGCGTGCCTGCTACTCACTCACTTGCTCGTTTATAGAGAGGCAACCGTCCTCGCTGGAACCAGTTCTCGCGCTGGTCGCCAACGTAGGGATGGAGATACCACCGCCAAGCATAGGTGTGGGCATTCTGGGCGACACAACGTACGGAATGCGATAAGGTGGAACTACGAGCAGCGCTGGAGGCTCGTCCTGAAGAGAACAAGAGCGAGATAGCGGCGCGACAAGTTCGTTTTACCCGCGGCCGGAGACGTACTGCCAAGGAGCCGACTGTCAACGTATCACCCGGTACAATTGGAACGCGACCGTTGTACTACGTACGCATCCTCGGCGGGAGATAGTTGGATATCATCACCGAAGGAACTTCGGCCGCTGTATCGCGTAGGATGGGCATCGACAGGTGGCAACCCGCGTTGTTCTTCCAAGTTCCCGTGTGAGCATCGTGGCATCCGCCTCCCGGGGCTTCGCTGTGTCGAAGTGGCGGCTCTACCTCGCTTCGAGAGAGCGCTGGATGGTGTGCCTTGGTCATTTGCCGTTCTCCTGCCGCCCAAGATGTCAACTTCGCACTAGGTCATCAAGCAACGCCTACCGCTCAGCCGTACGGTGGGTACATCGCCCGTCCCGGTTCTTGGTCTTGTGATGTTCTTCTGAAGTCTGGTCTTTAACGACAATGTCACCGCGATACCAGCATACAGAAGACACTCTCGCCGGTATCCGGGGGGGAATAACTGTAGCCCAGTAGCGAAGGGTATTGATCGATTCACATAAACATCAGAGCGGTATACATACAAGAGCCCAGTAGATGACGGAATGTGAGAGCAAACAACATCAACAGCGCGCCATCCGAGAGCAGGACGGCGGCGACGGTACAATTCACCATTCATGAGACAGGCCATAGCAAAGCACCACGAAACAAGTACAGAGATCGGGCTCAGAAGATCGAGCGATAGATGGAATAGAACTGGCCCAAAGCCATCAGCCGAGCACTCGACGACGCGCACTCATGCTTACCAGAGAATACACATGCCGGAAGACTTTGACCAGCAGATACGAGTCGCGCGGCTGCAGACTCCAATACCGGTATATGGGCGACACGCCCCTGCGGATGGCCGTGAACTGCTGATACGCCTTCGCGGCAGTTGGTCGACGCGTTGGGTCCGGGTGTACCATTTGCTTCATGAGTGGTTCCAACATTTGCAGGTTGGAGTACCTCTGCTCGAACGGCCTTCGTTAATAGATCGAGAGGAATGTAAATGATCGGTACTTACATCGCAAAAGTGCCGGCGGATGAGGTTCCCAATGATGAACACGTCCAACTTGAAGGGATCATAAGGCACGGTATCCGATAATTCTGGCGGCTCCTGGTCGAGACCCGACGAGCCGACGACGAGCCTCGAAGTGGCATCGGGGGCGAAGCGCGACGAAATACCGAAGTCTATGAAGTAATAGTTGATAGGTACGCCTGCTCGGGACAGAGGGTGTGCCTCGCCCGAGATATCTGGAAGCAAGCTCTGTATTACCGGGTGGAAACCCCGTGGAAACAGAGCAGACGCTTCCATCATGATGTTCTTGTATGCGCAATCTCTAGCAGTGCTATGAACATCGCTGTCAATGCCAAGTGAAGCGGCTTACCTGTGCGCGACGCCATGGTCATGGATAAACCCGAGGCCCTGCGTACTGCTGGTCAGAAATTGTTCGATAGGGGCCGCAAAGATTGTGCTTACCTCCAAAATTTGGTCGAAGCAATCAAGGACATCTTCGACTCGCTCCATGGGCGGCGAGTCGATATATTTCATGAAAGGCATTACCATGAATGCGATGTTGGGATCAGCGGTATCTCGCAACACGTCCAACAAAGCAATGCAGTGGTTACGAGGGTCTTGCCGGAGTTCTTCTGAGTTGAGGTATGAGAGGATTTGTAGCTCCTCGGAACCGACAGGAGTTCTCTTGATATAAACGAGAGTCCCGTCCGATATACGCGTTGCGTCCATGACTTTCGTCCGGAGCTGGCGGTCGCGTTTTTAGCAAGAGTAGAGTTTGATAGACAGGTGGCTTACTGGCAAGGAAAAGGCATCCTCACTGTCCAAGATGGTTTCTTCAGGTTTCCCTCTCCAAGACGGCGTCCAGCCCGGCTGGTAACGAGCGCGTAGCATGTAACCATGCGCTTCGAGGAATTCTTGGTGATCCCGCCAATAAATCTCTTCGTCTGTAAGGCGCGCAAAGGAGTCGTCCTCGTCGAGCTCGCAGACGACCATATTGAGCGATAGGATCTGGAAAAGAGCACGAAGCAAGCGTGGAGGCGAGTAATACACTTGCCGTAGTACTGAAGAGGAGTGGAGCAGACTTGCAACTTCACCTGTAAGATCCCCCGACGAAGACGTAGATGAATCGCCAAATGGCTATAGCCGCGTAGTCAAGGTGTGAGTGAAACGCGAGAGAAAGGACAGGGGAAACAAGACGTCGCGGAGTGAGAATCCTCAATTGGAAATTGATCCTACCGGGGTCCATAGTACATCATACGTGGGACGCCCTGCAAGCGGGTACACGCCACCTCGCCCCAGTCGCCTCGTCCAGACTCCAGAAAATCCACGCTCTGCCAGATAATCCTAGACATGACCGTGACGTGGACACCGAACGCGAGCTCGGCTCGCGATCACAGTGTTGTACGAAGTGCTCGATATTGGCGGCAAGAGCCTTCGAGCCCTATTCCAGATCCGATCTGCGAACCCATAGTCTAGGCGCGGCACTTATAGCGGCCGCGCGTTCCCTATCGTTCCTGGTAGGTAGTTGTCAGACAGCGGCAACATCAAGACACATGCCCCTTCGTGCGCGCGTCACCAGACGCGAGTTGCACATACGGCGGGGCACCCAGGTCATTTTCGGCGCATGCGGGTTGCGTGGCTTTTAGCACTTCGAATGTCGTTGGGCGGGTGTCCGTCCATGGTAGATGCTGCGTCATGAGACACGTGCACAAACAACAATGATAGCAAGCGAGAGCACTGTACATCCAGGAACCAAGCGATAGCACTGAACAGAGAGCAGATAGGAACTGTCCAGGAGGGGTACGGGTCAGCTGGTCGGTATGATTCGCGCTCATCAAGATTGCCAGGATCTGACGATGGCGAGAATCTGTAAGGTGCGACATTAATCAAGAGGTCTAAGAACCAGCCAGAGGAATAGATACGCACGGTGGCCTTGCATTCAAGAAAGAAGGTCGCAATCCACATTTCCTCACGCGGACGCAGCCGCCAGTATCGCTGAATTCGGTATATCCGACGACGCACGGTTTTCCACTCCCGGAGCGCTTCCGAAGCGCTTGGACGCTGGCTAGGATCGTTGTTGACCATCCGCTCGACCAGCGGGGTGAACATATCAACGTTGGAGTATTTCTGTAGCCGGCGGGTCGTTAGCATCGGCGAAATCAACAGTCAACAGTCGGACTCATACCTGAAGGAACCTTTGCCGCAGCAAGTTTCCTATGATGAAGATGTCGGTCTTGAAGGGATCATACGGGACAGTGTCAGATAACTCGGGGACCTCGTCGTCTAAGCCCTGGCGTCCAACAACAAGCCTAGGATGATCGTCCGGTGCGAACAGCGTAGATATCCCGAAGTCGATGAAGTAGTACTTGACGGGAATGTCAATGCGGTGCAGAACAGGGGCCGCTCCTGAGTTATCAGGCAACCTGGATTCGTTCAAAGGGTGAAAGCCCTTGGGGAACATCGCCGCGGCGTCCATCATGATATTCTTATAGGCGCAGTCACTGCAGGGAAGTAAGTTAGCATCGCATCGCCCTCCGGTGCACAGTAGACCCACCGATGGGCTACGCCGTGGTCGTGCAAGAAGACCAGTCCCTGCGAAGTGACATGAGCGATGGTGCACTGTCGAGAGCAGGAATCGCAACGCCTACCCCAAGGATTTGTTCACCACACTCTAGCATGTCTTCAACGAGTTCAGGGTGAGGATAGTCAATGTACCGCAGATACGGCATCACAACGAAACATGTCTGAGGGTCAGACGGGTCGTGAATTACATCCAGCAGGGGCACGCAGTGATTATGCGGATCTCGGAGCATCTCCGGCGACGAGAGGTATCGCAACAACTGCAGCTCCTCGGAATCGGGGTGGATCTTCTTGAGGTATACAAGTCTGCCGTCGGATACGTGCGTTGCGTCTATGACATTTGCTCTGGCCTGATACCCGTTAGCCTGCGGGCGCTGCAATATATGTACAATGATCTCACATGCAATGACAGCGCGTCTTCCGCAAACAGGATGGCCGTTATCGGCTTGCCCCTCCACGACGGCGTCCAGCCAGGTCGGTATCGCGGGCGTAGTGCGTACCCATGGGCCTCGAAAAGCAGTGCTTTGCTTGCCCAGTACCTCTCTACGGTGTCCAGGCGCTCGTATATAGTAAAGTCGAAAGTGTCGATGGACATGCTGGTTAGGTGTGGACTGGCTGTTGGAAGTAGGTAGGCAAGATAGAAGGGAAGCTCGCAGAGGCGCGATCTCGTCTTGCGCCACGAAGTCTTGTTTAGGTCGGTAGGCTCCTGTAGGTCTCATGGATTAAAACTCAGAACAATAACATTTGTTTGAGAGTTGGAGGTCCGACTCGGATCCGGCTCCGCCGCATGCACTGTCTCCGCGGTCGCATGATCATGCGCATAGCTGAGCACTACAGTTTGTCTTTAGTCGGAAGCGAGAAGTAGTACATAGGGGCAAAAGCATACTAGAGAAAACAGAGGACTCAACTAAAAACGGAAGCGCCATACGGCGACAGCCTAATACAGCACACAAAATCAGAAGATAGATCGATAGATGGCGCAGAACTGTGCCGAAGCCGTCAGCCTAGATTTGTAGTGCGAGAAAATATTGCGCACCAGAGAGTACATCTGACGGAAAACTCTGACCAGCAGAAATGAGTCGCGCGGCTGCAAATCCCAGTGTCGGTACAGGGTTGGCACGTTCCTTCTGACGACTTTGAACTGCTGGTGCGCTTCCGCGGCGCTCGGACGACGCGCTGGGTCCTCATGCGACATTTGGTTCATGAGGGGTTCCAGCATCGTCAAGTTGGAGAATTTCTGCTCAGACAGGTTTAGTGGGCGACGAAAGTTCAAAGAAACACGCACGTCGTAGAGTTCGCGGCGGATGAGGTTTCCGATCAGAAAGACATCCAGCTTGAAAGGGTCGTACGGGATGCTGTCCGACAGTTCTGGTGGCTCCTCATCGAGACCCAAGGTGCCGACGACGAGCCGGGGAGCGTCCGATGTGAAGCGCGTAGAGATGCCGAAGTCGATGTAGTAGTATTTGACAGGAACGGCCGACCGTGAAAGCACAGGAGCGCGCCCCGAAACATCGGGGAGACGCGTCTGCACAATCGGATGAAACCCCTGTGGGAACATCGCAGACGCGTCCATCATAACGTTCTTGAACGCGCAGTCTCTGAAAAGTGTGCTTCGTGAACATGGCTAGTGCGAGGCATGGGTGAGAAGACTTACCTGTGCGCAACGCCCTGGTCATGGATAAAGACAAGGCCCTGCTTACTCGCCGATTAGTAGTCACCACTAGTGTACAGAAGCCGGATACCGCACCTCAAGGACTTGGTCGATACATTGAAGAACGTCTTCGACCCGTTCCATGTCTGGTTTATCGATATACTTCAGAAAGGGCATGACCATGATCGACATGTCAGCATCGAGAGGGTCCCGTAGTACATCCAGCAGAGGAACGCAGTGGTTTCGAGGGTCTTGGCGCAGCTCGTCGGTGTTCAGATATGACATGATATGTAGCTCTTCTGAGTCAGCGCGAGCTCTCTTCATGTAAACAAGAGCGCCATCAGATATACGTGTCGCATCTATCACACACATCCTAGACTTCATCCAACACATTCTCAGTCCGAAATACGATGAACGGTGGCCGAACGACTTACGGGGAGGGCGTAGGCGTCCTCGGCGGCGAAGACAGCTTCGTAAGGTTTCCCCCTCCAAGAGGGTATCCAATCGGGGCGGTATCGAGGGCGCAGTTGATATCCACGGCTTTCGAGGAAGTGCTGGCGATCTCTCCAGTATAGCTCTTCGCCGTGGAGCTCAGCGAAGATATCTTGCTCGCCGGTGGGCTGAATGTCGGAGGACGCCATAACAACAAAAGGGCAGTGAAAATGAAACGAGACCAAAGGACTGTATCACTCGAGATTGTCGAGGAAACCCCGCAAGCGTATGATCGTAGGAGATTTGAACCTGGGCGACATGCCAGTGCGCGTTTAAGCCTCAGACCAGAAAAGACGCCCAGGTTGCCTGTGATTTAGGCTCCGCAGTGTCTGGATGTGTCCCAAATAGGTGTTACGGACCTCCAGATGCGCGGTGCACCCACTCACACCAACGGTAGACCAACGGTACCGTGACCAGTAGTATTCGCACACCTGATCGTCACGACCAAAACTGCTGTGTCTTCCATCTGCTGAGCTTATGACTATATGGAATTGCACCCACTAACTTTTACAGGCTCGTCTATCTATCATATGCTGGACTCTCATATACATGGGACGCTCAGGCGGGCACCCGCCACCCCGCCTCAGCCCGCTTCTTCTAGACTTCGGTAAATCTACGCCCTATGTGGACCGTGTTAGTGTGCGAGCGATGGGTGGCGTGGCGTGGACATTTAACGCGAGCTCGCAACCATAGTCTTGTATGGGCCCCTGCTCGATATTTGCTGCAAGGGTCTCCGAGTCTGAGTTCAAATTCTGCGAATCCATCATCAGACCTCCAGAGCGCGTCAGTTTCAACTTCGGCGATGCATATGGTCTAGGCACGGTACTTATAGCAGCCGCGCATTCACGGTCAAGTGCGCCACTTGACGGGCGCGTCACCAGACGGGAAGTTGCATATACGGCGGGGCACCCAGGTCGGTTTCGGTGCATGCGGGGAGCACAGCTTCTAGCAGTTCGGATGTCAGTGGCGGGTGTCCTGACCACCGTAGCAGAAAGTCGCACAGAAGGGTGTGGGTGTTACATCATGAGATACGGGCAGAAACAACAATGATAGCGAGCGAGAGCACTGTACAAACCAAGCAAACAGCATTGAACAGACAGCAAGTAGGAGCAATCCAGGAAGGGGGTAGTATAAGCCAGCCGATCGGTAGCATTCAGGCCCATCAAGATTGCCAGGATCTGATGGCCGCGAGAATCTGCAAGGTGCGATGTTAACGAAGATGCCCAAAACAGATGGCTGAATGCACAGATACTCACACCGGCCTTACACTCATACCAGAAAGTTGCGATCCACATTTCCTCGCGAGGGCGCAGCCGCCAGTATCGCTGGAAACGGTTCATTGGACGACGCGTAGCTTTCCATTCTCTCAGCGCTTCCGATGAGCTTGGACGCTCGCTGGGATCTTTGTTGACCATTCGCTCGACCAGCGGGTTGAACATATCAGTGTTCGAGTATATCTGCGACCGGAAGGTAGTTAGCATCGGCGAAAACGACAGCGCACCTTCGGGCTCATACCTGAAGGAATTGTTGCCGTAGCAGGTTTCCGATGATGAAGACGTCGGTCTTGAACGGGTCGTACGGGACGGAATCAGACAACTCGGGGACCTCGTCGTCCAGGCCCAAGGTACCGAGGACAAGCCGCGGCCGCTGGTCCGACGCGAACCGCGTAGATATCCCGAAGTCGATGAAGTAGTACTTGACGGGCACGTCTATGCGATGCAGAATGGGGGCCATATCAGAGTTATCAGGCAGGCTAAATTCGTTCATGGGGTGGAAGCCTTTGGGGAACATCGCCGCGGCGTCCATCATGATGTTCTTGTAGGCGCAATCACTGCGTTGTCTAAATGATTTAGCATCGAAACACTCTCCATTATATCATTGACTCGCCGATGGGCCACACCGTGATCGTGCAAGAAGACCAGCCCCTACGAGCTGACATTAGCAATGGTACACTGACACAAGCCGGTTCGGGGCCTACCTCAAGAATATGCTCACCGAATTCCAGCATGTCTTCGACGAATTCGAACGGAGGATGGTCGATGTACCGCAGATAAGGCATCGCAACAAAACACATCTGAGGGTCAGACGGGTCGTAAATGACGTCCAGCAGCGGTACGCAGTGGTTATGCGGATCTTGTAGCATTTCCGGTGACGAAAGGTACTGCAGTAACTGCAATTCCTCGGAGTCGGGCTTGATCTTCTTGAGGTACACAAGTTTACCGTCAGAAACTCGCGTCGCGTCTATGACATTCGTCCTAGCCTAATGATCATCAGCCTACGTGCTCCGGAGCATATGACCCACGGTCTCACATGCAATGAAAGCGCGTCTTCTGCAAGCAGAATGGCCGAAATTGGCTTGCCCCTCCATGACGGCGTCCAGCCAGGCCGGTATCGCGGGCGCAGCACATAGCCATGGGCCTCGAAGAGGAGTGCTTTGCTTGCCCAGTACTTCTCGACGGTGTCCAAGCGTTCGTATACTGTGAAGTCGAAAGTATCGATGGACATGCTGTGCCCGACGCGGTTTGAGGGAAGAGGAGCAGAGGAAAGGAAGCGGCCGACAGCACAACCCGTCGCAGCACGAACACTGGAAGGCCCCTCGGTACGTGACGCACGGAAGCCGGCTGCAGGACGAAGTGCAGGGGATACTGAGTTTGGCCAGTACCCGAAGACTATTGTAGCAGAGGAAAAGCGAGGGACGAACGACACATTGCCACACCGACGATGCACAAGTGGCTTCAACAATAGCAGAAGAGACCTGCCACAACAAGCCGCGGAGTTTCCCTTGGGCGCCTCTTTCAAATTGATTACAGCTGGTAAAGAATCGATAGGCCGTTTTCCTGAGCGCTCGCCTCAGGAATTTTGTTTACCTGTGGGGCCGTACAAACAGGCGGCATATGTCGGCACAACCAAATCAGGCAGGCTCACAGCGTTGGGCTCCGACAACGCTGATGAGAGCCACAACGACCGCCCGAGAGGCCTCAACCATTGGCTGAGGGGTGTTTGTTCGGCCCCACACGGTAAACAAGGCCCCAAAGGTGAGCGGCCGAAAAACGGCCTATCGTTTCTTTACCAGCTGTACATCGGGAGTTCGGGGCCGGGCACCGGCTATGGGCGAGACGGCCCAGGATTTTGGTCAGCCGCCGCCGTCGTCACCACCACCACCACCACCACCACCACCGCGCTCGACACTCGACCACTCGCTCGCCATGACCATACCGACGGACAACGGCGCGCGCATGGCTGCTTTAATTTGCACCTATAATCTTTTCTCTATGGCATGCAAGCCGTTGCCTTCAATACGTCGCGGTCCACTGCCACGGACTGAGTCAGAGGCGTTGAGCGAACGTGGGTTGCCAGGAATACGGCACGCGTAGAGAAAGCTCTTTGAAAGGGTACGCCGTTTTCATCTTGTTGTTGTTGTTCATTCTATACTGCACGGTTGTACGAGTCGTATGCGCAATAAACCGTGAGATTGCAAAGTATGCTACAGGCTGGCATGTCCGTGTTTTGTCTGAACACTTAGTGCCCTACAGTTTTGTCGTCAACGTCTCAATCTACTTCCTGCTCCTCGGACACATATTCCAGCAACTCCTCTTTTGCAAGGATGCCGGCCGACTCGTCCACATGCGTCGAGCAGTACATCGAACGGCCTTGTGGTTTCCGCGGCGCCGCGACGACACTGTGTTTAAACGCGAGCAGTGAGTGCATGCCGGGAATCCCGGCAGGCGGGCATTCCCAACAACCCTCGAAGAAAGGAAAGCGCATTTTGGTTTCCCCACTCGCACGCCGCCCCGAGAGGCCGCGCACGAGCAGGTACTTATCCCGAGGACCACGAAAAGGTATGCGCCAGGACCAAAGTCCCTCCCTCGGGGAAAGAAACACTCACCGTCCCACCTTCGTCTCAATATGCACTTCAGTCTTAAGGAGCTTCTGACCGCTTGCTTGCAGTACTCTGACGACGCTTGGAGCGGCCCCTGCCCATCGGCAATCTGGGAACACGCTGACGCCAGGGTAGATCCCGTGTCTTGATGGCCCCTGCCTGTCGGCGTGGTGACTCATGCGGGGTGCTGGGGGGAGGAAGGGGAGATGGAGGGGGGAACAGAGCGCGAATGGGGGATGGATGCATCGCGGCAAGGTTTTTATTCCCTCGGGCGGCGGGAGGCTGGCCAGAGGCTGACATCCGCTGCAGCCTCTGATCTATTTGTGTACGCGCAGGGTACATTCTGTGCGGCCAGCCTCAGCGGAGCATCCAGTCTGGCGCGGCCATCGCGGCCGAGTAACAAACTGTCGCGCCCGGTCGAGATTGCAAACACGTTCCGATTCGCCCATTTGCGTGGATGTTCGCAGAGTTGCATCCATGTACCTCTTTCCCACAAGACCTGTACGGAGGCGCCGGACATCTGGTAATATACCTATGGTATCCTTCATGCCGCTCGAGAGCGCGCGGTTCGATTCTGACGTGCAGAAAGTAGTGGTTGCGGTGACATGTTCATCGGTATACAAGCAGAGAGAGGAGCGGTACAGGAAGGCGTCGTGGGTATGTAGACAAGAGAAGACGCAGCAAAGATCAGCGAGGACGACAGCAAAAACACAGATCCGATACAAAGTCCTCGTTCAAAATATCGAGCGATAGATTGCGTAAAACTGCGCCGGAGACGTCAGCCTATCGCGCAATGGCGAGGAATGATTGTACTCACCAGAGAGTACGTGTGCCGAAAGGCTCTGCCCAGCAGAAACGAGTCACGCGGTTGCAAACTCCAGTATCGGGTTATGGACGATACGCTCCTGCGAATGGCGGTGTACTGCTGATAAGCCTCCGCCGCAGTAGGTCGACGCGCCGGATCCTGATCGACCATTTGGTTCATCAGTGGCTCTAGCATCGTCAGATTGAAGTACTTCTGCTCAAACATATCCGTAAGCAAGTGCGAAGCGTATAGTGCAATGATACGTACGTCGCAGAATTGTCGACGCATGAGGTTCCCGATGAGGAAGACATCAAGCTTGAAGGGGTCATAGGGAACGGTCTCCGATAGTTCTGGTGGCTCCCAGTCGAGACCCCAGGAGCCGACGACGAGCTTGGAAGGAGAATCTGGCGTAAACCGCGTCGAAATGCCGAAGTCGATGTAGTAGTAGTTAATGGGAACAGCTGCGCGGGAAAGGACGGGGGCATCTGAGGAGATGTCTGGGAGCGACAGCTGCAAGACTGGGTGAAATCCTCGCGGAAAGAGGGCAGCCGCATCCATCATGACGTTCTTGTATGCACAATCTCTGAGGGACTGTAAGTAATAGAACGACGCCGGTACTGACGCGCTAACCGGTGTGCCACTCCATGATCATGGATGAAAACAAGGCCCTGCGTATGTCATATTTGTTTCAGAAACGTCCCGGCGGTGCGACGAACCACGCCGTGCACACCTCGAGAACCTGGTCGAAGCAATCGAGTACGTCTTCTACCCGTTCCATGGGCGGTGAGTCAATGTATCTTAGAAATGGCATGACCATGAATGAGGTATCGGGAGCGGAGGGATCTTGCAGCACGTCCAACAGAGGGATGCAATGGTTGCGAGGGTCTTGCCGGAGTTCGTCTGAGTTGAGATAGGCAACGATTTGCAGCTCTTGCGAGTCCGTGCGAGTCCTCTTAATATAAACAAGAGTTCCATCTGATATACGCGTCGCGTCTATGACACTTGTCCTGAGCTTGGGCCATCGCGTTATCAGTACTTAAAGGAAGCGCGTCACGTATAACTCACCTTGAGAGCGAATGCGTCTTCGGCCTTCAGAGCATCCTGAGGACGTTTTCCTCTCCAGGAAGGCGTCCAATCTGGTTGGTATCGATGCCGCAACATGTATCCCTGGGCCTCAAGGAATACTTGGTGGTCCCGCCAGTACATCTCCTCGTCCGTGAGGCGCGCAAACGAATCATAACTACTAGGAGGGTGGCTGGTGCTGAGACCGATTTCAGGCGAGGTCACCGCTATCATGTTGCCACTGGGATCTGGACACACACACCAGGAAGTACTGTAGTAGTAGAAAGCAAGCGCGAGACAAGACAAGACATTGATTGGCACGCGCCAACTTGGACGCAACTGAGTGAAACAATAACAATAGCAGAAGAGACGCTGTAAGTGTGGAGTTCAAACTCCGCAAATCTGAGTTTCCATATGGAGGTATAAAGTCCACCGGCGCCTACAAGTAAGCACAAGGGTTCATATAAACGACACTTAAATCGTTCAATCTCCGCTGACTCTTTCCTTTCTGCGATGCTTCTTGAAGGCATTCACTTACCCGTTTGTTCACTTGTACAATGCACTGCGTATATGTAGACGCATTTGATGGTAAGGTAAGTAAGATATGGCGCAAGCCGATCATCCGTCAGGTTGTGAACGATGAGTACTGTGTAACTTAGCAGCCGGGACTCGCCCGACTCAACAAGGCCGAGATGGGGGCTCGCCATGGCACATCTTGCCTGGGTAAGCCTGCCAGGAGGGTTCGATAACTTCGCTTACAGTAAACTCAGGCAAAACCTGACAGCGCGGCGTAACCAGCCGCAGGGGCACTTGCATATTCGTCTTCCGCGCCGGGTAACGTCACGGAGCTCCGGTCCCACGCACACCTCAGGACTCCAGCGCGCCCACAAACCGGGATCATCGGCCATCGTTGTCTGACTTTGCCGTGACATCGAGCGAGGCGCCAAACGTGGTACAACGCTGTCCGAGTCGTGCGGTACTCGGGAGCCTCGTGCTCGCGCTTTGGTTCGGGAGCTTCGCGAGTCGGTACTAGTCCGATAGTCCGCGTGGTTCTGGTGCGTTGCACCGAGCTTCGGGTAGGGTCGCGCGCGCGATGCGGAAGCAGCATGTCACGCTAGCCCCAGGCGGTCTTGGATACCAGGGCGCGGCAACACGAAGACAAGGCTCCGGTGGGTATTTCAATCGTCTGGGAAGCGAGGAGAGCGGACGTTATACAGCACGATCAGATACAGCATAGAGAATACCATACAAGTCTCAAGGATATACTCCATCACGACCGGGACATCGTGCGACAAACCCGGCCTCATGGCGGCGCAGTGCTGACGCCGTTGGAATACATGGAATGCAGGCCCGACCAATGCAGGGCGACGATACCCGCATCAGGCGATGTGGTGGGGGCCGGGGATCTTGATGCTCCTGCTCATGGGAGGTTCTCACCTGCGCTCGGCGGGCTGGGTTGGGTGATCCATCTCAACTATGCATATGCCGTCAGTGGTGCTACAAATCGGGAGACGTTGGTGCACTTACCGGGACCAGCACATCGCGGAGTACGCTACCGAGAAGGGACTCATCGCGTCCCTTGACCCTCCAGCTCCTCTGGCGTGCTGGAGTTTGCGCGCGTATGAACCTCCACGCTTCCAGCGCAGCAGCAGCATCAGGGCGTGCGGACGGATCCTTGGCCATCATTGAGGCAGCCAGTGGCGCAATCATCTCCACGTTGGAGAATTTCTAGCGACGGTCAGTGAGTACAAGGAGTGGACTAGGGGCTAGAAGGACGCACGGCAACATCCTGGACGATAGCGGGGGCGAAGGATGTAGCCGTGTGACTCCAAGAACGGAAACAGGTCTCTCCAATAGATCTCCTGGCGACCCAGGCGGAGATCCTCTATGGTGCAGCCATAGTATGTCTCCATTGCTTAGCACAGTTGAGAGATAACGAGATACGAGCACTTAACCGACGTCGCCACAGCAAACGTCAAGGACGCGCGCCTCTGCGCGCAATGGCACATGGAGGCACTGCACAATATTCAAACCCCGCCGTTTCCGCATTAGGGAGCACGCTACACCAGCGCCCACAAGCGCTCATACGGTCTTCTTTGCCACTCACTGCGAGGGCGACGGTCGCTGAGCTTTATCTTCCTGACTTTTAACATCCGCTCTATTCCATGAAATATCTCTCCTCTACGGTGAAGACACCTACTGCAAATCTTCACTCCACGGCAAACAACGCACCCGGGCTAGTCGATATGCAGCCTCGAAATCAGGGCATCGGACTCGGACGCATCATAGCCTGGGAACTACCCCATGCGTCATGCAGTCTTTGTTCTGCATCCGACCAGCACCGTCTCCATGAAGACTACAAAGTATGAATCTACTGCCTGGGAAGCTCGTCGACTCCAACGCCTGACGCAGCACTGCTAAATCAAGAAGGCCGTGCCTTCGTCGAGCAAGGCCCCCGCAGCGTTGTATGTATGGCGTTGCGGTCGTTGGGGCCCCAGAACAAGGATTCCTGTGAGTTCGTTGGATGAACGACGACGCTCTTGTTTGATAGCGCCCGGGGCGCCAGATCCAGCACTGGCATCATCAACGGCAGATTTGACGCGTATATTAGCTCACTAGCCCGACACGAAGTTCTCGTCCTCATCGCCATCCTCCAACTCTCATCAAGTCTGCTCCCGGTGGGCCATTCAATCGACCTCTCACGAGTTCCAGTATCGCCGCTCCTGCATTAGCCCCACCGCCCGTGAGTACAGTGCTACCCGCGTCCCCGTCATACATATGTTACTTATACTATCCTTTCAGGTACTGTGCCATGACCAACCCCATAATGTTGACTCTGAGAGGCTACGCGCTGGCTTCCAAACAACACAACAACCTGAGGGATATCCAGCACATAATCGAATATTGGCGAGCCATCCTTGGAAGCCTGACAGACCAGCAGACAGCCAATCTCGAGCAGCAGAGGCCGGGGGTTGTCAATCAGATGTATCAGGCGCTGATTTGGTGTGTACCCATGTGTCTCGCTTACTCACGGTACTGGCACTGACGAGGTGTTTAGTACGGGCTGCCACCTTATGCTCCTGGCGCATGAGCTGGAGAGCACCTCGACTCGGACTCTGCTGTGGCAGCGAATCTGGCCCCGCACCCAGTTATCGGGAGAAAGGCTCATGAAGGCTACGGGAGAAACCTTGGTACGTGTGTCCGGTCAGAGTTTTTTTTTCCAACGGGCTAATGACTCATCTTCGGTAGGCGGCCACCTTGAAAGCGACTCCCAACTTCGACATCGTCTCGGCTGTGCTTGCAGCGGATGCCGCCATCACGGAGTTGAAAGCTGGTGAATCGCTTGTCCGTCACATGTACGCACGAGCTACGAGAGCTAATGGTGCTGCGAAGAACATACCAGGGCATTGCAACAAGCTTTTGGAAGACAAGCCACGGCTGCAGGCGCAGAAGATGAGGACGTCGACGAAGTCGAGCCCGACATGGTCATAGTATAGTAATCGGTTGTGGCTATTATCGCTGGTAAGATCCATGTCTGCGTTAATGGGTATCTAAGCCATGGTGGTGACGGCGAACGCGCCACGTACAGCTTTACCCTCGCCCATCCGGAAGGTGGTCCGCGCTCCAGTGGGTCTGACGGGACCCGTGCGCAGCCCGGGTACTGTGTGCGAGGCCCGCACCGGTGCCGTCCGAGTCGTCGATGCTTTGCGGGTGGAGCATGGAGATGCGCCGCTGTCCGATAGTCTTGTCCTTGTATCGATATCCACATTCCTCTGTATCCTATTCTTATTACATCACTGGCGACTCCCCATCTCGACTCGGTTTGAATTTCAATGTGACTGCCTGCTCGTGCGCGGTACTAGCTCAGTAGACGGAATGCGGGGGCGCACAACTAAAACGAGCGCCGCGCCAGGTTTACCTTTCTCTCGCCATGCCTCGGGCTCGGCGTCCGCATGCAACGGTCGCCCCCAAGTTTTCCTTGACGAACAATATCTATCAAAGGTCCTTGCGGCTTCGTCCGTACAGCATCATAACAGTTCCATCATTTCTCCCGGGCCACTACCCACTGAGCGGGACTACAAGAAAAGTGGAGGCTGAAATCCGTTGCAACCTCCAATTGCTGTGAGTCTTGGCCGTCAGCCCCAACGGCGCACTCAGCCTTCGCGGGGTATTCATCGCGACCGAATGGCGGGCGGTCGCGCCCAGCCGAGTTCGCAAACGGGCCCCAGCATCCTCGCGATGGCGTCTCCGAGGGTTGTCGAAGAGCGATTCCAGTTGAGCGTACCGTACTGCCAGTAACCTTGCTCACCAACAACGTGCCGTGCCGTGCGCAGACACAGACAATAAGCCATGCCTACGGCGAGGCTACCAAAACGTCCTCGGTGCGTGCCGGCATATCACTGGCATAGGTTAGTGCTTGACGCTTGCGAGGTATCGACTCAAACAAGGTAAAATACTACATTGTGATTGCCAGAACAACAGTGAGAGCGAGCAAGAGCGAGAGCAATGTACATCCAGACAACAAGATATCAGCACGGTAGAGATGAGCAGCCTAGACCGGGGGGTGGGGCGGGGGTATCAGGACCGCAAATCTAGGGCACCGGATTCGTCAAGATGCCCACAGCCTAAGAACGGCTAAGACCTACGAATTATAGTGTCAGAGGACACGCATGAAGGACGACTGGGATATAGAAGACTTACGCTGGCCTTGAATTCGAAATAGACGGTGGCGAGCCATGATTCTTTGACGGGGCGCAGCCGCCAGTATCTCTGAATCGAAGACACCCTCCTGCGGATGGCCTTCCACTCCCGCAGTGCTTCTGAAGCACTAGGACGCAGGTTGGGATCTCTGCTGACCATCCGCCGAACCAACGGCGTGAGCAGGTCAGCGTTAGAGTAGGCCTGAGTCGAACGAATGATTAACATCGACGAGAGCTACGGTATGGGGCAACGTACTTGAAGGAACTGCTGGCGAAATAGATTTCCAACGATGAAGATGTCGGTCTTGAAAGGGTCATACGGAATGGTGTTCGACAGCTCGGGAACCTCGTCGTCGAGGCCCTGAGTTCCGAGGACGAGGGTAGGACCTTGGTTCGTAGCAAATCGGGTAGATATACCAAAGTCGATATAGTAATATCGGACGGGGACGTCTACGCGGTGTAGAATGGGAGCGAGCCCGGAAACATCTGGTAGAGCGAGCTCCCTCATGGGGTGGAAGCCTTGAGGAAACATGGCCGAGGCATCCATCATGATATTCTTGTACGCACAGTCCCTGCATTGTAGAATCAACAACGAGCCTCCAATGACGAGAATTCAGCGTGAACCGACCGATGAGCCACGCCGTGGTCGTGTAAGAAAACAAGGCCCTAGTATTGTATGTACAGGGTCAGCGCTATGCCATACAAGGACGAAGGAACCCACCTCGAGAATTACCTCCCCGAACTCCATCATGTCCTCGACGAGTTCGAATGGGGGGTGGTCAATATAACGCAGGTATGGCATCACGATAAAACATGTTTCAGGATCGGACGGGTCGTAGATCACGTCTAGCAGAGGCACACAGTGGTTTTGAGGATGTTGAACCAGCTCCGGGGACGAGATATATCTCAATATCTCAAGCTCCTGAGAGTCGGGCCTGATTTTCTTCAGATAAACCAGCTTCCCGTCGGATGTGCGTCTCGCGTCAATGACATTGACTCTTGCCTGGGGCGTGTTAGTTGTCTCGACCTGCATGGCTTGCCAGTGGTGAGAGCTTCACTCACATGCAACGAAAGCGCGTCCTCCGCCCGGAGAAGGGCAATCAGCGGCTTCCCTCTCCAGGACGGCGTCCAGCCCGGCTGGAATCGGGGGCGTAACTTGTACCCATGCGCCTCGAATAGTGGATACTTCTCCGCCCAGTAGATTTCTACATCTCTTAAGCGTTCGATTGACGTGAAGTCGATACCGGCTGAGGACATGACGGCTAGGCTTGGAGTATGGGAGACTGAGTCACAGGAGAAAGAGGAATGTGTTACTTCAAGGGATTCGAGGCGTCCGAAACCTTTCGACGCCCTGGAGACCTCCTGAGACACCAGGAGCACAAACCGCCCCTCGCTCGGGGATCATGATGATCGCGGCCACATCACAACACGAATTTGAACTCAGAACAAAAGCATCTGCCAAATATAGACAGTCCGATATGGCTCCGCCTTACGACGACACTCAGCGCTCACTACGCTCGCATGTCTGTCTGGCTGAGACTAGGAGCTGGTTCTTGTGGACACCTTCTGACTGGCGCGAGGCTTATGGCGGCGATGAAAAGTCACGGCTGACAGCACTAAATCACATAGTAAACTTGAAGGCAGAGACAAAAGTATACGTGCGCGGACCATTCGCTCAAAACACGGACCGAAGAATGGCATAAAACTGATTGAAACCATCAGCTCGGATAGCGCAATTCGGCAAGATTCGAACTCACAAGGGAATACACGCTGCGAATGGGTTTGACTATAACGAATGACTTGCGGGGCTGCAGAAGCCAATACTCATACAGCGTCGGAACACTCCTGCGGATGGCTTTGAACTGCTGATGAGCTTCTGCGGCAGTCGGACGGCGTGCCGGGTCCAGATAAACCAGATGGTTCATAAGGGGCTCTAGCATAGTCAGATTAGAGTAGAGCTGTCGGAAAAAGCCAGTCAGAATAGTGTGCGGTGATGTCCATCGAGACTTAGTGCATAGAGTTCACGACGGATGAGATTTCCGATGAGAAAGACATCCAACTTGAACAGATCATACGGGACATTATCCGACAGTTCTGGAGGCTCTTGGTCGAGCCCCGGGGTGCCTAAAACGAGCCTCGACGGCTGCGGCGCGAAACGCGTCGAGATGCCGAAATCGATGAAGTAGTATCTCACCGGGGCCTCGGAGCGCGATAGGGTAGGAGTGATTCCAGACACGTCAGGGAGTCTTGTCTTCGAGATCGGGTGGAAGCCACAGGGAAACAGCGCCGATGCGTCCATCATGATGTTCTTGAACGCGCAATCCCTACACGCATCGATCAGCCGTGGCGTGACGCAGTGGTCCAGGGAACGTACCGATGAGCGACTTCGTGATCGTGTAGAAATACAAGTCCCTGCAAGAGATAACTAATATTGGTGGGGGCTCCTCTTCCATCAACCACCACCTGGTTAACTTTCCCACGCCTGAGCTGAGCCCTCAGGCGGGGGAAACCTCTGTTTAAACGTTGAAGATGCCCCGAAATGAGTACCAAGCTATGAAGAAGATGGATGAGAGTCGTCGGAGATGCTAGAAGCGAAGCATGAACGCGAACCAAGCGAGAAGGAGGGGAAAGGAAGGAAGTACGGCTAGTAAGCGGTAAGAGAAGACTGAAATGTTCCCCACCTAAATCCTCGCGACCCGAGCACGGTGTGTACTGCCACGACGTGAAGCTCTAATGACGAGCATGCAATGGCTTTGGGATGCGTGCAACGACTGTTGTGGGCCCTCCGGGGCGGAGCCCTCCGGGGACATACGGCTGAGGCCGGGAGGATGAGCGCTACGCTCGGCGTCTGTATAAACACGGCCAAATTGAGAGGCCCAATCGAGAAGGATAGAGGTGGCGAACTGTTCCACGGTGGCAACTTGCCTGACGGGTGAACCTGGCTGTAAAGCAGGAGGAAACGCATGAACGAAACGTGTGTGGTGAACTCGGGGAGCGCATGCGCTCTGGAAGAAGTGTGATGCCGGGAAGAAACGGCGTATGTGGCGAAGAGAGCCTGTGGTGGAATGAAGGCCTCCTGGAGCCGGGCTGAGGGCCTGACTGACAAGGGCAAGAGGCAAGTGTGCAGCCAGTCTAGCGGAGCGCCTGATGACCGCACCGGGTGCTATGAATTCCTCACGGACTCCCACATAAAACTGAGCTAACGGCAGACCGCGCGGCGAGGCTCGAGCTTACCCACTCCCCCCACGTTCCTTCAAAACCACTGTTTGGCTGCTGGACGGCGAACTGTGCTCTAACGTAACATGATCGCAGTGACCCTAAACGCCTCGCCAAAGACAAGATCACATGCGACTGTCTGTCAAACTACCCGCGTCTAACCTCTGCTTGAAAAGAACGAGAATCTGTGACGGCACACACACCACCTCCACGCACAAACGCACCCTTGGCCGCACTGCAATGGACACTACCCCTCTTCTACTCCCTCTCCTCGTCCACGAGGTTGTGTCGGACGAGTACCAAGCCCCTCCTGATTCCGAGGAAGCCTTCTTCACCCTCGCGAAGGGACAGGAGGTCCGCGTAGCGCAAAAAGTCTACCTTCGGACGATCGGCCGGCGCACTCCTGTCCAGCTCCCCACCCACCGCCCCTGCTACCCCCTCTACGACGCCGCCATCGAAGGCCCTGTGGTTGGGGCAAGGAAGAGAACCGTCGGTGTCGAATACGTAGTAAGGAACGACAACCTGCGGTCGCCCGTGCGGTTCGCATATATCTGGGATAACTCGGCGGGAGACGTGGCAGCGAGCCCGGAGTTCGTAAAGGAGGTCATGGAGGGTCTGGAGAATGCGGCACGCAACGGGTGCGAGGTCTGGTGCATGGGAAGACGAACACCCACGTTCCTGAAACTGGCGCGCCCCGAATCGCGAACGGCGCGGCGTGTTCGCCTGCCGAAGACTGCCAGGGCCCCGGTGATTGGGTTGGGGCCTGTCAGTGCAAACCTTCGCATGGCGCGGAGGATGCATGCTCCCCTAAAGCCCTCGCCCTTGGCCCAAGACGCGTCGAAGGAAACGGAGGAGTGAAGTGGTGGCTGGGCGTGTGTAGGGTGTCGAAGAGGGGGAACGAGGATGGTAGGAGTGTCGGAAACTGAGCGTGGACAATGAGGACGGTGGTATTCTGTCAGATGTATTTCCCTCTACCTTTTTTAGAAGTATGCGTCTGGGTGTGAGAATGGTGTATGTGCCGAGTACTGGCCGTTACCACCGGAGTGTGAAATTGAACGCTGCAAACAAGTAAAATGGATGCCTGGATGAGTAAGAATGAGTAGTCAGACGCTGCAAGATGACTGGACCTCCTTATCGATGTACGTCTTACGTCAAAGAGTCCCTGGTCGACTCTGGACTTGTCCCAATCCTCTGAACTTCTCTAATTGCTGCTCGGCTGCTGGTCGGAGAGCGCCCTGTCCTTTCACGTAAAGAAGATCGCAGCTGTGATTCTGAACGCCTCGCCAAAGACTCAGAACGCAAGCGACGTCTACACCAACCCGCGCCTACACAATCCCTTCAAAATGAGAGTGAAAAGCGTAGCAAGGATCCAGCCGTCCCCAACTAGCCATGAACTGCAGCCCTACTCCTGTCCTCGTCCGCGAAATTGTGTCGAAGGACCACCCGCCGCCTGCTACCACTCCCATCGCTTTCTTTCGAGTTGCGATGCAGCAAAACATCTCCGTCGCGCAAGTCGTACGCCTTCGACTTATCGGAGACCTCGTCATCGGAAAACACCTTCTCGACCCCACATACTACCCCGTCTTAGGGTTCATCACGGGTCACCCCCGGGTCAATTTCTGCGTACCCGTACCCGTACCCGTAGAACCCGCACCCGTGCACCCGAGGGTTTGAACGGGTCATGGCTTAGGCACCGAGTCGTGCGGGTCAGGCGCTACCCGTACCCGCCGCGGGTTGGCCTCGGGTTAGGGTGTGGATCCCACAAACATAAACACCCGGAAAACGTTGCCATTCTTGATTCTGTACACGCGAAAACATATGTACTGCTACTCGAACACTACTCCGAGTCTGAGCCGCCCACTGTGAGCAAGGACGGCATGCTGCTGTCACTGGTGTCACCATCCGAGACAGCGCCCTCCGAGGCCACCGCATGTGCTGCAGATGGTCCACCATGCGTCGTATCGCCGCCAATGTCACCGCCGGGTTCAGTGCGCGCGTGTTTCCACTCCCTAAAGGCCTGGTAGCTTTACTGAGGTGAGTAAGTTACCAGTAAGTAAGTAAAATCGTACCTTGTACTCAGCACGGGCCCAGTCGAGCACCAGCTCGAGTTGTTCCTCGCCGGTTAGGCCCCTCCGTGGCAGCGGCCTCGCATGCGATC